TTTAAGGGGAAATTCCTTATGCATATAGCTTAAGTATAGTCTTAATAATTACCTACTTCTTTTTATTACCTAGCTTTTATAATTTAGCTGTAGAATTAGCTTATAAAGGTTATCTAGTGCTATAGTTATTTGTTGTTTTTTATAAAACTCTGCACATAGCTATAGCACATTTCTTTAAGAGTTTTATGTCTTATTTAAAAGCTTAAAGTGTAAGCTATATCTAATGTTCTTTTAGCATGTCTAAGTAGTGTTGTAGGGAATGCATTAGTATAAAAAGGGTAGTTTAGTAGGGTCTTAGCAAAAGTAAGCAACTTAGGTGTGTAAGCAACTCGCCTGTGAAGTACGTTATTTATAAACTTTTTTTTAAATTCTTATTACTTTACCTTAATTTTTTATACTCTAGGAATAGAATAATTACTAGTAAAATGTTCTAGTTTACTATAATTATAATAGTTACTAAGAGTTGTCTGTCTTTTAGAGGCAGGTGTCTAGCTAGGTTAACAGTGGGTAGCTAGGGTGGATTAGGGTACTAACATAGGTGCAGGTTAGAGTGCACTAGAATAGTATACTGCCTTAGATGTATTACTAGAAACTTTTTAAAATTAATTTATAATAACTCTAACATTAAAGTATTAGGTGTAGTAAATAGTTTACTTTAAAATAGTAAAAGTGTTTCTTCTTTCTATGTTATAAGCTATTAGGTAGGCTACTATTATTTTAAAAAAACCTTTTTTAAGTGTATTTAAAACCTAAGTTTAGTTCTTTTAGGCTAAGTAGTATCTGCTTTTATAAGTAAAAACACTATTTTAACTTTAATATAAACTTTTTAATAGCAGCACTAATAAAGTAAGCTTTAAAAGTAAAAAATACTTTTTTTTACTTATTTTTAAACTAAAAGTAATTTAATTTAGCTAAGTATCTAGGCTTTACGTATTCCTTCGCGATACTAGCAGTGTGTCCCTATACTAATGCTATGCGTGCGCGCTTACTCTAATAGTAATCTAAATTAATGTTAAGTTTATTTATAATAAAGGCTTACTATTATTTAAACATAAGTTTTTTACTATTTATTAAGTTTTTAATCTTAAGTATATATTTAGTAAAGTACCTTTAAAAAAGCTTAAAAGTGCCTAAAAAGTCTCTTACTATTAGTGTAGTAAAAGTAATTTAAAGCATTATTAAAAGTAATTTAGTAATTAGTAAAAGTTAATTAAAACTAATAGTTTTTAATTTAGTTAGCTATTTAATTTATGCTTTTAATTAAGCAACTTAGTTTTTAAAAGCTATGCTACTAGAGTTTAACTTTAAATCTAGTAAGTTTTTAGCTTTAAGTTCTATAAAAAAGGTTTAGCTATTAAAGTTAGTAGTTATTTAGCTTTAGTAGCAGGCATATTACCTTAGCTGCAGCTAGAGCGTGTTGTAAGCTTTATACTAAAGTTTAAAAGTAGTTAAGAGTTAGGTATTAGAAGTTATCTTTAATTCTAATAAGTTATTAGTAGTCTTTAGGTTTTTACTTTAGCACACTTTTTATAACTTTTCTAAAAGTAATTTTAATTATAAAAAATAAAAAGTTCTAAACTTAAAAGCTTTAGTTAATAAAAAGTTTCTAAAATTTTATTTATAATAATGTACTTTACAGGCAAGTTGCTTACACACCTAAGTTACTTACTTTTACTAAGACCTTACTAAACTACTTTTCTTATACTAATGCATTTCTAACAACACTACTTAGACATACTAAAAAAATGTTAGATATAGCTTATACTTTAAGCTTTTAAATAAGATATAAAACTTTTAAAAAAATATGCTATAGCTATATATAAAGTCTTTTAAAAGATAATAAATAACTATAGCACTAGACAACTTTTACAAGCTAATTCTACAGCTAACTTATAAAGGCTAGGAAATAAAAAAGAGTAGGTAATTATTAAGACTATACTTAAGCTATATGTGTAAGAATTTTTTTTTTAAATAGCATTTATAGCTAATATAGCTAATTCTTTACACACTAAGCGTAATCTAGGCTATGTTAGTATAAACTAGCCTAGTATGTTTATAAAGTGTTATTTAAAGCTTAAAGTAAAGTTTTAAGTATAAGTATAGTTAATAAATATTTAGCCTATAATAAAGCTTATATTACTAAAGTTATATATATTATTATTTTAGATGCTATACTTAGCTTTAATATTCTTTATAAGGCTAAACCTACTCTAAATTACCTTAGAACTCTTATAAAAAGCTTTTTTATAGTTATACTATGCTTAAATATTACTTTAAAGTCTAGATAACACTTTCTAAACATACTAAACTAGTTTATGCTAATATAGCCTAGATTATACTTAGTGCGCAAAAAATTAGCTATATTAGCTATAAATACTATTTAAAAGGAAAATCTTTGCGTATATAGCTTAAGTATAGTCTTAATAATTACCTGCTTCTTTTTATTACCTAGCCTTTATAAGTTAGCTATAGAATTAGCTTATAAAAGTTATCTAGCGCTATAGTTATTTATTATCTTTTAAAGGACTTTATACATAGCTATAGCATTTTTTTTAAAAGTTTTATGTTTTATTTAAAAGCTTAGAGTGTAAGCTATATTTAATATTCTTTTAGCATGTCTAAGTAGTGTTGTTAGAAATGCATTAGTGTAGAAAAAGTAGTTTAGTAAAGTCTTAGCAAAAGTAAGCAACTTAGGTGTGTAATTAACTCACCTGTGAAGTACGTTAACTAAATAATTTAATATAATAGTGTGTAAAAACTGCAACTTAAACTAAATTAAACACTTTTTAAAGTTAAACATAGTTAAATAAATAATTAATATAATATTATTAATAAGGCTGTTACTAGTAAAAGTAAGTTTTTTAATATAATGTAACAGCACAGGGAAGATAATAAGTCTAAATACAGTAAAAATCTACTTAGAGGCATATAGAAGTGCGTGGGGACTTAGAACCTAGGAATTTCTATTAACATCTATAGGCCTTGTACAAAAGAATATTAGAAAACTACTAAGCTAGCTACAGGGGCAAGGTGCAACTAAATACATAAAGGAATAGAGGTAACTGCAGGGGACAGGATTAAGTTATAGTTAGAGCTAATATAGAGACCCTTTAGATAGGTTCTAAACAACCTAAGATAGAACAATCTGTAAGAATCATTACAACATGTTAGTAAACTATACTCTAGCAGTATTAAACTATATTTATATAAAGTTATATTTTTTATTATATAAAGTATATTATTTATATTTTTTTTAATTTAAAAAACTAATAAAAGAACTTAACTTAAAAGCTATAAGTAAAGGCGTAGGCAGCCTAAAAGTAGATAACTTAAAAGGCATTTAAAAAGGCTCTAGAAAGAGAGTAAAGCAGCATAGTAATTTTCTTTAATGCTATAATTAGTTAGCAGACTAAGCTCTAGAATGTTAAGTATATAATAATACCTACACAGTAGAGATTTAAAAGATAGCTAAAATAAAAAAAATAAAAAAAAACTAACAATATTAACTAGACTATATAAGTAAGGCAAGTAAATACTTATTACTATAAACAATAAATTTACTATATTAATAATAACTACACTGCTAGTTACTACTAAACAAAAACATTATAATAAAGGCATTATATTAGTATTAGGTTTTTAGTCTAATTTTTTTTTTTAGTAATAAAATTTTTTTCTTAAAAAGTTATACTTTATTATATTTTATTTAAATTAGTTTTAAATTAGTTTTAAATATTTCTTATATACTATAGATAAAGACTATTAGCCTATTAAAAAAAGTAGTGTAATAATTTTTATAAATTATTCTATCTTAGGTTGCTTAGATCCTATCTAAAGGGTCTCTATATTAGCCCTAACTATAACTTAACCTTGTCCTCTATAGTTACCTCTATTTACCTAAGTATTTAGTTGCACCTCTCCTCTTAGCTAAATTAGTAGTTTTCTAATATCCTTTGTACAAGGCCTATAGGTGTTATTAGAAATTCCTAGGTTCTAAGTCCCTACGCACTTCTTCCTATATGCCTCTAAGTGGATTCTCACCGCATTTAGACCTATTGTCTTGCCTATGCTGTTACATTATTGTCTAGTTAATTAGGCTTAGGTAGTAAGTAATCTATAATTAATATGTGTAGAATAGACAGAAGGTTATTATCTAGTTAATTAGGCTTAGGTAGTGAGCAATCTGTAATTAATGTTTTAGAATAGACAAAAGGCTATTATCCTATTAATTAGGCTTAGCTAGTAAGCAATCTATAATTAATATGTGTTAAAGATTGCAAGGCCCCCTAAGCTAGATGCAAAAGCTAAATGTGCAGTGGTAACTATAGTACTAGTCTAGAGCGCAACTCTAGGCTCATAACTCTTGCATAAGCTAAAAAGGGGTTATATAGGAAGTAAGTTAATAAGGTAGTAAGATCTATACAAAGTAGATTAAATAAGTGTATTATAAGGTCTAAGGAGCTTAATAGAGCTCTGGGCTGACTATATACTGTACGAGAGAGGAGCTATGCCTAATGAGTGAATAGTGCAGTACATGGGTATGATATCGCGTGAGACACGTGCGACACTTGCCTGTGTACAGAAGCGTGCAAGAACTTAGATAGCTTGCTAGATAGGACCCTGAATCCTGAGTTCTCTTAGGCTTCAATCAAGGTTGTCTCCTCCCTAATTAAACTAGCCCAACAACTAAGGTCTGTTTGGAAAGTCTTTAAGTCTAAATCATTTAAAGCAGATGTGACTTAGCGGAAGGTCGACTTCCCTGTGAAGTTGAACAGATGACAGCAGAGACCTACTACCACAATAAAATATTCACAGAGGTGTGATTGCAGAGTCCTAGATTACAGAAAGAGTAGGGTCATTGTTTAGTAACAGGGGGATAAGCAGCTAATGTCCCTAAAAAAAATAGGTAACTTATTAATGTAGAATAAGAGGTTCACAATTAACTAGGGATGTATTAGTGAATAAAAGCACTAAAAGTTAAGACACTAACAGGTAACAACATGCAGACCAACGACCAGACGCCGCATGCGATTATGTTCTGTGAACCTCCAACTACAACATCTCTAAGCGCAGCAGATTGTTAAACTCCTTGTAGGAAGTTTGTTAAACAGGGCCTAAAGCACCAACTGCTAGCTTTTCTTAACACCTGACGGTCCATCTCAGCTGTAAGTCGCATCGCATCGCTGGTATCTGGAGGGGAGTTGAGCGCTTGCGACTTAAGGGTGCGGAAGGTAGTTTTGTGCTTGTTTGAGAGGTCTGCTTTAAACTACGAAACAGCTTAAGCCAGGCGAATTTCAGGCTTCAGCCGAGAAGCATTTGCCAAAACGCTTGACATTGGGCACTTGTGAAGGCTGAAAACTGACAAAGCGCAGCAAAGATTGAGACAAGGAGTCCTGTTTGGAGATTGGGTGGCAGCACGAGTCTGGGCCTAAGAGTTCTAACTAGTCAGCTATTGCCCGTGGTAGATTAATCCATGGGACTAAACTTACCACTTAAATCACTTGAAGTACAACTTAGCTGCACACTGACAAGTCTAGAAAGAACTTGGACTAAGAAGTTTATCAGAAGTTAAGAGAGGAGGCGGTGGGAGGATTTGAACGAGTTTGTTGTGCTGGCACTCAGGCTGAGAACGGCTGAAGTGCCGTGGGCTGAAGCCGAAGGTGGCTGCGCATCTCAGCTACAAACCCTCCTACGAGTCACAGGAGGCCGCTTGAAGGCTTCCTCCCTCAAACGCTGTACGTAGCGATCCTCATCACGTCAAGAAACAATCTTGTAAATACGGCTAGAACCTGATGCGAGCTTCCTAATTTGTTACAGTCAAGCTTCGAGCGTCTTCTACACAGAACTGCGCTTGAAGATTCGCCACTCAACCTCGCCACGAGCAGATGAATACCTCGATCGCACTAGCAGGGAAGACGGCCGACCCGCACCAGCACACATCTTGTCTGGGAGGCGTGAATGTATATAGCCGGCGCATTGTAACGGCTCATACCCTTAGGGTGTATGGCTATAATAGAACACACACACAAACGTCTGGGAGGCGTTCGATTTATCAGCGTATGGCTGATAGAATGAAGCGCGTAGTTGCCATTAAGTGTGGCGACGCCAAGTTATTCCGGGTATGATTCTAGTTCCGCCTTAGTCAGATATCGGCGAGACTCACGATCGGTCGGAACAAGATCCGCTGCAGAAACTAGAACTAGGCCCTTGATTAGCCAGGCACAGCCGAAGGCTCCGTATATGCAACGGGAAATGCTTGGCTTAGGCGTGAGTCTAATTGGTGTCGCAACAAGAAGGGGACGAGATGATGAGCGAGCGAATTGCTCTACAAGCCAGGTGAAGCGCCATTTTCGAGGATATTATTGTGCTCACTGACGGGCTTTTCGCTGAAATATCCTCATAGTCGGAATCACCCTCTGCTATACGTTTTGCCGCTCTCTCCTCTTGCTCAACATATCTCGCTTCATCGGTAGAAGCAATCTCTTCTGGAGGGGTTTCTGATCGCTTCCTCTTTTTGACTCCCACGGGCAATAAATCCTTGCTAAGCGATCCCTTCTGGCGCACCTTTACCTCCGCTGCATTGAGAAATTTGCAAAGCTGTCGAGCGGATATGTTCAATTCTCGATCGGGGTTTCCCATCTCTTCCTGAACTAGTCCCTTGTGGGCAAAATCGCTAAGGTGCAGCTGTAAGCCAGGATGATCGGTAGCGATTCCTTGCTCGTCACGAAATATCTAACGCTGTCAGGTATCATAACGTAAAGTGCGCCTTTTGATAAGATAGTATACCTCATTGGCTGCCTCTTGAACTACTCGTAGTACATCTCCATCAACAGTAATGTTCCAGATGGGTCCGCCACGTCGACAACGTCGCTCTACGTGACCCTTTCTTGCCGTACTCAATATCAAGGCCGACAACAACGCGCACGTTTGCGTCCGAATCGAGAAGGTAGTCTTCAGCTAGCTGACCTAGTCTCTTCTTCTTCTGCGAGTACGCAACTTCGATGATAACCCCAGGGTATTGTGCGTTCTCGTGCCAAAAAGACGCGTCTGGCTCATATTTCGACCTCCTGCCAGTTGGACAGTCTTCTACGGGAAATTCAATCTCCGTCGATCGGGCAGGCCATACTTTTTGCGCGAAGCGGGCGGCTTTATCTGATCCTCTCCGTATCGCTTTCAGTTGGCTTCGAATCGCGTCTTCCACTCCGTCAATGAATAGCTCATGTACCCCGGTCGGCATCCGAACAACGAGGCGGTGCGTTTCGCTGTTGTAATCATACCTGCTCAAGTCCTGTCGTCAGCCGTCGTGCCCGCCGTGTCTGGAGCATACCCACCGTATCTTGTCGTTGACGTATCCCGATAGGTCCTCGTCCCGCCGAAGCCGACGTTCTATCTCATCATACTCTTCTGCCGAAAGCTGAAATTCGGTCCACGGGTTTCGCTTGGTGTGCTTTCCAGCCCGGATTTCTTTGAAGAGCGCAATAACCCGATGGGCTTGCGCGAACGGCTTTTCGTCCGTTGGCGGCGGCGTCAAAGGATGAGTTGCGAAACTCGAAGGGGGTGTGATGTGTGAGTCCTTCGTTATAGGGGCGTACTCCGAGAACATAGCCATATGCTGCACCGCATCGCGAAGTTGACTATGGCCGTCGCGCAAACAGGTAATAGTTGGATGATGGGGCGTTAGCTGACTCAGCAACGGCGCCAAGCATCTGTTGCACGCTTAGCCAATGACAAATCGCCACTCTAGATTTGTCTGCTCGAAAGACCTCACAACACGTAAAACAGCATCCTCTGCTCCAGCCTACGCATACAAACAAGAATCGCCAATCGTCACAGAGGAGGGGACACAAGGAAAGATGGCCCTGGACTAGACAAGGTTGCCGCAGGGAGAATAACGCCATGTCGGACGGGGTTCTTCGCGAGGTCCGGTTGTCATGGCTTGGCTAGAATGAGGACGCATTTTGGGTCTCAGAATGGACCACGTTGTGGTCTCCGCCGTGGACGGGCTCGGACGCGAGTTCCAGATTTCCACCTCCCCAAATCAGATTAGATCAGATCGAGGCCTGTGCTCAATATCTCTTGGCGCTCACCACTCTGCTCGATCTTACACTTCGCAGTGGCAACAACATCCAACCTCAACATTCGGCTATTCTCCTAATCCACTTCAAAAAATTTTAGGCTCCTCTAACAAGGTCATAGCCGGAGCGGGTCGGCCGTCCTCCCTGCTAGCGCCATCGATATGTTCATTTGCTCCTGAGGAGGCTCAGTGGCGAATTTCAAAATGTAGTTCTATAAGCAGAAGGTGCTCGAAGCTTTGCTGCGGCAAATTAACAGGCTGTATAATTCATGTTGATCCCCGGCACTCTAGGAAATAGAGAGAATAAAATATATGTATAATAATAACGTACGTTAATATAAATTGAATCATTTGCATTCTGATAGCTTAGGATCTATTACGCTCGACTTTGCATGTCCACATCCTTCCTGTCCCAACACCGATGCCAATGGTGCCTCTTGACACCGCCGAGCATGACGGCCGATACTCTGAGGGCACCCACACTAGATTCTCTGAATTGTGTGTTATCCATACACCATCTGCGCTCAAAGCGAGGCCTTGATACTGAGGACTGCAAGGTTCTAACATAGTTTGAAGTGTGTCGGGACCTGGCAGGGCACTAATGTCGATAGTGCCAATATTCGTGTGGAGATATGAGCCAGAAATTTCAAACGAGATGCGGTGAAGTACCTTGCCAATGCTAAGTGTCGACAGGCACTTAGCATTGGCAGATTACTGTAGAGGACCTGCAAAAGTATGTACGCTCAATAAAGGATCGTTGTTGGGCTGTGATACGGGCAAGGGGCGGCCATACGCAGTGGCGACAGACAAATGTTGCTTTAAGTGTATTTTACATTATAAATTACTATAGTAACGTTAGTGCAAATGCTTAAAATTTAGCTTTTTTAGTTTACTTAGAAAGCTAAAGTTATTTAACTTTTTTTTATTAGTGTGCTAAAAGTTAATTAGTAGATGCATTATTAATTAAAGTACAAGGTGCTAAAATTTTGTTAGAGTGGACTGTTTACTTGTGTGGACTGCTTGCTTGTGAAATAAGTTAGCTGTACTAACTAACCTAGACGTTACTAGTTAAGAAAAGCTGTTTTGGAACGTACTACTTCCTGTTGAACACGCTGAGTGTGAAATGCGGAATCTCAGGCAATAATACGACGAGGCGTAATCGCTGGGTGCATACTAGCCATGTAGATATGAGGGCAAATAGGAACCTAACTTGAAAATGATGCCACGTAAGAACAACATGTCTCCAGAGCTCACTATCAGTGGAAATGCGAGAGACCGTAGCTCATATTATTGCACTTTCAAATCAGCATCGTGACAGGGCTAGAGTATTGCTGAAAACAAGGCGACATCGAGGTGACGGGCGCGTGTAAACTTTATTTCCTTAAATCAAACATCAGCCAAATTAAGAGAAGGCAGAATCTCAGGGGGTGGCGTGTCAAGGAATTCCCTCGTTGTTTGATATTCCATCATTGCATCGCTCCATCAGTGGCTTAAGGCGAGGTACCAATTTGCAGGGATACACTGTGTTAATGCTTGTCTAAAAGTTTGACATAGTTAGCGTGTGTAGGCGCCCTACCTCTTGAATTGACACCTTTGCTTCTGCAGGTTCCATTCAAAATGCTTCAGAGCCTAGAGACGAATTGTTTGCTTTCATAGTCCCTCCAGAATTCTCTGCGTTCCTTCCCGCGTTCCATATTACTCAAAGTCGATTCGTTAAATTTATCCCAAGGCTTCTGCAATCTGAAGAAGCCATGACCTTGGTTTGGAGGTTCTTTCTTCATTTATGGGTGTGACCACGACTCCAAACCTCCCACCCTGGACACTAGATTGGTCAAATAGTAGGTTTGTTAGTGAAGTTGCGGCATAATTCGACTACAAGGCAGCAGGGCATATCGAACTCTCCTAGTCTTTCTCAAAGGCCAGAAAGCATTTAACGCTCACTAGTAACGCATCGACAGAGAGTTGCATTGAGAGTCGTATTCCCCGACCACCACGACCGTCCAACAGGGAAACTAAAAGCAACAGACATCGAAAAAATGCTCTTCGCCATTGGGTCGCACTACTTCAAGGATATAAATAGATCTAGCTATTCTTTTAATTTGCTAAGAAACGCTATAGAACGTACTTTACCCGAAGATCTTTCGAAGCAACTACATAAGATCCTAGACCGCCAGATGGCGAGGATACAAACTGCTCCGCGATAGAGCCTTATATCCGAGTCATTCACTATAGATGTGCCTCCTGGAAACGAAGTGATCCTAGTTAAATCCTATGGAACGGGTCGTGTTTTGCATGTCCACCGAGTTCTTTTCAAACTGTTGGACCAAAAAGGGTGTTTTTCGCCAAGGCCAGGTGCACTGGGATATCTGCTCAAGCTATATCTTACGGCGATAGAATTGAGTTGTCGGGTTGCAATATTCCCGCGATTATTCGCTCTGCTGGCGCATGGTGGCTCTGGCTTATGTTGCACCGCTGGTGGATGGAGAGGACTAGCCAGAATGCGAGATGAAGGGCCTTGTTGACTTCAAGTTCGTCTAAATTTCAGTTGTGCTACTGATACGTAGGCCTAGTTATCAGATTTGAGTAAAAGCTAGTAAGAACCAACTGTAGACTAAAACTGTTGCGTGAGGCTTTAGAGGCTGTGTAAATAGATGAATCAGGTTAAAAGTCCCAGTGTCTATATTCTATACTTCATACAGTTCCAATTATGTTCCTACGAATTTTAGGTATTCAGCAACTTGAATCACAGCAGTTGTTAGCCTCACGACTAGGTACAGGATCGATCAAGAGACATAACGAACCCATTCTAGCTTGAAGGCTCCCAGGACTATCTGGGGATCCCTCAGCACTTAAATACCTCATATCTGCTTCTGTCTCTTATTCCCAGCCCCCATCATTTGCACCCAGAAACAGCGAATTCTGTCCCGGATTAATCTCATACCCCCTATGTAGCCTCTCAAAATGCGCATGACACTCTATAGACCACGCAAATAACGACAAACACAGCCAAAAAAAAAAAAATCCTTTTGGCTGTCTCGCATGCTGGCCATCCCATATGGTCGTAGCCTTCAGTCCGCTCGATCATGGCCCCACATTTCGGGCAGTCTTTCGGGCCGGTAGCAGTCTTGTACTCAACGAACAGTCGTTCATTCCAGCGGCCGCCGTCTTGGAAGTCTACAAGGGATTTCCGGTGCGCGGCGCAGGATTTGGTCGGGATGTGGGGCGCTCTAGCATATGGTGCAGGTCTAGGCTTGTTGCACGGTGCTGAATGAGAAGACAGGTAGAAAGTCTGGTTCGCGTTTTGGGAAGCTGTCGGTGCGCGAGCGGATGTGGGCGGTGAGGGAGGCTTTGAACAGTTTGTCGATGGAGGGGTCGGTCATAGTATTCTGAAGCCCAGGGATAGAGATAGGGTTTCGTAGGATGAAACATGGCGCTTTTGGCGAAAGTAAGTGGGGAATCTGGTGATTGTGGAGAGGTCGAGTTTGTTTGGTGAAGCATGAACTGCAGTAGATGTGGTTGCAGGACGGACAGATGGTGGGGTCTGGCTCGTTTTGGTGGGTGGGCACAGGTCGGATATTCGGTGATGACTTCGGGGAGTGGGAGAGAATTCTAAAATGCCTTGTGATGTCGCTCAAGAAACTAACTTCTAGCTAGCCCTTGACCTAGATAATCGTCTGTTGGTCTGCTGCCGAAACCTAGAGGGTGACTGTGCCACCCTTCCGCTGCTGCTATTGGTAACTAATGTCAAATTGTTGATCGATGACAGCCAGGGTATATTCCTTGTGGATGTTTACAAAATCGTAGAGGGCGGCGAAGAGGACGGTGTAGAGAGGCTTGTTGTGTATCCGCGGATCTTCTTCCAGATGCTTCATCGCACGACACATATCCTCAGGCCCATAGAAGCGTACGAAAACCGCCACAATATATGGGTTGTCTGATTTGAAGTTGTAGAAAGTAATATGAGGCCTCGCAGCCTCTCGAAGATGCTACTCCATCTCTTTCACCTCTTGCTATAGTTTGCGGGATACCCAAAGTATGGAGAAAGTTTCCCCGACTCAAAACAGACTTTCGGTTAGTATGGATCTAAATGCTGGCTGCAGCTTGCACGCTGCTGTCGAGGATCGGGTCTGAGAACTGGGCACCTGGGGAATAGTTAGCTAGGGTGCCCTTGATCAACTTTGAAATAAGGATCATTCTGATAGCACCGTGGTTAGGGATGGTTTGGAGAGAAGATCTCACCTGAAGCTGAAAATGTAGGAGAATTGTGGGTGTCTTAGCAGCCGCACTAGCGTGAAGTTGTAGTGAAAGCAATAGAGGAGGAGTAAAATAGGAGAAATGTATGATTGGAGATTCTTTGGTTCCTGAGTGCCCAGAAACCAATATGGCTCTGCTTTTGACAAGATTAGAATCTTCCTGTCTATGGCTATAACTTATAAAAGAGGAATTCCCCTTGAGAATGACCCAATTCTCTTAGGTATCTCTTGAACATATTGTCTCCTAGAGTATGCTAGAAAGTGCTTGCGTTATTGTGTTTATACCTCTGAAAGTAGATTAGAGCCACTTGGCTGCAACTTTAAGAGTTCAACTGTGTGCTGCGTTCCCTTGCTGGGTATTTATTGCTACAAGTAGACATGTCCACAAATATTACTGGAGGAGTGATATTGTCGATCTGTGCTTAGACCTTTCTGTACAGGGTACATGAAGGCTTTACTTAAATTTATGCTTCACCCTTCTTTATCTATTGGTCTGGGTAGTGAATTGAAGAGGGATTTGGAAGCGAATTAGGAAATGGGGATTGAAATAGAGAAAAAGCTTGGGTCAGACTCTTACAAGCAGAAGACAACGGCGCTGAATGCAACTCATGACCATCTAACGAAATTATTAAGAGATATGCATCGCAACAGGGAGCTCCTTGACGATTTGCGGGACCTATCCATGGGGGCCGAAATGCAAACCAGAGTCAGTATCGGTAGAAATGTTGAGGACCGTGGGAATTGGCATTGGACATGTGGACAACGTCTTCCTCAGAGCCATATTTGTCACAATGTAACTAGCATCATAAAAGAGACGCACCAGTTACGAGTTGTTTGCTACTCGGGACGAAAATGACGGCGAAACGTGGAGGACAAAGGTGAAACAGGACCTCGTGATGGTCGTTGGTGTTGGTGCGGCTGTCGCCCCAGCAACGCGCGATACGAAAATAAACGCCGCCGAACTCGACCACCAGGCCGTCGCGAGCACATCTTCAACATTGCATCACTTCTGTTCTTCCGCTGCACGCCGTACGCTTTGGCTCTAAAGATTTGGCGATTTTGCAGTGTTGATAGTGTGTTTACTCTCGCTTTCTTCGCCTGCACGATCCCCGTGACTCCGACTCTCACCCTATATTCCTTGGTTGGATATCCGACGCCGATCGCCGGTGCATGAGCGCCTGAAAGCTATCGAAGCCGCTGGCGGGCTCTGCAGTTATGGACACGAGTTACCTGGCCCAGCAAGTTACGACCATCATCGGCCAGCTGCACGGCCTGTTTGATGATATTGGTGTTCCTAGCCATGAGAGGGATTCCCGCGAGGCAGAGGTACAACGAGCCCCGCTATGGCACTGCATGCAGGAATAATGACTAACCTCCCTACCAGCTCTTCTCAGCTCTGTCTGAGACTCTCCATAATCAGCTCCGTCATGTCACCAAGTACGTTTCCCATGCACCATTTCCCATGTGTCGCTAACGATGCCCCTCACAGCGAGAAACACGAGATGACAGAGGAGGCGCATCGCTTGATCAAGACCATCAGGCAGATGGAAACATCTCTCGAAGATAAGAAACCTAACGCTGGATACGAGCTTGACGACAAGAACATGAAGGTCACTTACCCTTTAACCCGCTGCCTTCAGACGCTCAAGGAGAAGTTCAACGCTGTCGGCAAACTTCATCGAGAGCGCTTCGAGCAAGTGAGGAGTATGTCGCTCCTCAATACTGTACTCGAGGATACGCTAACGCCGCGCAGAACTTGCTGAGGCTCTCGAGTCTTATGCCTCTCACCTGGAACCCTCCTTCGTCCAGGTCAAGCTCCCCCCATCCGGGCCTAATGCCACAATATCTACCTCTTTCGATATTTCACCGTCCTATGTTGCGTCTCTGGACAATGAGTTTACGCGTGTCTACGAGGAATATACACGGCGGATCAACAATGTACAAGCCCTGTGCCAAGAGATCATTCAGCTATGGGCCGAGCTAGGGACGCCACAGGCGCAGACGGACAGCTCTATCGTAAAGCATGGGCGCGACGCACCGGAGCAGTTGGGATTGCACAAGGATGATTTGGCGCAGCTGAAGTCGAAGAAGGAGCGTTTGATCGAGGAGAAGCGCGGCCGGGAGCGTCGACTCAAGGAGCTTCACGCTACAATCGAGGACCTTTGGGAACGCCTCGGGATTGAAGAGCATGAGCGAAAACAGTTCCTAATGAGCAACCGTGGTTGCGGGCTCCGGACAATCAACGAATTCGAGGATGAGCTTGCCAGGCTGAACGAGCTGAAGCGCCAAAATCTTCATCTCTTCGTAGAAGAAGCGAGGTGCAAACTGCAGGAACTATGGGATGCACTGTACTTTTCGGAAGAAGAGATGCTCGACTTCACGCCTGCATTCTCGGGTATGCTTAGAGCCCCACTGAAAACAAAATAATGCTGACAGGGGGTAGATGTTTGCAGTGACGCCTTACTTGCCGCTCACGAAGCAGAGATTGCTCGACTGGAAGCGCTCAAGGAGCAACGACTGCCTACGCTTCAGAAGATTGACCGACATCGTGAGCTTGTGAAGGAGCGTGACGATCTTCAAACTTCAAGCCAAGACGCGTCCCGTCTCATGGCCCGTGGAAACAAGGGAGAACGTCGTGATCCAGGAAAGCTTCTGCGGGAAGAGAAGATGCGAAAGCGCATCGCAAAGGAGTTGCCCAAGGTTGAAGCCGAGTTAAAGAAGACACTTGAGCGGTGGGAGGATGAGTATGGTCGTCCATTCCTTGTCCATGGAGAACGATACCTTGATGAGCTCTACGCCTCTGCATCAAAAGCCCCGCCACCCCGGTCGAAGACTCCCTCAGTCGCACCTCAGCCCGTCAAGCCTCCAAAGTCTGCCCCTGGTAGTCGCGCCGGCACCGTGCGAGGACCCCCACCTTCGAGAGCAAAAACACCCACGGCAAGTTTCGCCGCCAGTGTGTCTCGCAATCCGCTTGCCAGCTCCACCATGTCTGCAGCTTCTGGAGTTAAGAGCCCCTCGAAAATTCCCTCTCGGGCTCCTCTGAAGAATATGCCGCACGGAGGCAACTCACCTGAGCGCCGACCTCCGCTGGAGAGGGAAGATTCTTCTACAATTCGGAAGATGCCGCCTCCACGTGCACCACCACCAAGGATGAAGGACCTCTTTGTCCCACCAGAACCCGCTCCAACACCAGCAAATCGCTTCGAGATCAATCGTGATCGTAGCGAGAGCATCGTACGACACGTGCCGCCAGAGGACCCATATGATGACCGTCAGTATATGTCGCACAGCATCCGTGCAGGTTACACGCCCCAGTTCGCGCCGCCTCCAGCCGGTAGGCAGATCTCTCAGACGTCGTCAACTGGAACTGGTGCCACGATGCAGTCCGGGTCTGAGAACTGGGAGACATTCAGTGAGCAGTCTGAGGAACCGGATCGGGACGCTGACTACTACAACTATCGGGCCGCAGCCGCGCGGAACAAGCGATTTACTCCTGACGGTGGGCATCCTTCTCCGCGTGGGGTGCATGGCAAGAAACTCAGGAGCATACGGGGTGTCCCAGACGGCGGTGACCTCATGATGGAAGCCGAAGGTGGACGAATGGTAAGGGTTGTAGAAGGCAGCGAGGCAGGATGGACTGACGAAGATGCCTTCTGAGTCAAGTATCCACCACTGCTCCTTCTTTCTTTGGATTATTCATCCACGAGCCATTTACGAAGGGTTGATGTGACACGTCTTGATATGATGTTCCACGTCGTTCCTTTTTGGTCTCTTGGCATCTCTTCCTAACGGCTACGTCCAAGTTTTCCATCGCGTCCACCGGAAATTCTTCACTTCTCGGATTACTTGTTTTTCTACATTGTAATTTCTTGCATCGACACGGCGGTCTGGTTTGAAAATTTCTGCACACTCTCCGGGTTATGACTGGACGGGAGAGTCGCCACGGTACCAGGGCAGGGCTTGGCACATGTGATATGTTTTCTTTCACACCCACGCCAACAAGTTTGTGGTGTCTGATCGTCCCCGCCCCATCTTGGGAGCGGCAGCTGGACCTGGTCTTCCCCACATTTTGCTGCTTACAGGAGTACGGCGGAAGGAGTTGTTTGGTTCGGCGTGTGTGTTTGCGTGGGGCGGGATGCTTTATTTGACTTTTTTTCCTTTTCTCTTCTCGATCAAACAAACCAATGGTTTGGGTGTTGAGCGATATGCGTGTGATGGCTTACTATATTGGTATTGGCGGAAGACGGCAGCGCAAGCATGTACCACTATACGGGACGAGAAGGGAACACAAAAATATATTATTTAAGCTTTTCTCCCTATCTGAAGGTGACACAGATGACTTCACAGCGCGGCTGCAAAGGCGGGTGCGGAAGGGGCGGCTGCTCGTGAATTCTGGCTTATCTTTGGGCAGCACTGGCAACTAACGGTCCGCAGGCCAGGACCAGGTGTCCTAAAAGGGGCAGGTGGCCTGTGGGGTATGCAGGTCAGGAAAGGATGGTGGAAGGATGTGGAAGGGCGGTGTTGTTCTGCATGGAAGGCGTGCATGCGGGCATCTTTGGGGCAGAGATAAGCATATGCGCTGTGAGAGGTCCGGAACTCGTGCCGCGAATAGCAGTGAGCAGTCCGGAGTCGGCTGAGGAACCATCGAGTCTTGTCGAGCTGCACCAGCATCGACAAGTCATCACAACTGTTGCCGCGGACGTGGTCAAAGTTCGGTGAACGAGTCGTGGGGCACCAGTGTGGGTGGGCCCTCGTCGGCACGCAGCGCTCCCTTCAGCCCTGCAGCGCAAATCACGGAGGAGGTGGGATGGCCAATCAGACACTGCTCGGACGAGATCTGCAGTAGCCAATCTGGGAGCGATCCTGCGGACCGAAGAGTGTCGCGCAGCCGGCATGGACAAGGGTACGCTTGAACGAGCACTTGGAGCAACGGGCGGATTCACGGCGGCGTCCGGAGCACGACCAGCAGCTTGAGGCCACGCAGCTCCTTCGAGAGACCCGGAGACATCAGAAGACAGCAGCGGATCGTGGGCTGAGCAGTGAGCCTAGATTTCCGCCTGGCCTGGGCTCAGCACACACGCAAGGGCCAGCCTGTGTCACGGGAACATTGGTCCAGTGCCCCGTCGCTTTGGCAGTTTGCCCACGCGACGCCCGTCTCTCTTTATCAGGCCTTTCCGATAGCCCAGCGTCATAATAGCCTTCGCCTCAGCCATCCATCCCCCTCCACCGCTATTGCTCCTTCACGTTCCTCTACCCTTTCGCCAGCCCACCCTCATCCCTCACACCTCACACGATATTTTGTGCCGAATCATTGCCAGGCTGCTCGGCGACGGCACCCACCCCCGGCTGGCCTAATGCTCCTTCGACTTTATCCCCTTCGGCATCTCGTCCAATCCCGCCGCGGCAATAACGTAAACGCGTCTAGCTCGGAACCGGCAAACGTTACCACACTTATTTGAGCATTGCTGTCGAGGTACCGTCTCCACCATGATGGTGCCAAGGTCGTATCCCTTCCTTCACCAACCTGCGCCCTCGCCCGATCGCCGCCAGTCGAAGAAGATGGGAGCAAGACCCGCGAGGACGGTCCCTGCTACCTCAAATTCAGCGCGACCACAGCCCGCCGAGAAGCAGGAAACTATGTGTAATATTGCGGTTCCCAAGCCGGTCACGCCTACACCCCCGGTGCACTCCAAACCTGTCGTCATTCCGCCGCGAACACCGATCAGGACCCTAACATCGACACAGACTCAGACCGTGAGAGCAAGAGGCCAGAATGGTGGCAGGAGTCAACGAGTACCCGCAAACCACAAATCCGATGCGATCCCTCCCGCCGTAGCTGCCCTGTTGGCCGTCACGGAGATACCACCAATGCCGAAACGGCGTCGCAACTGGTCTACCATGGACCGGAGTATATCTATGGACGAGCTTATTAAGGAGTGGAAGCAGGACGACACGGACCTGGCGTCTTCCGTCACTGGCTCGCCGTTGGATCTGCTTTTGGGTCGCGTGGACGAATATGAGGAGGACTGTGTCAGTTTGCGCAGCCTGGAGCAAGAGAAGGACTTCCTGACATGCCGGTCTATATCGAGTGACTCGATAGCCTCTACTATTCCGCCCTCTTTGGAGCCAGATGCCCCGTCCATCACTTCGACATGGGACAATCTCACCACTCCCGATTCCTTTGGAAGAAGACTACCTGACCGAAGAGAGAGGATTGTTCAGTCGCCGCCAAAAGAGGAATGCATTCTGGACCACCCTCTCCTACACTTTGACCCCGACGAGTGCGAAGAACTGGCCAATCTGGAGATTCCAGATATTGGTACCCCTTCACCCACTTCGACGGACAGATTTAAATCTTTCAAATCTAACCTCACGGCTTCACTACAGGCCCTGAAGTCCGCCGCCAAATCCTTTTCAAATTTTACAGCGCCGAGTGTCCCTCCTGACGATCTTCTAACGCGATCACTTCTATCACCCAAGTTCACCAGCGAAATGCGACCAAAGCAATTACAAGGGATACCCTCACCGGCGCTTCGGCGGTATCTCAACCCGCAATCTACTCTCATGGCACCAATATCGCCAACAGAACTATCTATGCAGCTCCACGACGCTTTCATACTAGACGAGAATATCGACACAACCGCTCCTATGATCCAGATGCAAACATACGACCGACGCGGCCGCTCATCAAGCCGGAAACGCAGAGGCTCAGATCAGTTTTCCGAAGCCGGAAGGACCATTTCACCTTCACCAGCTGTTCGCCAGCGTGAGCCCCGAGAAAATAGTGACTTTCTACGTGTCATTGTTCTCGAGATGAACATGCGCCGGGTCGGAAAGCTGGATGCGAAAGCTGTCGGGAAAGCGCGCATTTGGCTTCCGCCAAGGAAAACGGGCTCCAGTAAAGTTCCTTCCATTCATGGCGGCGTGCCGGGAAGGTGGACTGCGATTTCGGCCGACGAGGAACTTTGAGTGAGACGCCAGAAGTCGTCAGCCGTTTAGGCTTGGGCTTGAACAGCGTGCTGTTCGCGTAAAGTCTTTTCCCCGAGTCGAACTGTACGTGTCGCACGACACTTGCAGAGCCAAACGTAGGTGTTCGAGGAATCAGGAACCGCTAAATGAGATTTACGTCAGCGGAGGATCCTGGCGTTAATCGCGAGCTGAGCATCTCCTCGGAATCTGAACAGCGGACACTGCCAAGGCTGGTTCGGCGGCTCGCCCGCTCAGGACCAGACCGAGGACTACTCTTGACATTTCAGGCAAGAAGGACGGATAACCACTTTTCTGTAAGATTGCTTTGGTCCAAACTTATCCAGCACACACTTGGACGACGAATTTCACCGTCTGCATTCACGACAATTTACGGGTTACCCTCACGTTAGTAGACACCCCGGATATCGATGCGTCCTTTCCATGCATCCCGGAAAGGAACTTAATCCCACGACAGCACAGCGCATCCCATTAACGCAAGCATCCGAATCACCCGAATGCGACCCGTTCCTGCATCATGGCCCAGGTTCACTGGCTGAAAGCCCCATGTCTGTTATTCGCTCGTCTTCGTGGCGTGACAAAAGCGTCATTGGGCTTTTGTGAGCGAGCGTGAGCCGGCATGGTGGGACTGGCCGAAAATGTGCGCTGTGTGTCGTCTGGCTGCCGGAATTGGGCGGGAAAGTGGGGGTGGGGATGTGAAATGACAAAGAGTTACCTTCCACATTTCTAGAGTTCAAGGGGCATGTACGATTTGGCACGGTACAAAAAGATGTTGGAGCTTGCATTATGATGAGTGCAATTTCGCGTTTTGCAAGAGTGGATTTATTGATTTTAGCGCTTGGCGTTCAGCATTTATTACGAAGGAAAGGATAAATGAGCATGTTCTTGCGGTGAGCGAAGGAAGAATCGCATGCTGGGCTCGCCTCCTCTCTCGTCTGTTTGCTTTTCTTGCTTTGCAGCGAACGAACGACATACGGCATGTATGCCTGTACTTCGCCCCGGCGTCGGTCTAGCCCTGTCTTTTTTTTCACCAACTGCATCTTTTCAACAGTAACTGCATCATCTCACTTTCGAATGCTGGAGTTGGTTTCATGTGCAGTGCAGTGCATTGCATTGCACTGCATACCCTCGGCCGCTTGGACGGCTGTTGTTCTCGATTGCATGATATTTTTCTTTGTCTGGTTTTATATCCGATGAGCTTAGATTTCTTATACTCTGGTAGTAGGGGAGGGGGGAAGGGGTGTGTTAGATTGAATATATTCTTGAATCAGAATTAGATTCCTGACTTCAAGGTGTATCTTCAGCTCGCGAGAATTCAAATCAAAGATAGGTGTACTATGTAGATATAGAGTTGCGACCAAAACTCTGAGAGCTCCTACTGTGGGCTTCACGGAAGTGTCTAGGAGATGAGCCCAGAGGAAATGACATCGAATAGTTGGGCGGGCATTCTGTAGCAGGTGATCGGAGAAACCAGCAGATACAAATATATATTTACTTAACTTTTGGTTCTTGGAGAATAACGACTGTTTGTAGTCTAGAAACTAAAGCAAATATAGCCCAGAGCTTCTCGCCTGTATCCGGTCTACCTTCCAGCTATCTCTGTATCTCTTTCCTCCCTGTTCTATTCGGATTGCGGAGAACTACGACACATTCGCACGGCCCCCTAAGAACAGACTGCAGCTCCAGCTGTAATATGGGAAAGTATGGGAGGAGCGCCTTCGAACTGCCGACTGGAACATATGCGCTTACTTTGGCGGTACAGATGTGATGATAGGGTACCAGTCGCTTGCTCACACTTCCCTGTGGGGCCTTTATTCACAATAATCTGGGAAATACCTCAGCATGTAACAGTAATGAATGAATGCTAGATAAGAACAGCAGGGAGAGGGAACGAGAAAGATAATATTAAGCTTGTTTGATGTTGTAATTGTGGAAGGGTATTGGTGAGAAGTTTACGAGTCTGGGGGGCGGGTGGAAGGGCAGGGGTGAGAAGCTTAAGTTTAAGCTTTAAATCTTAATCCATGAAGTTTGCAAGCGCGGATGATGCAATTAGGGAAAGTGATGAATGAGGTGATAATGAGTAGTAGTGTACACTGCTATTTACTTTGTGTAGGAGTGAGATGTGCTGAGCCTAGGGCTGGAGTGGGATGCTCGGACCGTGCCGGAGGGATTGGTTGAGAAATGTGCTATGTATCGCGATGGTTGGTTTGGTGAGTATGTGGGTCAATTAAGTGGACTGCGCTACCAAATCGGTATTTCAAAATTGGTAGAGAGGGTAAGCTTGGAAGGCTCGGTTTTATCTGTGGGAGGATAGAGCGTGACGAGGGATTGGTGAGTTATTGGTGAGTTGACAGGATGACGGATAGCAGCCGACGCAACTCAAATCAATTATTCGATTCAGTATGGAAGCAAGGAAGTCAACCCCCGCAGACCTAACTAAAGCATTAGAGGTCCCACTGCAGCCTCAGGCTGGTAGGACTCTTCTGGAACCCCTCACCCGATGTTGCTATTCGCTTTGAAGTCGGTGTTCTGTGCGCGGTGTTCTGAGGGCAGCTGAAATCTCTACTCACCTGCACGACACCGCCGTTTCAGCCGCTCTCAACGATCAGAGTTCCCCAAGTCGACCTTGCAGTAGTCTTCAGACAACTCAAAGGGGGCTCTGGAAAGGGAGAGGCGTTGTTTGAACAAGTTTGACAGAAGCGTCGAGCTGGACGCGGCGATTGGTGATTTGAGCTCTCGGATGTGCCGCAGAAGGGCTGCCGGCAGATGCCACACACCCGACGTCTCGGGGCTTGTCGCACAGGACAGCCAGCCCTAATCCTCCTTCCCATCCCAAGCCCCTTGGCACAGAATCAAGCCTCGACCCCAACTGTGCCTCGTCGCCAATCCATTCTCAACGCCATCAGACCCGTCTTGGAGCCATGTCGCCCGTTTGAATGTTTACATCCATGAGAGTTCCCGCCTCGGCCGCCCCTGCTGCTGGACCAGTATAGTCACCGAGGATGGACGACCCGGCGCGGGTGCGGAGGGCCCAACTCTTCGACGGCCAGCCCACCACCACCGAGTCGTATCGCGTATGTATACACAACTGAGATCGCCTGCGAGAGAGTTTACACTGACGGCGTTTGCGACAGCACTGTGTCCCCTTCAAGCTTCCCTCGGACGGCGTCATCCAGATCAACCCAGAATACGCTGTCACGTTGACAGCCGACGCTGTCTTCACTCCACAATGCACGAGCGCACAGAAAACGCAGGCGTTGGGCGAGGAGATGGGCGGCGTAACGAGCATTTCGGACATGCGGGACCCTTTCCACGCTTCTATCACCCCGCAGGCCTATGCGACGGGCGCCGCGACCGTCATCGCGTGGATGCTTGTCATCATGCTTCTCATAACACCACGCACCTTCTTCGTAGGTGGGTCAGGAGGGAGGTCGGGATTGATGGGCAGACGCGGCATAATCGGCGGAGCCACTGGAGGGGGATCGATTATTGGAGTCGGAACACGCCCTTGGCTGCAAAAGGTCGCTGCGCTGACCGTCGCCATTTCGCTGACGCTTGCTACCGCCGACACGTTCAAGATCGCCGAAGTGCAGTACAAGGAGGGCTTCATGGATGCGATGAAGCTGCGAGACGAGGTCGTGTCTGGCATGGAGATCAAGGTGTCACGTGTCATCTCAGACGTGTTCCTCTGGCTCGCACAAGTCCAGACACTGATACGCCTATTCCCGCGACATAAAGAGAAGGTTATTATCAAATGGGTCGGATTCGCACTCATAGTCCTAGACATCACGTTCAGCTCCCTCAACAGTTTTGGCCCGTACAACGACAACGGCCGTCCTCGCCATTTCGAAACCGCCATCCCAGCTTTGAGTTACCTCTTTCAGTTATCCCTTAGCATGCTCTACGCTGCCTGGGTCATGTACTACGCCATCACGAAGCGCAGATACGCCTTTTATCATTCCATGATGTGGAATATCACCATCGTCGCTCTTCTTTCCCTTGTTGCCATTCTTACCCCTGTTGTTTTCTTTATTACCGATATCTCTAATTACACCATTGCCGGTTGGGGAGACTATTTTAGATGGGTGGGTGCTGCAGCAGCTAGTGTTATTGTTTGGGAGTGGGTGGAACGAATCGAGGCACTAGAAAGAGAGGAAAGGAAAGATGGAATTCTTGGAAGAGAGATTTATGATGGGGATGAGATGCTCGAGACTACACCTTCTCTGGAGGTTAGCTGGCCCCGACCACATCGAAATAGCTGGGTATCCGACAATGGAGATCCAAAGAAGCCAGGCGATGGCGGCGCTGGTGGAGGAGGAGCCTTCGCGTCGGGTGCGGCTGGCCATAGCTTCAGCAGTCTTGCCCAACGACTGGGGCGATCGAGAATCCAACGAAAGACAGAGGCCCAGAAGAAACGAACAATCCATATCCCGCCGCCTGCGCCCGCACTCCGTCGATCTGAGTCTGGTCAACGATCAAATCGGAACTCACGATCCTATATTCCTTTACAGAGTCCTCTCCCTATTCCTGTTATCTCGTCACCTGTTAGTAGAACAGACACAACAAGTGCAGACAGCACAGTGTATACGATACGCTATCATCCTATTAGCAATTCCCCGCCAACAGTAAGACACCCTGTCTCGGTGGAGGACCGGTTAGGACGTACTCCTTCAAACAGTGCGCAAAATACACAGGGTCACTCAGCAAATGAGGACCCAGAGAAAGCTTCAGAGGAAGCGGAACGAACGCAAGGCAGAAGCAGATGGCATTGGCAGGCTGTAGCCAATCCGTTCAGACGAAGAGGTCGATCGCCGCCGCCCGAAGTCCAGCGAGGAAGAGTTATCGAGCCGCTAGGTATAGAGGACGTTTCAGCCAACATTCCGCCGCGGAACTATACCGGCCTAGCACTGAAAGATCGATTAGGGACATTAGCTGCGCAGCAAGGAGAGAGGTTCCGCAAGAAGAGCAGTGGCGGACAGCAAACAGAGCTCAACCTTCCTGTCACAATAATTCCTGCTCAGCCACGAGGAAGGACATGGTCACCTGAGATTCTGCTGCAGCAACAGCCACAAGTGTCTAGCACAGCAGGTGTTCAAGTCTCGAGAGATCCACCCCGATCAGTGCCCATGGGCACGGAGATCCACGATACTCCATCAACTCCTCAGCTATATGGGTCTCCGAATCCGGCCGATGCTACACAGGAACCGTCAGGCTCGCCGTCACATCATAACTCACGTGTTCGGTTTACCCCAGAGACGTTCCTGATACCGGGTACAAGGCAATCAGTGGACACAGAAGCGAGGATGTCTCCACATCCACACTCTGTTATATCGCTAGGAACAGAGAAACGGGAACCCCAAGCATCCGACTCCTCTCTAAAGGCATCTAATGAACAGTCCGCAAATGCCACCAACATAGCGAACGGCCGTGTATCACCCACCAACCATAACAGGTAATGGTATCTACCACTCTCGGTAATCTTCCTTCTGTACCTACGAAACATGTTTCTGAGCATCAATTTTGATTCAAGAATCTGGAAAAGGCGCATGGTCGGCGACATGGGAAACACAGGCGGGTCTTTGGAAGCGAACTGCATAACATTGGGCATGAGATTTTGGCGAACTGGTGACGTGTTTTTCTTTGGATCTGGGAGGTTTCTTTTGGCGATTACTGTGGTATTCCTAGGATGGAAACGATACCCGCCCGAGTTCTGAGATTTGGCTGATTCAATCATTGGGTTGGGATGGGAAAATCATGGGATTGTGGGCGTGCGGATTGCAAGCGAGCATGTTTAGATTTAGGAATATTGAGACAATGCGTAGCAAGCAAGCCAGTAGGCAATTCAAAATGTATTCGAATTCAGTGTGGTTGCATTTGCCAAGGTGACAAGAGATGCACCAGCGCACGCTGAACGGCTATCGAACGCTCGGACCACATGTACCAAGACGTGTGCAAGCTTCCCTGTTCCATGCGCGGGCGGTATCCTTCGCCGTATATCATAGCTCGAGTTACGACCATGACCTCGTCACCTTGACCTCAGTCTGTTGGGACCTCGAACGTTACAGGCATCCATCTACAAGCCGTGAAATACTCGAACCTCCTTTGTGAAGTTCATATTCTCCACTCCCCGCAGTAGCAATGTCTCTGTTTGGCGATGACGACCTACCCTCGCGGCCAAAACAATCGGCCCTCTTCGACGACGACCCAAAGCCCGCGTCTAGGTCGGGCAATAGTCTTTTCGCTGACGACTTCCATGGCGATGATTCCCCGTGGGGCTTCCCGACGCCCAAGAAGGCGGCCCGCGGTTCACTAGTTAGGTCGTTGCTTCCTGCTTCGGACGTACCTGATGCTTACATCGACGCTTTCGATGCCATACTCGACTCTGGCAATCGCGCGGGTAATGGAATAAGCACAGAGGGAGTCAAGAAGTTGCTGCAAGATAGTGGGATATCGGGGGAGTCCCAGTCGAAGATATTGGGCATTGTTTCGCAGCCCGGACAGGAAAGCGCGGGACTGGGAAGGAACGAGTTTAATGTGCTTTTTGCTTTGGTGGGGCTAGCGCAGGAAGGCGACGATATTACACTTGACAGCGTTGATGAGAGGAAGAGGAGTGAGTGATCTGTACAACTGCACCTTACGTGAAGATGGGACTGACATGGTCTTTCGCTAGATCTACCCGTGCCGTTGATATCACTCCCCAGGCCAACGATACAGGGCTCCAAGGTGAATGAGGCACCTGCTCCAGCTAATAGCCTACCGCCACCGACTCCCCCGCCTCAGCAGCAACCCCAGTCCCAGCCGGCAGTTACACCGAACAAGTCGCGTGCCATGCGGAAACAGTCTTTCCCGGATCCCGAGGTGGATCCTTGGAATAGCCCGGACTTGCATCGGGGTCATAATCATACAACCTATACTTCTGTTCCGCCGCAGACGAATGGCATCAGTGTCCCGGCGACTAGGAGGACGACAAGCCAATTTACCACCACCTCTGAGTCTACTACCACTACCTCGAACAACCCGCCAAACCGCCAAGACCAGCAGTCAAACTCCCTTCCGAGCGAAGGAGGCTGGGGTGGATATAATGGCGGATCTGGGGAAGGCTTCTCTGGCTCAGGAATTGGTGGAGAAGGCTTTGGTCCTCCTACGGGCGGAGAAGGCGGTCCCAGCAATCCCATTGGCATTAGCAGATCCCTCGGTGGAGGTCGCATCGCCTCAACTGGGGTGGAAGAGGTCATTGTAATAACCGCCATTGCCGAAAAAGAAGGAATGTTCATGTTCCAGCACCGGAATTACGAAGTCTCATCCGCTCGCCGCAGCAGCAAAGTCATCCGTCGATACTCCGATTTCGTGTGGTTATTAGATTGTCTGCACAAGCGATATCCATTTCGGCAGCTGCCTTTGCTGCCGCCGAAGAGGGTTGCCAGTAAGTGTTCCTTGCGTACGTCTTTTAGTAGTAATTGAGGTTTCTTAGTCAATGGTAATTATTTAGCTGCGGATGCGAGTTTCGTGGAGAAGAGGAGACGAGGTCTGACCAGGTTCGCGAATGCCCTTGTTAGGCACCCCGTGTTGAGTCAGGAGCAATTGGTGGTTATGTTCTTGACTGTGCCCACTGTGAGTCTCTGTATACTCCTTATTCATGCTCAAACCAGTGGCTGATTACAGGTACAGGAATTGGCCGTCTGGCGGAAACAAGCCACTATCTCCGTCCAAGAAGAATTCTCCGGCAAACCACTCCCACCGGATCTTGAGGATTCTCTGCCAAAAACCCTGCCAGACCTCTTTGACACAGTCCGCTCTGGTGTCCGTCGCTCGGCAGAAGTCTACATCAACCTTTGTAACATGGTGGAGCGTCTAACTAAACGCAACGAAGGCATGGCCGCAGAATATCTCCGTGTCTCAACCGCCCTACAATCCCTCACCGAAGTCTCCAAAGACACGTACGCCTGTGACACCAACGACGTTCCGCTTTTAAATGAAGGCCTCGCTTCTACAGCAAAGCATCTAGATCAGTCTCGGAATTTGCTCGAAGATGAAGCGAGGGGGACGGAGGAAGGTGTTCTAGAGGATCTAAAGAGGCAGAGGGATTCTCTGGTTAGTATGAGGGACTTGTTCGATCGACGGGATAAGTATGCGAAAGATAATATTCCGTATTTGGAGAAGAGGATTGCAACGAATGAGGCGAAATTGCAGGCTATTAGGAGTAAGCCCGCCGAACAAATGAGGCCGAATGAGGCGGAAAAGGTGGAGGAGGCGATATTTAGGGTGAGTAAGCTCATATTGCAGGACCCCTTACCGCCCTGATTCCCAACCCTAATCCCAAGAACGAGAGAAGAGAATTTTAGGGATGAGCGCTGATGGTTCCTTTCTAGGATAAGGAGTCTATCGTCCAGCAACACGCGAGAGGAGTGTTCATCAAAGAGTGTATTCGAGATGAATTGCTATTCTTCCAGCAGAGTCAGTACCATGTTAGTCGACTGCATCAAGATTGGAGCCAAGAAAGGGTCAAGTATGCAGAATTACAGGCGGATAATTGGAGGGCGTTGAGCGAGGAGGTTGAGGGAATGCCATTGGGCGATTGAAAGGCTATTGGAGGGGATGCTGAAGTGATCCGGTTGTGAAGTTGTACGCGAAACGAAGACGACAAGACGTATCATCTCCCGGTTCTGTGGGTTGTAATTTGTATATTGTCTCTGGGTAGGTCTCGTACATATTCGAGCGCGCAGTTTTTGTCCTTCCACAATTACGCAAGTAGTATCTGTTACAGTAATGGCACTTCGGTGTTTGAATTCTGGCATGCAGGGACAATGCGCCTCCACGTGTTTACTCCAGCCTTGCATCATCAGTGCCTTCTAAATCAGCCTGACGATACTTTTTCTTTTGCGGGTGAGTGACAAGCTTATACGCGCGCCTGCCAACGTCACATCTGCCCTGCAGCGGACACCGCAACTTCCCTCCTTTCATGTACGGCTGGCTAGGGACAGAAACACAAACGCGTAGAGGACCGGACCCACCCAGGGTGAACCCTCTCAGCAGCCTCGAGCACTCGTCCGCACAACTACCGACTAACCGATTGACAGCCTGCCTCGCGGGGCTGCATGCCAAACTTGTTCCGGACAGCCCTCGATATGACGAAGCGCAAGGCGACTGAGGCCTCAAAGGAAAGTGCTGTACCTGCGGGAAACAAGAAGAAGAAGGTAGAGACGAAAGAGGATGTCGCAATGGGGCTGCCAAAAGCCAATCCAAAGGACACGAAGGGTAAGGGGAAAGAGGCTCAGGTGGAGAAGAAGGAAAATGGCAAAAGTGAGTTAGTTTCTAAGTCTTTCGCGCCGGTTTGGAGATGCATCTACATTTGCATGGCCGGGACATGCATGGTGTTGGAGATTGCAGGTGGTTGCAAGTGAATGCCTCAGGCATCAACGCGGGGCAGGGCAGCTTATCGATAGCGCCGTCCCCCAGCACGCAGAGACGAAGGCTTGACTCGACTTGGCTGCCTACTCACTGCAACTACACGCACGCACGCACGCACGCACGCACCCCCGAGCCCGTGGATGTGTCACCGGAGTGACGGGAATTCACCACTGGAATCGAACTGCATCTCTTATTTTCTGCTTTCACTCCCCTGTTCTTTCATTCCCCTTCTCTGTCCCTCCTCCACCTGTCACTCTCCTTTCCCCCTCCTCACCTCACGCACTCTTCCCCCTACCCTCACACCTCATCCGCACGAGATCGAGACTGACGACAAGTCGCGATGCCGCCAGGCTACACCAGCCAGCAGAAGGCTGCCATCAGCCAGTTCATGACGTTCACGAGTACCGATCGGAATACTGCGATTCGGGTGAGCTGGTTCCCGGATTTGGAGGGATTTAGGAGGGCGTGGAGAGACAAAGGCTAATGCGAGGACAGAACTTGAAGAGCCATGGGTGGAATCAAGAACAGGCTGTTAATGGGTAAGTGGATTTCCTGCGTTTGGTTTTTTGCACTGCATGCCTGAATGCCCATTCTGCCCTGCCTGCCATTTGCCTATACTTCGGGCTGCTGGATGTTGCGCCTGGATTGGCCCTGGAGACTTTGGTGGTCTGGATCGGTGCGCAAAATCGAAACGAGTGATCGAAGCGGAGACGGCCGTGCAGAATACTTTCGCAAAGAAACACAACGAAAGAGTGTGGAGTACCACTGTAGACGGCTGTTGCGCATTGCGAGTACATGGCTTGGGATTTCGATCGGGATACTACATGTCTGGCGGAGAGAGATGCATGGCAACGCGTCACCGCTTCCTGGCAACCATTTCCGGCTCAAGGAATGCTGTTACTTCTCTCGGAGCCTAGCGAAAGATCTCCTACCCATGGGAGTAGCTTCATCAGGAACCAAACCCCGGATACAGGACGTCGCTGCCATTTCCGAGACCATCAACACTCTGCCGCGCGCCTTCTTCGGGCCCCGGTCATCCTGCATCACTTCAACAAACAAATAGGCCTCCTCCCTCTTTCATTCTCTCCATCCTCTACATCGACGCCCAAGTACTCCGTCTACGCCCTTGGCGGTAGCTTTGACAGGCATGTTCGGGTCCCGCGAGGATAGGGCTAGACAGCTTGCAGCACGTCACAGGAGAAACAACCGTGTTAGTTCCCTGAGTTCAGTAAGCTCACAGCAGAGCCTGCATGGCACCGATGGTTTTGAGTCGCAGCATCCAACGCAATATACTTTCGCACCGAACAACAGGACGCCAAGTGGCCATACAGACAGCCAATCAATAGGTGCTGCTCACTTGTCAGCACCGGGAGCCAACCATCCAGATTCAAAGCATCCGGAGACATTGAACGGCCTTTCGGCAGGAAACCATCAATCGGGACACAAGTCTTATGGGCAGTTGAATGGTAATCACCACTCGGCCCCAAACGGCTACCAATCGCCTCAAACAGAGCACTTTCAAATGGAACAAATGCGAATGCAGATGGAGCATTTGAGCAATGTCCTGTACGGAGAACCTACTCCACCGAACTTGGAAGATCCACCGTCGAGCCATTATACGGCGACAAACCATCGTACGTCGTTTAAACGAATGAGGAAGAAGACCCCAGGATGGTCAACTAAGGAGCTTAAGCCATCTTCAGTGGATCATTCTACGTCGCATGAGGAACCAACGGAACTTGCTTTAGCCGAAACTACTTCCAGTGCTCCAGTGCTGGTAGAAGCTCCTTCTAGTAGAACTACGTTCAAGGCATTGATGCTCCCAAAATTCCCGGTCAAAGACGAAACTACTAGGCCGAAACTGGAGAGCCTTCGTACAGAATCGATTCGACCAAGACCCAATCCACCATTGAATCCTGCTCGTAAATTATCTTCCGGAAGGGTTCGCGCGACATTATCGTCTATTGATCCCTCGTCAGATCCGAGGGAGACAATCAGAGCATTACCAACCCCACAAACTACTTTGTTCAATGTGATGGATCAGCCAATAATGCAGCTTGATTCCGCAGCCCATCGGTCTCCCTACCTCCCTGTGAAGACTTCCAGCGAACCAAATCTACATCAGGCGCAGATGCGTGGTGGTTCCGAACGACGAGACCTTTCACAGCCTCCGACCAATCGCCAAGGTTACCTTTCGTTTCCGATGGAGAATAAGACATACCCACCAGCTCAGGATAGTAATGGAGCCTCTGCTCCGGATCCAGTACTCAATGGGAACCCTGCTTTGGCTTCCCCCATGCTCCAACAGATGGAGCAGTCTTTGCTCCAACAAGTGCGCGAAACGACGGATGCCATGCAACTGAGCGATACATTTCAACAACTTCATCGTATCTACGCCCGGCAACAATTTGAGAATGAGGTTCTTCGTGCGGCGGATCCTCACCGTCCCGTTCTTCATCCCGCGGTGAATTATCAGTTTCTTCCGGCTGCCCCATATTCTCAGCCTCAGATTCCCGAGGGTTATGACCTCTCTCAGAGTTATGACCAACCTCCAAGCCACAGTACGGTTCCAGGATATACTCTTCACGAAGATTATCCTCAACCTCAAGGTTATGCTCTTCCTACTAGACATATGCCCCCTCCAAGTTATAGTCTCCCTTCCAGGCCTGCGCCCCAACGCCCTTTTCCATTTGTGACGTATTCGCAACTTCCCGCCCAACTTCCATTTTCTGCGTATTCTCAACCTCAGCCAGCGACATATTCCCAGCTTCCATCTCTGGTGAGTGGTCTGCCCAACTTGGCTTCAAACTGTACTCCACAGTATCGTTCTCAGCCTCAATCTGCAACATATTCCCAGCTTCCATCTGTGGCGAGCGGTCTACCTCAATTGGCTTCTAAGCAACCTCTTCCGTATCATCCTTCGACAGATTCCTGGGGGCAACAACAGACAATAAATCAACGCCAGCCCGCAAATCTTGCGAGAAACCTTTCGTCTCAGAATGTAGTGAATGATCGGAGGGCATCCTCAGCAAATCAGACTCCCAAGGAGAGTGACGCCGCCACGGATTCTCTACTCCATAAGCCCACTGAAAGTCGGCCAGGATCGACGGATAATCCCATGCAGCTTTCCTTTCCTGCCACAGTTTCACCGCTTCCGCCGGTTGTTGAAAATCAACCCGAATCTGCGGAAAATCCCCCATGGCATCCCGGTCAGAGTGTTCCTAGACATTCGTCTCAAAATGTGGCGAATCTTAGGGGCGAATCTGCGGCGTACTACATCCTCTGCATTTTGTTTTCTTATTCATGCCGTCATTAAACTAATGCACGGTGCATGCTAACTCGTGCTGCTTAGATACTTCTCTGGTGGTGGCGGACCCACAGTTTCTTCGGGCGCCAAGTCCAACCTTAACAGGCAATTCGATAAGTATCGGGAAGACGCTGCGAACAACCCGGATGGTATTGCTATTGAGGGGACGATGAAGTATCACAATGATCTTGATATATCGCTCGAGGACATCATATCACTCGCGTTACACGAGATCGTTCAGGCCCCGGCGATTGGCGAACTCGCTCGCGAAGGGTTCGTTGATGGCTGGACAGCGCTCAAGTATGTATCCTGTGCCTCCACGTAGCTTGATAATCTTTCTTACCTCTGTTTACAGCTGCGATACCCTCGACAAGCAAAAGGGATACATGAAGAACCTCCAGAACACTCTCCCATCCTCCAAAGAGGCATTCACTAAGGTTTACAAGTACACATTTCAGCTCGCCAAAACCGGTAACCAGAAAGCCATTCCCCTCGAAGCTGCAACCGTCTACTGGGGCCTTCTCTTTAAGTCTTCGTACTCTGCTGTCAAGTGGAGCACCGCTACTTCTCCATGGGTAGATTGGTGGGAGGAATTTCTTACCTCATCGTGGAAGAAGAGTGTGAATAGGGACATGTGGAACGAGACTCTCAAATTCGCCCAGATGACGTTGCAGGATGAGGACATGAGTTTCTGGAATGAAGAATCTTCATGGCCATCGGTTATCGATGAGTTCGTTGAGTGGGTCAAGAAGAACCACAGGAAAGAGGATGGTGCAGAGGCGATGGAGGAGTGAGCATGGTTTCAATCTCTGGATACGAGAAGTGGCACCATGCGGTTACTGTGTCTCAACTACCTCATCGTCAGCTGCGGAGCGGGTTACCTTAATCATGGTGGAAACCTTCGAGTGGCTGGGCTTAGCGGAGTGCGATATGGAGTTACGAAGAGTGCATCGACATACCCAGCGCACGTCATTAGATGGCATACTTTGATTTGGTCTTGGAGAAAGCATTTTCTAGTAGATAGCATTTCCTTGCATAGGAATACTACACTGAGCTTCCATCTAATTTATGCCTGACATATTATCGTGTCAAATGCGATGTCTTTGTATTCTTCCTCACGACAAGACAAGGATCTAAATAGCTCCTCGAAAAAGATTGACAAGATCATGCTGTAGCATCAAGTTGGTGCCTTGAAGAAGGCCCGGTGATTGATTGGCTGAGCTGATGCACCCTTGTCGTTTCGCTTATTTAGCGTGCTTGGCCGCGCCCACCACGGCGCCTTCACAAATTCGATTTTGAGGAACTTCAACGATAGATCGAGACGACTACAACAATCCGACAAAGTGCGTATTCCCCTATACCTTTTCGGAATCAGGGACACTAACTGATTATTCTCTAGATGGTTGCCGCGAAGAAGCACGTCCCGATCGTGAAGAAGCGTACGCTCGCACCCAAAATACTCCCCTCTAAATTTCGTAACTGACATCCTCGGATACAGACCCCAAGCGCTTCAACCGCCACCAGTCCGACCGCTTCAAATGTGAGAGATATAGAATACTAGAGTGAAGGGGGTTCCAGGTCCTGACATTGGATAGGCGTCGACCCGTCATGGAGAAAGCCAAAAGGTATTGACAACCGCGTCAGGCGGCGGTTCAAGGGACAGGCTGCTATGCCCAAGGTACGACGCAACAATTCCAATTTGCGAATTTGAAGTCGATAGTGCACTATTTAGGAGTGGTGGAGAGATAGACCAGGGGAACAATAACTGACGGGAAATTGATGTACAGATTGGATATGGCTCGAACAAGAAAACCCGCCACTTGATGCCCAGCGGCCACAAGGCTTTCCTCGTCAACAATAGTAAGGACTCCACGAGAACTGTTCTTTCGGGTAATGCTGACGGATAAAAGTTCGCGATGTTGATCTTCTCTTGATGCACAACAACTCCTTCGCTGCAGAGTACGCTTCATCTATCTCCTCGCCACGCTTTCTGAATGCTAATGCAAGCAGAATCTCTCACTCCGTCTCGGCACGAAAGCGCATCACCATCATCACTCGAGCGAAGCAGTTGGGCGTGAAGGTAACGAACGGCAAGGCCAAGGTCAAGACAGAGTCATAGAGAATCCATTTTTGGGGGACAGCACGGGGGATATACAAGGGCGTCTCACATGGGTTCGATAACGACAACGGGAATTTCTTTGCTCGCGAGGAACTGAGCATGTATCCAAAACCTTTTTGCACTGACAGCGAGTGAGTGACCGTCAGGGCATGCATATCCTTGGCTCGGGACTTTGAGACATAGGCTGAGAGCGTGTGTGCGCGGTTGGGTTGCAAGCAATGGAAAAATTTACAATTCAAGCTTGTTATGCTGGGTGTTAGGTGCTGTTGACCTGAGAGCTGAGTTGAGTTGAGATTCCCGAGCGTCCTGCCGATGTCGCATTGGTGCCGGGTGAGGTTTGATATCGAGGTCCAGTACATCCAATCACCCACACCTACCTCCGCACCTTCTGCCTGCATCCCATAACTTTTCGGATCGGACAGCGCTGGACCGAATCACTTACACAAGAGAATTGTAATTTCCCGCTTTCTTCCGACCGTCTGCGCCATGCTGTACATATGTATGAGTGTGATGTAAAGGTTCGGCTGTGCAGCGACACTTGCCCGGCGGCGAGAGGTCTGGGTCAGATTATGCAAGATGGCTGGTACTTTTCCAGCGCAGGAGCAGCGGATTAGGATATCGAATTGGCACATGAAAAATCCAACACAGTGTTTTCGCTTCCTCCTGCATCTGCATGCAGGAGCGGCTGGGGTCGAGAGTCCTGCATATGGGTTTCGCTCACTCAACACCATAGAACGAACCACTTTTACACCGCAGAGCGGTGAGGGATGATTTGCACAGCTGTGAGAGTGCAGGCAAGGGCTGATTAACCGTGACAGCACGTCAGCGGCTTTATCGCGCGTTCCGATAGCATGTGGGTGGTTCTGGAGGGTTGATTGGAGGGGGAGGCGTGTTTATCGAGGGGAGTGGAGCTGGTGGTCGTTCACTATTCATGTAGGTGTCGCAAAACAGCCATGATGCTATATCGGAAAATGGACCGCGAGCAAGTTATGACTTGTGGGACTAGAGAGGAGTTGATTATGATGAATATGAGCTGATGAAATCATTTCGTCTTTTGTGGGGTTTGGCAGGGGGCAAAAACGCACCCCTCAGACATCTTATTGGGATTTCCCTCCTCCACAGTCGCACGGATTCCCACGTTGCTGCGAAAAGCATAGATTTCTTTAAGCTTTGCTGGGACTGACTAGGAGACCGATGTTCTAGACTAAACTAGTTCCCGGGCCCTTTAAAAGGGAACCTTGGACCTGCTTTCCTTGAGTCTCTCTAGTCAGCATCACGCGAACATTTCCTCGAAACGATTCAACAATTTTAGAACATCGTCCGGAGTGTGTTCTTTACACGTCACGATTTGCGTTGGCTGTGGGCCTGAGCTCTTTTCCCTTCAACGAGGCCCGCTTTCTTGTCCTTCTGATCGTCTTTTTGAGGAGTTTAAGGATTTTGAGGATTTTCAGAGACCGGACCATACTCCTTTACGGCCACCTCGCCTTTCACGTGCTTCGCCTCAGTCATCGACGCACCGCAAAATCCATTCGTAACCGTTCGCCACAATTTCACATATATTTTCTACATCCATCTGTCTACCAAATCGACTCCCGAGATTCCTTCCACACTCCATACAAACTATCTCGACTCCTCTAGCTCCAAGTATAAAAAAAATATTTTATACCTACCGTCCACACCTCGTGAAAAGGGGGGGGGGACTCTTCTAAGAGATTTTCAAATGACACCAAATCTCTTCCTCGCAACACAAACCCTCTTCTCACCCCACAAGTGGTTCAAAACGACCAAACACACACGGCCGGTCCGCACCACTGAACACTGGTCGTCCCCCGTACCTGGTCTTTATGAGTATATTCCTGGGAGAGGATGGTATCTCATCGCCACGGACAAATCCCCTGCCGACTCCAAGGCCCCTGATGGCACCCTGGATACAGTCAAGATGACGCAACCAGTACAAGTCAAGTACTCCAAAGTCCTAAAGAAACACCTTCTAGCCCCAGACTACGAGATGCGGAAACGCCATGGTCGGGTCAAGGACGCTAATGGCAAGAGTGAAGAAGCCGGGTTTTTTAGACTAGATGATGGGATTGCATGGGTGAAGTGTTGGGATGAGAATGGAGAGTTTATTCCGGGGCCGTATAAACTCTGGACGATTGATAAGACAACTGGGGTTTTCAGACATATGGTTAAGGGTGATGATCCTAAGTATGTGCACTCGAGACCTAGCTCTCTACGTCGTGATGGAGGAGATAGGGGGAATGGGGAAGAGAGAGAGGAAGATACGCAACACCATCACCGGAGAAGCCAGGATTCCCGGAGCACACAGTATTTCTCTGATCGTGGCAGCCAGCGGGATCCAGGGAGTGTGCCTAGTACCAGGGCGAATAGTATACATGGACTGACGGTCAGCGCGTCGTCGTCGAATCCCGGATCGAGAGCACCGTCGAGACCGTCGAGCCAGAAGGGGAAAGACAGTCCGAAGATTCCGCTGAGTGAGGCTACGACGCTGCTGAATCCGGTTGCGGCGGAACATGCTGCTGCACGAGCTAGTGCGGTGGGAGATTATGAAAGATTGTGCCCAAGAGATGCGAATCGTGCATAGGGGCTTTACAGTGCGGCGTGCTGATTTAGATTGGGGTGCCGTTAGGCTTGCTGCTGTGTCACTGGGCGGGTGATTGATTGCAGTCTATCGATCAATGCCAAGGTACTTCACTTGGCCGACATATCATGCCTTCACGACCTGGATTATTCACTTCTGGTATATCTATTTTAGGTTTCTTCTACCTTCTCTTTTCTTAGCTGGACTTGTACTGGACTTGGACATGTGGAATTCCTCGGGCTTCTCTTTCGGATAGGCGGCGTTTGCTTTGACACAAAAGTGAAAAAAATATACCCAGCCTACGTGCTTGTTGATTTTGTCCCATCCCCCCCTAAATTTCCAGTTTGAGGGGTTCTGTTGTAAGACTTAGAGTACGCGCAGCAATGCTATTTATTCGGTGTACCACATTTAGTTTAATAGAAATAATAGTGCGTATTTGTCAGTAGGAAACCGAACGTTTTGACTTCCAGATGTTGACATTCTCCTGCAGTCTTTTTATCATTCCTCTTTTGTTAACTTCCACACACCGTCCCGGGATGCGTGCTGATTCACTAAGCTAATTGTCCCCGGTTGTCCCTACAAGTCAGATTCCAGCCATCTTCACAGAACCTGGAAAATCTAACGCGAAGCACAGCAAGCAGAATACAGCATTCAAGTTTCAAGTCACTGCGAGATATGCTTCAGTAGCTTACCTCTTCACATCGTCCTTCACACAAGTGCACACACTCTCACACTTCAATGCACGTCTGCAGACGCACGTGCAGACATTCAACTCTGCTCCTATTTATATACTCCGTATTCCCTTCTCAGAATCAAAGTCCTTCTTTCATTAACAGCTAATTTTCCTATTCTATTTCATACGCAAAACTAAAACTCAAGGCCGGGCCTCGTGTCACTCTCCCCTTCTCTTCTTTCTCACCTTCCCATACACCTACACGAAACCTACCCCAAATGCCAGTAGCATATTCCTACTCTACGTCCTCGTCCGCACGCCCCGAAACTCCGTTTCCTACACCCTCCTCCTACCCCTTTCTCGCAGAAGCCCCAACCGCAGGCAGCTCAGCAACCACATTCCCACACCTCCTATACTACCTCTCTGAAGTGCGACATAGCACCACTATCCCACTTTGCGGGGTTCTCAAACGGATAGATGATATGGCGAGGATTGTTGCTGAGCTTCCGGAAGCTATGTCTGCATTGACTAATCTGGAAGATGAAGGGAGTTGGGTAAAAGGGAAGAAGAACAATAAGGGGAAAGGGAAGGCAAAGGAGGGGGAATATTTGATAAGGAAGCCGAAAGGAGATAGAAGATTAGCGCTGGGACTGCATCTTATGGCTGTAGTGCAAGCGTTGGAGGAGTGTGCGGTGGATGGGTGGAAGGCATGGGTGAATGGGGAAGTTAATGCTTGGGAGAGGATGCAGGAGGAGGCGGAGGGTGGATTTGAGGACGCAGTAAAGGAAGGGGATGGTCGGAGGGAACGCCAGCACCATTATTTTCATCACCAAATTGGAGAAAACGCTCATCTCTCGACCCTAGCAGCAGGTCTGCAATCCGCACGACAGGAAATATACTCCAAGGAAAAGAAAATTGAGTATCTTAAAGAGTCGCTTCAAAACGCATTAGCCGTCCTAGAGGCTTTAAGGGGTGCGGAAATGTGGCACCGAAGCGACGCGGAGGATAGAGACATTGCAATTGATGAGAGAGATAGGCTTATGGAGGAGCAAAAGGAAAAGAAGGTTCAGGATCTTGAAGAGTCGCTTCGAAACGTAGTAGCCATCAATGAGGATTTGCAAGAGAGGTTGGAGGCTTTAAGGTTTGCGGAGATCCAGCGTCGATGCATTGAAGAAGAGAAGCATGAACATCGACGGCGGGAAATCAGGAAGATCGGTAAGGCGACGAGGGGTATTAACAAGGAGAAAGACAGCCTTGTTGAGAGATTCCAGAACCTGAGCGTTTCCGGTTCTAGGCACCCCAGCTATGAGGCAGATGACGAGGAAGATCGTGATGGAGAATGTGAAAAGGAAACCGAGCCCGCACCATCTGTTCCACAGCCAACCAGTCAGCAGGATAAAAACAACCCTTTCCCACCTCTATCCTACCCCACAACTAAAGCCTCACGCTACAACCTCATAGACCTAAGTTCCACTGCGGTTGAAACCGGTAGCCAACACAACCTCTCATCCACCTCCTCCACTTACAACTCCGATCAATCGCCCCAACATTCTAGCTCAGTATCTCTATCCCCTATCCCCGAAGTTCCGGACGAAGAAGAGATCATTGTCGTCCATGAAAATCTTCAACGGTGGCAGAGAGAAGAGAAAGAGCGGCGCGAGGAAATGGACGAGTATTCTTACAACACTACTTCCCACAGCGGCTCCACTCTTGAGAAATCTCTGTCAGATCCACCATACATCCACATCCTGCTGCCGGCTAACTTTACATTCTCGCCCAATGGCCATCATGCCTCATTGTTGACGTTTCCAACCTCGGCGTCTGTATTCCACTTCCCGTTCGGTGCGACAAGGGAACAGCTTCTGCGGGTTCTAGAACATATTTCTAGTCATTTCTATTCGAGATTTGAGCCTCCGGAGGAATTTAATATCATGCAAGTGCGCACGCGGGTTATGGAATGGGAACTTAAGAAATCGATTGCTAGGGTACTAAAGGGGCGGGCATGGAAGTGCCAGGAAGGAAATATGGATGTGGGTGGGGTTTGGCAGACGGAAGGTGAGGGGGATACATATATGGTATCTAGTATGGACGTGTTTTTCCAGGGGGTTTCGACAGTGGTCGGAGAAAGCGACGTGGAATTTGAAACGGAGAAATGCTATGAAGGCGGCGTACCTGGATTTCCACAGAATCCTACTCGCCTGAATATTAGAGGCGGCGGGGAAGAAAGAAGCTTAGCAACCTCTGAGCCCATAGGTCGAGAATCCGATGAGGGCTACGCTACCACCAGCGATGGGTTCGGAGACTCCAATAGCCTCTTCTTCCTGCACTCCGACACTCCAACCAGTCTGGAAGGCATGAAAGCTCAATACCACGCAATATACATGCCAAACCAAGCTAACAACCCCTCCTGGATGCAGGAAGCCCGGATGCTGCAACTCAAGACCTCGGCCCTTGTACACGAGCTCTCGTCGCTACAGCGCCAATATGACGAAGCTCAATTTGAGCTTGAAAGACAAAACAGGAGGATGAACGTCCTGTTTCGTACGATCGATACTCAGCTCAATGAGACTAAGGTAATATTAGAGAGAGAGGCTAGGATAAAGAAGATGGTGGAGAATTATAGGCATCCGTACATTGCGTATCTGACCGCCGTGAGAGAGATGCGAGACATGGCAGAAGGAGCCCTGCAGAATGCCTTAAGCCCATACGAGAAAGTTATAATAGAGCCTGAGGGAAATGATCAACAAAAAAGAAACGGTGACGGGAACGGTCCAAGCATGAGAGGTGGTGCAGGCGGAGACGAGCGATATACCGACAATATAAACCGGCCTGTTTCATACGGAAGGAAACACGCCTTGGAGAAGTATCAGAAACCGGGTTCCGATGAGCCCCAATCCTGGAGCTTCATCTTTGACGTTGATGCCTCGGCAATTATTTTCGAAGACCCATGGCGCTTTTACCAATGGCCTCGGAATAGCACTCTAGCCCAAATCCGGCAAGTCTTGGAGTACAGAAAAGCCAATCGAACGGAGAACGATACAATTCTTAGGCGCATCCGCCATATCTTCGAAGGTCGGCAAGAATTGGGAATTCCGGACCCAGTTCTACACTCTGGCGATCGAGTGCGTATCACCTACCCGACCGAAGGCCTGGGGAGGCTTTTCAGAAGGCAGCGAAGGGCCGACGCTTCTGATCCTGTTTGCGAGTATCTTCGATCTGAAGATTTGCAAATCTCTCGAGCTGAGTGTGGGAAGGAAGATGAATATGTTAACCCCCGAGATTTCATCAACGAGTTCACTGATGACAACGAATGTGAACCTGACGGTAGGTCGAACTGCTCTGGGCGCTCCTCAGACTCAAGCTACTCCTGGACTTTCCCACCTCCGCCAAATTCAGTATCTCAACCAAGCCCTTGTGAAATGATTCCAAACCCCGAGGATCGCTTCACTGGAAAGGCGCTGTGTTGCAGGACCACTGCGGAGAGCTTGGTTAGGAACATGACGGACGAGCAGTTCCAGAGCCTGGAGAATTGGAGGCTTGGACCTGGCCTCGACACTTCCGAGTATCCCGCCCCTACGGGGTACGCAAACTCTCAGGGCAACGGATGTTTTTTCTGTGATCTTCCTTTCGATGTACTAGAATTTGAGCCTGCAAGTGGCGATTCGACCTTGTATGGCAATAGCGACGGCGAGGATAGCGACGATACTGGCATCCCAGTAATAACACTCAGTCGTTCGTCATTAAAGTCGAGCCTTCAAGGCGAAGCAGCATACAGCGACCTCCGAGGCTGCTCGCAAATCTCACATACTAGGGACACAAGTTTCTCGTATCTTCGCCACCATTCCCGCACTATCCCACCTCGCCCACCTGTATCCCTTCTGTCAATGCCACCAGATTCCCCCCTTAGGGATTATGCAACATCCTCCGTGGTTCTTTGCAGAGAGCCTAGAGGGGAACGCCGTCTTCACGTGAGAAATATAGCTCGCCCATGGCCTGGTTCGCAGCGGATGTCCAACGGAGATTTCACGGAGTGGGTTGAGAGTGGGGCTCAGGGAAGGGAAATCCCGTTGTTTCAATTAAATTCCATCCCCCCAGCAAAGTCGGCTACGCATTTGAAACCAGAAATCTATGCGGCATATTCAGAAGAGTCGCAGGGCAAGGAATCATCTTCACTGGCTAGGGTGGATGCCATCTCCCATGGCAGGCTCTGGAGTAAGGCAACTGAGGAGATGCTCGCAGAGAAGAAAGAACGAATAGTACTCTCCAGGGAAGGACAACAGTCTAGAAAAGGGACTGTAGACAAACCAACTTGCAGAGATGTTGGCTATGGAGATATTACTGAAGCCATCGAGGAAATTAAGCCTGGTCCACTGAGTCGTTTCTCTATGGAACCGCGACTAGCCGCCAATGTGCTCACGGGCGCTCCTGCCAGGCCACGGCGACCGAATGCCGACTGGGGTCACCCACTGGAGCCTAACGATGAGTCGAGCGAGCAGATGACGCCGGAAATTGGAGTGAGAGTTTCAAGGCAGCAGAAGGAGTGGGTAGATCCTACTGAAGCTGGGCCTTCAGAACCAAGTAATTATTTGAAGTACGCGAAGAGAGGCGTAGAGGAGGGTTATGACGGCATGTTGGGTGATAAGTTGTTCGCAAGTACAGGCGAAAGTGAGATCGGCAAGGGGAAAGGAAGGAGCAATGGAATGGGTGGTGTAAGCAGGACTGGCAGTGGGGCATGGAGGAACTGATTGGTTGATTGCGGTTGCGTACTGTCCTCCAAGGTTGTTTCTGGAATACAGATTTCTAATATTAATATAAGCTAGTGATACAAGATCAGTTCCCGTCTTCCTACTGTACCTTCTCGCATAACGTGGACCATAACAGGGGTAGATTCTATCCGTTAAATCTCTTACTGGAAATAGGGAGATAGCTAAAAAAGGGCAAGTTTCTGCCCTAAATTACCCCCTTTTAGTAGTGATTTTACTTGTATCTTTTCACCCGGAATGTCCAGCGTTTCGAAGATACCTTCTCCTAGTCAGCGATGTCACGATCGTGTGAAGGTCCCATGTATGTGCCTTCATAGAGAAACCATATCGTGGTCACGGTAATCCTTCCAGCCCTAGATGTCAATCGAGTCAACCGTCGTCGCAATACTAACACTTGGATGAGATGACGCTGGGATATCGACGCCCCGTTGTTTAGCACTTCCTAATTCTGTACCCCTACTCACAGATCCTTTGTTCAAACACCTACCCACACATCCCAACTTATACAACCTCCCTCTCGACGTAGCGGAAACCCCAGTGTGCCGGAATAGATCAGATGCACCTTGACTTCAAAGCAACCCACAACCTACTAATAATCCTCATTCCTATCAAGAGAATACTAATGAAAGACGCAACTGCTAAATTAGCTATATTTAAGATCTTTCCTAAAAAATTACGTGAGGTTTGCTGTGTTGTCACACAGCTTGCGCTCAATATGCTTTTACACCGTGACATTATTCCTCCCGTAATAACGGCTATCTCGTCCTCTTAATAGCTTGAAACTGGGGCAATTAATTCTTTAAAGCATGAGATGCCTTTCACCATATTTCTAGGCTATCATCGCCTTTAGACGTGGTGCAAAACGGGCTGGTACATCTAGCAAGATAGAGCTATAAAAGCAGACATGGCAGTATTATTATGTAATACGGAGACCCACAGCCCGCGTCCCTGCTCCGGCCTTTCTCTTCCATGCATCCTGCTGACTAGCATCGTTTCTCGAAGCACTGTTCCTTTATTTTACTCGCATCATTTCCATCACACAAGGGATGTGGCCGGAGCGGGTCGGCTGCCCTCCCTGCTTGGTGGCAACATTCACTGCCAAGTCTCTTTGATTACCGTTAGATATTAGGTGAAGTCTGCTTATCAAGCGCAACCTATTCCGCATTTCACTGGCTTCGGCCTGCTGCTACACTATCCAGAGTAATTGCCGAGACCGTTTCTCAGTAGCTGAGAACATTTTTCCATCAGTGAAACAGTGTCGTCGTTGCAGCTTTGGGTCGTGAACGTAAGTGCGAGATTGTTCATGCTGATCAGCGTGTCTGGCAGCTATCCTGGAAGCTCTTACAAGGTTGATAGCAATGGTTGCTTGCGGAGGAGCATCCTTCCACACTGACCAGTATGGCCAACCTGGCGTCGACGTGCAGGAATCAAGGGCGGTAGAAGTATGCCAAAGAGCTAGAGGTGCAAGCGATGGAGACGTTCAAGAGGGTGCTTAGGGAGAAGCATGCAGGCTGAGGACGAACAGGCTGAAGGTCAGACCTCATGGCGCTGCGGATGCAACTAGAAGAGCGGAGCTGAGCAAGAAGGCTGAGAGCTAATGGAGGGGAAGTTCCGGCCAGTCGCGGCCAGTCGGGGACAGGGTCTACCTAGCGGAAGCGGGGTCTTCTCAGCAGGCCGGCGCTTGGCTTCCGTCTATAACATCCTTCGTGTTTGGCGTAGACAACTTATGTTGCAAACCAGAATGTCTAAGCCTGTTGAATACAGGCCTCAATGAATGTATCGGACAGTACAGCTATACTAGTTATCTATATTCAACCGGCCTACGAAGTGACCCTGCCTGGCGCTAGACCTGTCCACTCGACTGGGTGCGACTGGTCAGCACTTCACCTCCATCAGTTCTCAGCCTTCTCGCTTAACTCTCGAGCGACGCTCAGCTCTTCTGGTACATGCGCAATTCCCTTTCACTCTCATTCCCAGCACCATGAGGCCTGACCTGCAGCCTATTCATCCTTAGTCTGCTAGCAGTCCGGAAGCGCTTACAAGGCTGATAGCAGTATTCTCTCCTCACTCTCCACCCCTCAGATTAGAGAGCAAGGGCGCCTTCAACTGCGGATCGAGATATGGAGCAGGCAACATCAACTGAGAACGGTGGGGAGCTGAACCCCCTCAACAGTACAGGCCTCTGTCTACTGTCTCTTGACGGTGGCGGTGTGCGGGGACTCTCAACGCTGTACATCTTGAAAGGACTTATGGACCGACTGAACCAAGACCAGAAGAACGTTCCGCCGCTGAAGCCATGCGAAGTGTTCGACCTCATTGGCGGTACCAGCACAGGAGGGTACGTAGTTCTATGTTTATACCAGCGCCACTAACGCGGGTAGACTAATTGCAATCATGCTTGGTCGCCTCGAGATGGATGCTGACGAGTGTATCACGGCTTACACCGAACTCATGAAAACCGTCTTTGAAACGAAAAGGAGCTGGTTTCCAGCTAGCTGGACTGGCAATATAAAATCGCGATTCGATACGGCAAGGCTTGAGAGTGCAATTAAAGAGGTCATTACTAGCCACGGAGCTAAAGAGACCGACCTCTTCAACGATGGAGTCAAACGCGGATGTCGGGTGTAAGCATCGCTAGTGAAGATGGAAATAAAGCTAATTTTATCAGCTTCGTTTGCACAATTGCATACGAGACAAGAGATATCATACGCCTAAGGAGTTATGACTCTGGAAAGCTTCCTATTCGTGCCACTATCCTCCAAGCGGCACTCGCAACGTCGGCTGCCACTACCTTCTTTGACCCTGTGACCATCGGAGCGCGCAAGTTTGCCGATGGCGGTTTAGGGGCCAATAATCCGGTAGACGAGGTGGAAGGCGAAGCGTCGGACATCTGGTGCTCTGAAACGGGAGACTTGAAGCCTCTCGTGAAGTGCTTCGTGTCCATTGGAACTGGGAACCCAGGAAAGAAGGCGATTGAGGATAACATGCTGAAGTTCCTTTCTGGCACACTTGTCGACCTTGTTACCCAGACCGAGAATACAGAGAAGAGGTTCATAGCCAAATGGGCCCAGCATTTCGATAAGAAGAGGTACTTCCGGTTTAATGTCGACCAAGGGCTGCAGGATGTGGGCTTGGCAGAATATCAAGAGCAAGGGGCTATCGAAGCGGCAACGGATGGGTATCTTGACCACAAAGCGCAGGAGTTCCGGGTACGAGACTGTATTCAGAACTTGAAGCTCAAGCAGAGTGTGTATATCCCAAACTTTGCGTAGAGAAAAAGAAAAAAGCCTAGCTGATCTATGGCAGGCATGGCAGCAACTGATCTCTCATATATTATTTCTGTGAGGGCGATGTGCTTTCATACTAGAATTATATTAATTGCATGCAGGAATACAATGAACAACGTATCGTGGAGCTGCGCGCTAGTATGTCGCCCTGCTATTTCTGATATGCTAATGCTAAAATATAGTGTAGCTTCACGAGCGGAAGCTCTTTGGAACGTGCCTTTCCAGAAGAACCAACGGTTTGTTGGGCGGACTGCAGAACTTGCCCAGATTAACACTTTGCTTGCAAACGAAATCCGTTGCGAGCAGGTGGCAATTGTTGGTCTTGGAGGCATTGGGAAGACGCAAATTGCACTCGAATTCGCCCATCAATGGCGAGAGAAATATCCAGACTGTGCAGTGTTCTGGGTACCCGTAACGAACGTCAAAGGCATGCTAGAAGCATATCTAGAGATTGGCCACCAGCTACATATACCTAACATTGAGAAGGAACGGGAGGACGTCCAAAAGCTTGTTCAACATCGATTGGGTCAAGAAGGCTTTGGCAAATGGCTGTTGGTGTTCGACAACGCCGATGACATAGACATGTGGACCGATAAAGCAGATAACACACTTGGCTCCAAGCGCCGAATCGACTACCTGCCAAAGAGCAAGCATGGATCTATTCTGTTTACGACCCGAAGCCGAAAGGCCGCGATAAAGTTAGCAGGCAGAAATGTTGTCTCGGTTGGCGAGATGGACTACCCTATGGCAAAGGCCTTGCTCGAGAAATCGTTGATCGACCAGGACCTGTTAATTGACGACCAAGCCTCGACGGATTTGCTCCAAAAACTCACCTATCTCCCCCTTGCAATTGTCCAAGCGGCTGCATATATCAATGAGAACCAGATTAGCTTATCTGAGTATGCAGCTCTTCTTGACGACACAGAACAGAACGTTATCGATATTCTTTGCGAAGAGTTTGAAGACGAAGGAAGATATAGGGATATTACAAATCCGATTGCGACAACATGGCTGATCTCATTTGAACAAATCCGGACTCGCGACCCTTTGGCAGCAGAGTATTTGTCATTCATGTCATGCATTGACGCGAAGGATATTCCGCAGTCGCTCCTGCCGCCGGCGCAGTCAAACAAAAAGGCTGTGGATGCTATGGGGACCTTGACCGCCTACTCTTTTATTAGTAAACACAAGGCTGACCAACTATTGGACGTTCACCTGCTTGTACATCTCGCAACTAGAAACTGGCTGCGAACGCAGGGCTCTCTAGGGCATTGGACAGCCGAGGCGCTGACACGCCTAGAGAAGTTATTTCTAGATAGCAACCACATGAATAGGAGCGTGTGGAGGCTGTACCTGCGACATGCCCGTTACGTTCTTAAGACTCCGCTGGATGCAGATGGAATATCTGAGGAGAAGATGACGTTGCTCTGGAAGTTTGGAGCTTGTACCTATAGTGACGGGAGATACAAGGAAGCGGAAGAGGCTTACACGAAGCTGGTGGAGATGAGCCTGAGGAAGCTTGGGGAGGAGCATCCAGACACGCTGACCAGCAAGGGCAACCTGGCGTTGACGTTTGGGAATCAAGGGCGGTGGAAGGAAGCCGAAGAGCTTGACATGCAAGTGATGGAGGTGAGAAAGAGGGTGCTTGGGGAAGATCATCCAGACACGCTGACCAGCATGGGCAACCTGGCATTGACATATTGGAATCAAGGGCGGTGGAAAGAGGCCGAAGAGCTACAAGAAAAAGGACTAAGTATATATTTTAGGGTGCTTGGGGAGGAGCATCCAGAAACGCTGAATAGCATGGGCAACCTGGCGTCGACGTACAGGAATCAAGGGCGGCGGAAGGAGGCTGAAGAGCTGGAGGTGCAAGTGGTGGAGATGAGAAAGAGGGTGCTTGGGGAGGAACATCCAGAAACGCTGACCAGCATGGGGAATCTGGCGTCAACGTACAGGTATCAAGGGCGGTGGAAAGAGGCTGAAGAGCTTGACGTACAAGTAGTAGAAACGTTCAAGAGGGTGCTTGGGGAGGAGCATCCAGACATGCTGATCAGCATGGGCAACCTGGCGTTTACGTACAGGAATCAAGGGCGGTGGAAGGAGGCTGAAGAGCTAGAGGTGCAAGTGATGGAGACAAGAAAGAGGGTGCTTGGGAATGAGCATCCAAACACGCTGACCAGCATGGGAAACCTGGCGTTAACGTACATGAATCAAGGGCGGTGGAAAGAGGCTGAAGAGCTTGACGTGCAAGGGATGGAGATGAGAAAGAAGGTGCTTGGGGAGGAGCATCCAGACACGCTGATCAGCATGGCTAACCTGGCGTCGACGTACAAGAATCAGGGGCGGTGGAGGGAGGCCGAAGAGCTCAACGTGCGGGTGATGGAGGCGAGAAAGAGGGTGCTTGGAGAGGAGCATCCAGACACGCTGGCCAGCATGGGCAACCTGGCGTCAACGTACAGGAATCAAGGGTGGTGGAAGGAAGCCGAAGAGCTTGACGTGAAAGCGATGGAGATGCGTAAGAGGGTGCTTGGGGAGGAGCATCCAGAAACGCTAGCCAGCATGAGTAACCTGGCATTGACGTATTGGAATCAAGGGCGGTGGAAGGAGGCTGAAGAGTTGGAAGCAAAAGGACTAGGTATATGCTTAAGGGTGCTTGGGGAGGAGCATCCAGATACGCTGATTAGCATGGGCAATCTGGCATCGATGTACAGGGATCAAGGGCGGTGGAAGGAGGCAGAAGAACTGGAGGTGGAAGTGGTAGGAACGAGAAAGAGGGTGCTTGGGGAGGAGCATCCAGACACGCTGATCAGCGTGGCTAACCTGGCGTCGACGTACAGGAATCAAGGGCGGTGGAAGGAAGCCGAAGAGCTTGACGTGAAAGCGATGGAAACTTTCAAGAGGGTGCTTGGGGAGGAGCATCCAGACGTGCTGACCAGTATGGCTAACCTGGCGTCAACGTACAGGAATCAAGGGCGGTGGAAGGAGGCCGAAGAGCTAGAGGTGCAGGTGGTGGAGACAAGAAAGAGGGTGCTTAGGGATGAGCACCCAGATACGCTGACCAGTATGGGAAACCTGGCGTTCACGTTTTGGAATCAAGGTCGGTGGGAGGAGGCTGAAAAGCTGGGTGTGCAAGTGATGGAGACGAGAAAGAGGGTGCTTGGGGAGGACCATCCAGACACACTAACTAGCATGGGCAACCTGGCGTCGACGTATTGGAATCAAGGACAGTGGAAGGAGGCCGAAAAGTTGGGCGTGCAAGTGATGGAGACGAGAAAGAGGGTTCTTGGAGAGGACCATCCCTCCACACTGACCAGCATGGGCAACCTGGCATTAACGTTGTGGAATCAAGGGCGGTGGAAGGAGGCTGAAGAGCTGGAGGTGCAAGTGGTGGAGACGTTCAAGAGAGTGCTTGGGGAGGAGCATCCAGAGACGCTGACTAGCATGGGAAACCTAGCGTCAACGTACAGGGATCAAGGGCGGTGGAAGGAAGCCGAAGAGCTGGAGGTGCAAGTGGCGGAGACGAAAAAGAGGGTGCTTGGGGAGGAGCATCCAGACACACTGACCAGCATAAACAATCTCGCATTTAGGTCCAAGGCCTAAGGTCGCAATAGCGATACGAATTTACCGATGGCAAAATGCTCTTAGCTACGAGAAAGTGTTCTCGGTCCTCAACATCTATACGCTATGTCATCGGTTACGACTCTGAATCAGTGGCAGCTAGAGAACATGGAGATAGAGCTTAAATAGGCGTTGTTTTGTGTTGCACTCTTGTAGAAATGTGCGCGCAGGTTTCAAGTATCTCCCGCTTCTTCCAGAACAGAGGGTTTCCAGCACACAGGGGGGAGGTTACGACCGCGAAATCACTATGCCTCAGCGAGAAGGCGAACATTACCTCAAACCTCAAATATATGCCCCAAGCAAAAACCTCTCTGAGTTAAGAATTCACAAACGTTTGAATAACAGACACGTTAGCCTCCATGTAGTAACTATACAAATCGTCCGCCGGTTTGCCGACAATGCATTCTCGACCTCTTACAGTGCGATTCCATACGATAATATAGATAGTGAGGAAAGACCTAGCTATAGCGGCAGCTACAGCCACATCTTCACAGCAAACACTAAGATCAGCGTTTCCAACAGGAAGTAGTACAATTGATACTTTTGCTCCACCTACAATCACGTGAGGCAAACAAACGTAACTACATTTTTAACTGTTACAATTTAATTAATAAGGCTTAAAAGTAAGCAGTATATAATTAAGGTAGACTTTTTTAAGGTTGCAGTCTCTGACGCGCGTGAGGGCCAGGGGAGCGTGTTTGTGCCACTATTTACGTGTCAGTGTAGCCTTAGAGCTTGCCCTGTACTATAACAACCTTAGACGACCTTATTATAGCAAAAGATGACAGTCCCTTGTATGGGGAACCTCTGGATTGGTGGCTCTAGGTTGGTCGGCGCGACTATCCTGTACTCTTTAAGATAGCACAGAGCCTTTAGCAGGGGGAAAAGGACAGTTACTTGTAACTGTAATTATCTCTTAGGCTCTATAATTAAAGCTTTACAACTCTAGAAGAACTAGCTATGTTATAAGGTTATTTTTAGTAAATTAAATAACCTTGCGTGCTATATTAAGAGTAAGGGGGACTCTGCTACTTTAAAAGCTTTAACAGTTACGTTGTAACTTTTAGTAAAAAGTTAAGAAGTACAAGTAGCTTTAATTAAACTGTAACTTAATTATATTGACCCCTACTGTTAGGTGAAGCAAACAAAAGTATATGATAAGTGAGACGTAACTTGTCTAGAAAGCCTGAGTCGAATCGTACTACTTCCTGATGGAAACGCTGACTAAGATATTCTGATAATCACCATTCAAGACCAGCAAGCCGCGGATCTGGGATGTCTGGCGCCGAGATATAAGGAAATTTGCAGATATGGGTGATTCTCGTTGGCATAAGACTCACTTTTGCGGGTGTAGGACTTGCGATAAGCGGCGGAGGGAAATTAGCTCTCTGCGTCGTGGAGGAGGCTGAGGTGGGTAGGGGGCTGCTAGAAACGGAGATGGAGATCATGTCGGTCAAGCCTTATTCGTGGGACTAGAAAAGGCTGTGCGATATCAGGTGTCCACAAGGAATCTAGACTACGAAACAGAGCACAGTATTTAGGATACTACTGGCACGGGAAACGGAGAATGATTCATGCTCAGTCAAGTTCAGGAGTGGAACTAGGAATGATGGTGCGATGTCAAGCGTCTACGGGTAGTCTATAGGTTGAAAGAGGGTTTAGTACGGGATACTACTAGAAAAGGGGCCATATATCATATCCATCAAGCGAAAGTGGTGGGCCTACCAGACAGTCCAACGTTATGCTCCCACAGGTGACCTGAAGAAGAGCTCTACGCTTCGAGATACCAAGGCCATGAGTGGCTAATCTTCTACAGGCAGTTTGAAAGCCTAGTCTCGATCGTAAACTACCCGAATTGCAATTGAATCAAGGACAGATCCAGAGCGTGAAGCAAGCATTCGATCTTTTCTAGAGATCTCCTGGCTGTCCTGGGCTATCCCTTAGATTCTAATATTCGAAAATATGGCATACCCACACCCACATCCCTCGGTGCTTCCGCAAATACAGTAATACAGCAGGGTTGGCTAACAGTTTTCCGGGGGAGCGAAGACGTCCCTCTTCGCTGTTCATTGATGACGATGACGGGAGGCAAGAAGATTTCTTCTACATCAAGTCTCATCCAATATTTGAGGATTTTATTGAGGAACTGGTGCCTAACGGGGACCTTGTACCTAACAGTGTGGATTAAAAGACCATAGGACTGGGAAAATGGTATTAGAGGAAAAAGAAATGGGAGCACAAAAGCTGAAACGCACTGTGAGTGGGACACGCCAAACAGTTATATATATAAGTGATTGTCCCAGCTCTCTCGTTCAGGACTAACATCTTGAAAGACAATAGTAAGAAGGGAGGCGTAATGGGGAAGGCTGGCTACTGGAATACGCACGGACGAAGAAGAAAGTAAGATTCAGTGTGAAGGAGGTGCTTGAGTATGATGAATTGTTTTGACAGGGCAAATGCCTGGGCAACCCTGTAGATAATGAAGGGAAGTCTATAGCGTCGGGGATGCAGAAGAAGATGAGTCAGTGAACCAGATAGCCGATTGCATGGAAATAGATGAAGCCGATGCTGGACAGCCGACTCAAATCTAGGAAGATCTATTATCATATGCGTCGCTTTATCCAATTCAACTTATTTTGTAATGGCGTACTAGGGGCTTTGTTTGTTTTGGGTACACGTTGAGTAGTTTTCGGAGACGTCTGTTACGCCGAATGCTTGCGTAAATGATCGATCTAATCACCTGCAATCATTACCATCCCACGCTCTTCACTGTCTTCGATCTGGTAATTAGAATGCTTAACTTCACTGACCGCCATTGCATTACCAGGTTCGTGGTCGTGGCTGTTAAAGAAGGGACTGACAGCGTAGAACCCTTCTCTTGGGATTCATTGCCTACATCCCCCACCTCATATATTCAAACACGATCGAATTCTATTCTCCACCGCGAGCTGATATTCACAAACTATTCTTGCAATACCTGTTTTCCCCGTGAAGGATCTCCTTCTATCGCAAACGGTGGATCCATTCATGGGGAGCGTGTGCGATCCCGATGAGGAAGGTAATCAACGACTGCCCTTCCGTTGAAGACGTGTACAGTATAACAGCGGAGAGGAACCTAAGTCTTGAAATCTGTTCATTTGTTCCTCTTCTCGTCTGCCTGCCATCTCAGGGAGGTCTGTTCCAGAGATTGGGAACCCGCAGAGATCTGTTGCCTTTAGATGCAGTCGAAGAACGAACGCATGGCCATGCTATACAGGTTATCATAGATACTGCAGTAGGTCAGAGCATGAATATCCGCGAAGAGTTTGAGAGAAGCCATGCAACGAAGGAGCAGTCAATGAAAGAGCTCGCGTCTGATCCTGATGGAGCTTCAAGGGAGCCTAATCCGACTTCCAGAGAAAAATACAAGCCACGTTCGTTTACCGCTTCACGACGCCCTCGTAAACGGAAGTCCAAGAGTGTAGGACAGGTTTTGAGGGATGCATTAGAAAAGCAAAATATTTCTACACTCTCTAAAGGGGAAGAGCTACGGGAGCTCTTTCACATGATATTGTCGCGAAAATGGTTAATGATGATGTCCTCACCGTGGATGATGTCGGTATTAAGTACAGCGGCGAGGAGATCCTCATCCTCCTCGATCTTCCGAAGCGAGAGCGGGACGAGGATTTAGTGAGCGCCCCTGGGCGGGATATTATGGAGATGCATGCAGAGAGGACCCTCAGAAGCATCGTGTATGAGGAAGAGGAACCCAAAGACCCAGTACACCGCTCGAAGTCACTGAAGTGGATACCGATCTAGGTAGACTCCCGAAGATGATGGTTGGATCAACTAGGGTAAGGAAATTTGTACGTTTCAACCTCGATAAATAGGTGTTAACAGAGGATAGGAAGCCAGCCATCGAGCCTGTGGTCGGGAAAGATGAGCAGGTTCCTCAGGAAGAGAGAAGGGTGAAGAGGAGTTCAAACTCCTATTTTGATAAACAAGCTTTCCGAGGACCAGAGCAAATCGCTCGATCTATTAGTCGGCCTCCACAGTAGCTAGACATTTATTGAGGCGAATAAAATTCTTAATGTACATTCCAATTTAGTGAAGAAGGTATTAGGGTTCGTATTGGTATAATGGTACTATATCTTGGGTTGATACATGAGCTTAGGTGAACGCGCTTCGTCGAGGAGAGGGTTCAGACGGTCTGCGAAGGACTTTGATTTCTCTGGAACTTGGAAGGATTTCGTGTAACTAGCTTCCATTGTAGCAGATAGCTGGGCATTTTGAGAAACCCCACTGCTGAATGGGCGTACACTGAATCTTTTTGTATGAACCTGCTGAAAGGTTCCTCCAATGTTTCCAGACTCTTGGATCCAGCGTCGTAGGATGTCGAGCTCTTTGTCAGTAACATGATCCTCCTCTATATAAGGTACAGCATCAAGCAGGCGACGTTTGGTCTGGAATTTTGCAGGATCTAGCTTCCATGCGACTTTCGATGATAATTCATCAACAAGGCTGGTTCTATAGGCTTTCAGTGCAACGCAGCCTCCAATGTTTTCTGCCATCATGATCCGGACGGTAAAGTGAATAGTTTGGTCCACCTGGGGCATGAGCAAATTAGTCCTTGCTTCAGTTGTTGGTTGAGTATGACCCTCAGGCTCCGTGATGCTGTTCATACCAGCATTGAAAGTGGTCATAGGCGATTCCGTTTCGATTCTATTGACAGGAGGAGCCTGAGATCCGTCTTTGATCGATTGATAGGGAATGTATTTCCCTGGAAGGCGACGCCGGGAACCCATAACCCGAAATATTCCACTAAAGGAATTGGCTTTCTTCCCTAGTGAAGCGTCAGTTGCATCGATACGCACATCTACTACCGTAGACTAGAAACTAGATAAGAAAGCATGTCCATGTGAGAGATGCAACGCACCTTCATCTATTTTACTGCGGATGGTTGAATAGGACCGTTCCCACTCATATGATGTATGTGAACCAAAACTCCAACTCTTTTCCTGTTCAATCTGTTGATCTGGGGCCAAAAAATGGAGCAATGTTTCCATGCTAAAGCATAGGGTGGTGAATGTCTGGAACTGAGCGATCATCCATATCAATGTAAGATTGGCTAGTCCAGCATCTTCATAACCCCCACCTACATCACTATGTGAACCGAAGAACCAACACTGTCGGAAATTGACGTTTTGTTCCCTCGGATGATCCCAAAGGAGTGGCTCGAAATGCTTCCTACGCTCGTGCAAGGCCAAAGCATGGAAAGCGTTCCTCACCACCTTTGGGATCTTGGTATCCACAAAAGCGAGTTTCTTTGACGCTGGTTGCGGAAGTCCAAAAGGAATGGGAACACCAAGAGCACTAACGGTATCCCAAACGGCACATGCTTCGATTTGGATGTGTCTTTTCAAGACCCCTTTCCTCTCAAGTTGGCCTGTTTCGAGCTCCAACTGGATAGCGTCCTTACTTTTAGAATTCCAAGAGTCGTATAAAGCGTGGAGATTCGCTAGCCCGCGTTTGGTGAGCAAGCCGATGTCCTCAATGAGGGAAGCAATGCAGCGCACGGTAAAGGCACCTCTGGAAAACCCAACAAGGAAGATCTCGTCATTGCCGTCTTTGAAATTGTAGTTATTACAGATGAAGCTGTAAGCGTCGCGAATATTTGCTGAAAGCCCTGCATCACCGTCATGTTTTGGACGAGCATTGCGAAGGAGATTGTTTCCGTACCGCGACCTGTGGCTCCATCGACGCTGTTACTCAGCTTGGAAGTCCCAGATCCAACGCCAGTGTGATAGTAGACAACTTGGAGGATTCCATCTTCCGCGATCTCCTCAACGCAGCGGGACAGACGCGAAACGTTCGTTAGCGGATTGTCGGTACTGACACTGTCATTCCACGTCCCGTCACAGCATACCACCAGGCGCTTCTTCGATTGTTGGGGAACCATTGCCCACCTGTTTGAAAGAGAGCAACAAGAAGTGTAATGGGAGCAGTTGGAAGGTGGGGCTGAAGCTGTCGCACGTGATGCTGCGCCAATGCACTGCACTAGTCACCAATTAGGACTAAAATTTTCCTCATTAATACTAGCTCCTCTTTCGTACAGTATATAGTTTCGCCGGAGATCACTGTGCTCCTTTGGCCTTGCACTATAGCTCAATGCCCTCAGTTTGGCTCTCTCTAAGGTGACTTGCTCGCCTATTTTTCCCTGTCTGCCAACGCAAGAGAAGCGACCCGCTGGGGATAGCAAAAGCAGGTAGAACAGGTCCATTACGACGGCAGAATTTGTAAGATCTGAGAGGAAAATGTTCTTTATCAGAACTGAAATATAGGAGCTGGTTCCGAGAAGAGGAGAGGAAAATGTAGACAATTACTAGCAAAGGTTTCAGCGGCAAAATCGGTCTAATTCTCAATGTGACCTTTCCCTCGGGCAAATGTGCCCCGACCCTGTCTCCAATCTTTGACATGCAACCTCATGTACAATATCCTCCCCACTGCAACTTTCCCCGCCGATCACCAACAGTGGGGAAATGATGATTACATGTCGTGATGCCGGATTTTTCGTTTCCAACGGTCCTGTCAGGTACAAAATGAAACCTATCACGACTCTTGGCTTTGCAACCACTTTGGGGCCCTATCATCCACAATGTCCATACCTCGCGCCATTTCATCGACATGCCTACTCCTCTCTTTTGTTTCTCGGCAACTCATATTTATGCCCCAGAACAATTTCCAGCCTCTCTCAGGTCAAGCTTTGTCCATTCCAATTGACCTCAGTCCAGAATTCAATAGTCGAGCATTTAGTTTGAACCCAGGAGACACAGATTTTGATGGTTCAGGAGGTAGTTAACTCATCTCCACCTACTACTACATGATTCCAACACTCTAGATTCGTATCCGGCGCAGTTCATGCCACCGAAGGACTTTATTTATGCAGGACTGAATTATAAATTTCCAACCTACAGAGCCGGGGGTAATGATAATGTCATTGCCTCCGGCCAAACTATTTCTGTTCCGCGGATACGATACCTTAGCGTGCACATGTTTGCCGCTTCCGAGGAGGGAATGGCTCAAGGAACCATCAATGCGACATATACCGATAGCACGACAACATCTGGGCCAGTACTCGTCCCAGCATGGTGGAGTTGGCCATACCCGGCCGGAGGTGATATGGTTTTCCCTTATAGGCTAACGAATGAGACTGTCGATTACAATAGATCAATATCTTCCGGACTTCAAACTGGCTCGATAGCTCGAAAGAACTGGACTCATTAATACTGCCAAATGTCACAGGAGGGTCAGCGACTAACCCAGGAGGAGCAGAAATCAAGGCCAGACTACATATATTTGCCCTTACTTTGGTTCCAGCAGTTACTACGGCTAATGGGCATGTCGTTAGCGTACAATATGCGAGATCAACGCAGAAATGGCTGGAAGGAAGCAACAAAACCCAAGTCTTCGAGGTCACCATCAACAATGCTGGTTCGGAACATGTCACGGGAAATAATTCCGTCACAGTAAGTGTCGACTCGCCTGGTGTAGAAACAATTGAACCTGGCTGCATCAAAAGGTTGCGAGCTGGGGACCAAGTCAAGGTTACCGTCGGTGTCGAAACTAAGGCTGGAGTAACTACTAGCAGTACTGGGGAAGCCACAATTATGGTCACGGGACAGAATATCAGCTCTTTCAACTATACATTTAACGCAACCTATGGGATTAAAGATTACGAACCCACCTACGAATCAATCTACTCGCACGAATCTCCAGATTGGTATAATGCCGGCAAATATAGAATCTTCATTCACTGGGGTATCTACGCTGTTCCCGGCTGGGGAAACTTGGGAAAGAACGAGACATACACTGAATGGTACTGGTGGCACCTCAACCAAGGCTCAAACACGTCCGACCGAACCTACTAGCACCACCTAGAAACTTACGGCCCTAACATCGTTTACGATGACTTCATACAGAACTTCACAGCCGCCGCATTTGATCCTAAGGAATGGGTTGATCTCTTCGCGGACGCTGGAGCGAACTACTTCGTCCAAGTCAGCAAGCATCACGACGGTTACGCAATCTTCGACCTCCCCGAGAACGTGACGAAGAGGACCTCGGTTGCACAATTCCCTCACAGGAACCTCTTACAGGAGCTTTTTGACGCTTCCGCAGAATATCAGCCACATATCCACCGAGCAACGTATTTCTCGTTGCCGGAGTGGTTTCATCCAGATTACAAGAAATATGGGTTTGGTTCCTGGCCGGGCGGAAATGCAACAAATCCATTCACCAACGAAACACTTCCCTACATTGGATACGTCCCCATAGAAGAATACATCTCGCAGCTCATAATCCCCGAGATGAACGCGCTTGCACAAATGGGCGTAGAAATAATGTGGTGCGACATCGGCGTAAGTTCAACCCACCACAAGCCCAAGCATAAATCTGTCTCCTAACAAAACCCCAGGGGCCAAACATGACGACCGAATTCGCAAGCAACTGGTTCAACACCCTTGCAACCTCCAATAGACAAGCACTCATGAACGCCCGCTGCGGCCTACCCGGAGATTTCGACACCCCCGAATACGCCCGCTACGCCTCCGTACAACCGCGAAAGTGGGAAAGTAATCTCGGTATGGATCCTTACTCTTATGGCTACAATCGCGCGACGCCCTTAGCTTCTTACCTGAATGCCAGCATGATTATTCAAAGTCTCGTAGATGTCGTGAGCAAAAATGGAAATTTCCTATTGGATATCGGACCAATGGCAGATGGTACGATTCTCGATGTCGAGAAGAATAATCTAAGGGAAGCCGGAAGATGGATTAAGAGTCACGGAGAAGCTATTTTCAACACGACGTATTGGTTTGTAACACCACAGGAGGGTGACGGCATTAGGTTCACTACAACGAAAGACGCTTTCTACATCTTGAGTATGGAGAAACCGAATGGGACCTTGGTGCTGGAGAGTCCAATACCGTGGGTGCAGGGAGATGAAGTGACGATTTGTAGGAGGCAGCATGGCTGGCAAAGTAGTTTCGAGTTCGATGAGAGAAGATGGGGTGGTGGTGCTAGAAGTTAGCGATGATGTTGTTGCCGCAGATGAGTATACCTGGGTCTTTAAGATTGGATATTAGGCTAGTTCTGAGGCCGGCATACTGAAAGCGCAAGCATTTTTTCTTGAAAACGGCGCTCGCTTGCGATACCGGCAGCTGCACATGTGTTATATTGTCTTTCAGTAGTAGGGCTATTGAGTAGCATGTTCAGTGCGGACTTTTTGAACTAGAAAGGCCAGTGCATCATATACCCTAACTAGAAGCTCTCCCAAAGCCAAAAAAGTTCTAAGAAGGCATTAAGAAAGAAAGAAGAGTGAACCCTGCGAGGCTCGAGCCTGTAATATCTCGATTTCTGAGACAATCGTAGTCAAGCGCGATACCATTTCGCTAATAGCCTAGGTTAGATATTGTATAAGAAGAGTTAATTTTTTACGCCTTATGTAGGGGTTCAGCATAAATTCGAAGAAATGTAGAGCAAACAACGTGCATTTTTTAGTTAGAACTCGCTACGGCGTAGTAGCTTTGATTGATGTGACTTGCTCAACCGCTATTTTTGTCCTCTCTCACCTGGCAAAGGGAGAGTTTGCAAACATAATTCTTAAGTTACTAGTTTTTTTTCTTTTATTAGTACTGTAAAGTACATGGTGTCTACACTTAAGACCGGTCTTTCATCTCACGCAGCGTCTTCATCACCTGGACCGGTTCATCATGTCCTACCAACGCCTGGATGTTAGGGTCATTGACACGCATGAACACATTGTGTTGCTATTAATGTGTCAGATTTTCTTTCCCTCGAATAGAATACGCCATGGCTCACCTTCTCATCCCCGATTGTAAACTTCCCCTGGGTTTCCTTGTTGTCCTTGGCATACTCTTCCAATCTCCTAATGGCATCGTTATCCAGCACCTTCTTCGCGAACCTCACATTACCCTTGGTGTATTCGTGTCCCGGGTACACCTTTGTGTCATCCGGAAGCGAAGCGAGTGTCTCGTTCAACGCCTTGTGCATCTCTGTTGCATTGCCCTCGAAGAACCGACCACAACCTCCAATGAAGAGCGTGTCACCCGTGAAGACTGCCTTGTCAGATCCGTCCTCGAAGAAGTAACAGATGCTGTCCTGCGTGTGGCAGGGGGTGTGGAGCGCCGTTACTTTAATGTTATCGCCGACATTGAAGGTGGATTTATGCTCGGGGGTTGTGGTGACTTTGTCGCAGTCTTTGCCGCCGATGATTGGCAGCTTGAAGTATTTGATCTGGAAAGTTAGCTTCCATTATTATTCAAAATTTGGGAGCTTACAATCTCAGCATTTCCTCCGGCATGGTCGTGGTGGCTGAAAGGCGTGAGCTTATCCTTCAGGCGAATAGTTCATAGGCTGGGAAGCGTACTGGTGAGTATTTATGATCTTTGACAATTTAATGTCACCGCTATCTGTCTTATCCTTGAGATATGGTAGTACTCTAAAGAATTTAAGCAATCGTATGAAGCTTAGAGGGAACCATCAGCTTTGTAACTCACTCCAGCGGATTTGCGGGGTCTATGATGACGGCTTCCTTTGACTTGTCGTCGGTAACTAGATAGGCATAATTGTTGCCCGTCCCCTCCCCTAACTTGATGTCAAAATATCAGCTAAAAGCCATCAATATGGGTGCCCATACACATTGGGATCGAGAAGATATGCATGGTGCGCTGCAGAATTAGCTTCGAACATCAATTTCGTCTAAGATTGTTGGTGTCTTACCTTCGTAATTGAATTGGAGAATAGTCTGAATGAGCTTCGCTTGATTGCGGTTGCGAGTAAGCTCATAAGGGAGATGCTAGGTATTAGTCGTGGTGTTATGGAAGATTGATCAGCACTCTCGACGAAGTGCCGAATGACATGAGGACAGGACTTTGGAATGCGGGCGCCACTTATCGATAAGAGTCACGTGCTTCCGTGATAAGGTCTTCCGTCTCAGCGGTTTCAAAACGTCCCTCTTTGTTGATCTCCTTCAATATTCCTCTGTGCTGATTAAAATGCCCACTGACTGATCCTCCAGATGCGTTTGGGTGGTAGCTTTAACTCCCCTGAAGCGGTATTTTGACACTCACAACAAAACAATGGTCATCAATACGTCCTGCCCAAATGATATTACTTATTCTCCTAGACTTTTCCATCATCCTGCATATTGTTACAGAGCTTATCAGGAGTCTTTTCAGATGGTTTATGCCTGTACCACGCGTCTCTTGGAAACAATATAAACTTCCGGCTTCCGTCGTTTCCTTTGTCATCTTCTTCGCTACGTTTATTACTACTCACCCTAGATGGGAACGATCTAGGTTCATTATATTTTGAAAGCGCTCAAGTCCTGGATTTGATATAGGTTTTTGTGGATGGAGCGAAATACTTCATCGGTCTCTTCTCGTCCACCGATTCACTTGTTGACCGTGAACGCCATGCTGTCATTGATATTATCTCTAAGCAGCCTCATATACTCACAGTCCCGTGTCGGTTAACAACTGTCCAACTCAGCCAAATGACTCTCATGGCCCTGGCACCTCTCCTTGTCAACTCCTCCATTGTTTTGACACTACCTCCGGTTTAACACCAACTCCGCAACATGCCAACACGACTCTGCCGAGACGAGCGGCGTCCTGCCGAGCAACATCAGCAGGGTACCAACCGGTCCAATGTCCCCTCACCTACCCTGCTTGGCATGGGGGCCCAACGAAAGGACCTGATCAAATTTTATCCTAATCCGACAGAGCATCCCTTCCCAGCCCGTATTCCAGCCCACCCAGAAGACGATAGTCGCGGTAAATCCATGTACCGAATCCCCGGATACCGATACCCACATACGTTATCGTTCATGGGCGAGTTCATCCCCGAAGCTGAGGCACAGATCATTTCTGCATTTGAGAAGGGCAAGAAGCAAGGTGCCGCGCCCAATAACAAGGATCCACCAGCTGCGTCTTCGTTCGGCAAGAGGCCTTTCCAAGTTTCGACTGAGGATAGAGGTGAGGATACGAACATTGAGCATGAGGTCCCTAGCAAGGGCGGAGATTGGCGTGGATCTGTCAAATCTGTGTAAGCTTGGCCAATCTTTAACCTTACATTAGCTACGTGCAATTAATATGTTGCTAATTTTATCTTGGCAGACTTGTCACGGGTCTCAGATGGGCAGCCGCACAGTTCGGCCTCATCTTTGCAAACCCCAATGCAGTTCTCCCAGTTCCTGAGAACGGAAATCAAGCTATTCTAAGAAACCTCACGGGTAGAAACACTCGAAACGACATCAAGGCTTATGTGGCTCGGCCACTTGTCCCTGGGCACCTGCACGCTATCGAAGGCGATCTGTCCGATAATGAATCCTGCTTTAAGACAGCTTCTCCCTACCGTAGCAAATACACCCGTAACGGCGATGAACACAAGACCTTCCTTCCAAATTCGGCACTCTGCCTGAACCAAGATGCCGGTTCTGACTCTGCGACCGAGTTAGAATCCGACAAGTTAGCACTTTCATTCCTCAACAAAGGTGCTACCCAAGACCTCCCCGTTGAGGCTGCTTCTGGGCTAATGTTATTTTTAATCGATCTTTCGGTGAGACGTTAAGCCCGGTCACCACCCAACGCCCGACTCCGGATCCTCGAGAATCAGACGTACAATATCCCGATTTCCCTCTTCCTTCATCTGAGGTACCCGCCGAAGTTGTTTCGAACAATCTACCTCTAAAGCTCCGTCCAAACCAACTCACCATAGCTGCGGGTTACCGTCCTCAACATCCCTGCGACGCTCTTTTCAAGCGCGGGTACGCTGGAATCAATCCAGCCGGCGCGTATGCACGTCCAGCTATCCCTCATCCTCGTCCCGATCCGAACAATCACACAGATACTGGGTATCCATATGCGATGAATACCATGCGTCGACCTAAAATCGTATTTGGATCTTTCGGGTCCTTTGAAGGTTCCCCAGCTTCTTCGAGGAGCCGGGATATCGATTGTTACCTACAGTTAAGGAAGACCAGGGCGGAGAATCGGATAGGGGCTACGTGTAGAAAATAGGACCGTTCTCGCTTTCCCGCGGTGGAGTTTAGTGGAGGTAGGGATAAGTGCGTAGGGTGAAAAGGACTAGAGATAGAGGGAGGGTCTGTTCTCAATCACCTGACACGGAGCGTAGAGATGCTCGACTGAAGTCTCAAACATGGCTGCGTAATTAGAACCACGAGAGTCTCCAACTGTTAGTATATATGGAGTAAAATTGTGAGTGCATGACCGGCCGGTGTATCAACACGGATATCTGATGTTCCCGACCTTTGTCCTGTCGTAGGCTTGGTGGATGGGTAGTACGATATTTAGGCTGCTATAAATGTCGGGTAAGGGAGAATCCTGTCTTCCCCTCTTACTTTAGCAACAGTCTGGTATATACATATCATGTGGTGTGGGCCCCATGGCTGCTTCAGTGCAGCTATAGGTGATGGAATAGTCGGTGCTTTTTCTAGCAGACAGAGCATTAATAATTACCTAAACAGGTGCCCTATCTCCTTTCCCCTAAATTTCAATAGCTATGAATCAGGTAATTTAAGGCGCCACAATAGTGCAGCACCACTGTAACTAATCGTACCTACGGATGTAGAGGACGACGGTTTCATAGGCAACAGCGATAACGGGCTGGGATCAGACAATCGTTTTTGACCTTAATTAAAAAGTTCCAACATCTTACAACCAATAACAACGCAGCTTAGCCACTTGTGAATCACAACAATACCATTCTAGAAACAGAGAGCACTGTTATTTCGTCAAGGCCATATCCCAGACGTCCAATGTAATTTGTGTGTTGGAGCCAGTTGATCACTATAGAAACTAGGGTAAGGAAAGCCAGTATATAAACCCCTTCCTCATATACACACAACACCCTTACACCAACTCCTCATCTAAAAGGTGCTCTTCAATCCCATCGCCTAACCCCAAAACTCCTTACCCTAAACCTCATCATCACAACCCACCTTCACCCACCATGCATACTTTCACATTCCAACGCCCAAGCTGGCTTACCCCTGCCATCCTCTCCGCGCCTTCTACATATGCAAAATTGCAATGCCAACCTGCCGACGCGTTCACTGCCGCTACAATCAGAGCAGGCGCAGGGGGTGTCTTGACGGTGGAAACGAATGACCTGCCGATGAAAGCGAAAAAGGTGAGGGAGGATGGGGAAGAGGAAGAGGAAGAAGAAGAGGATGAGGAGGCGAGGTTTAAGTTATATGTTTCCCGCGGCGAGTTTGGGAAGATCTTGGGTGTTGTGGATGTTCAGCTGGTTTGATGGGTGGGAGAAGGGCGGGTTGATGCCCTATTATTTCCATGAAGTATGAGACGGAGAGCAGCCGATTTGGTTGTGTTGCAGGCACGAAGAATGCGGATGCAAGTCGGTAATGCATGAGACACGGGCTATGCTGCAAAGATTCTGATTCAAGGTAGCTATGCCGAAATGCAAATATTAGTTGGATAGGACTATGTGGTGGTGTATGTGCATGTCAAATACCGCTCAATTAACTCGAACAATAAATTAACTACATATTCTGTCTCATACCACCTACACAGCCTAGGGCTTTCCAAACCTGTTAATATCGCACTAAGATGTTTTAATCTAACCAACTTCATCGTGGATAATGTTGTCGATTTGGCGGTGTAAAACAATTCGAGGCTCCACCCCAAGAAGCATATCCTCGAGCTCTCGAGTCCACTGGCATTCAACAGCCTTACTTTGGTTGCCTTGGATGCAATATGAATGAGTGCGCAGAGTGCAAGCGCCTTATCTTCTCGAGTCCCAACCCCGATAAGGACCTCTGCAGCATAGGAACGCTGTTGCGTAAGTCTATGTTGCGCTCATCATCTCACCCACGACTACCTGGAGGAATAAGCAGGCTAAATACCCAACTCTTGACTGTCGAGTTCGGTGCTGAGCGTTTTAGCCATGGCAGTGTTTCCTGCATCGAGTCGTCCTGCATTCAGGACAACAAGCCCCTCTTCTAACAATGATGCCAACTATACCGTGATATGGATGCTATCTTAAAACTCCTTCATTTATGTCCTTCAGTTGGAAGTTCACTATACCCATAACCTTGCTGATGTGCATGGCTCGGATATCCATCCAGCTGATGTACCTGACTCTCCATTCCAGGCAGCTCAGTCCTCCCCCATTGGTGAATCGGATAGCCAGGCACATCCGGTGGATACTTTTGCTGCGGCTGTCCAACCATGCCATAATATCCACCAGCGTCGCCGGGAGGAGGAGCAGCAAGAAGGGGTGCGTTTTGTTGGTTCCGCCTTCGTCGTGACAAGAGCCACCAACCCAGTATGGCGGCGAAAACAGCAAAGGCGACGCCGCCGACGACACCACCTACAATCGCACCTGTATTTGTTCCGCCCCCTGAAGAGGAGGCTTTTGTGTTTGTAGGGCCGGGACCAGTGGTGCCTGCGGTGGACAGGGCAGTAGCGCCGGATGCTGAGTTCTTGGGGGATGCAGAGGTGGAGGATGCAGAGGTTGCGCTGGCCTGAGTTGTTCGGTAGATAGTAAACGCCGCGAAGCCTCCTTCTGCGCCGCAAGCATAGTTGTATAGTGTACCGATATTCGGCTGGGTTTGGATGATAGTCTGTGTAACGCAAGGCCAGGAGGTATCGGTGCTAGCACGTCAACTGTTAGCGTAAACAAGCGAGAGGTCTAGATTCAACGTACCAGGTTAACGTCACGTCTAAGTCTGTTGAAGATGCATTGAAGGCATTTTGGCAGTTCACACGCAGGCCCATTGAACTCAAGTACGCCGTCCCGTAACACCCAGCATATTTTCCAGATGTTGTGTAAATCTCAACAGAATTACACGTTAACTTTTCCCCTACACGTCGCGTCAACTACAGATCAAAGAGTTGGGCTTATCGACTCACATCCAGTGGCACCAGAATACCATCCCAATAGATCCCCCGCCCTCTTATCGAGTCGTGGCGCCGGCGTGATCAGAGCCATCGAAGTTGGAGTTGACGATCGTCCCAACAATCGTCGCTTGATGTCTCAAATCCTGCAGGAAAGAAAGCTTGTCGAGGATGAAGCTTGAATTATGAATGAGTGACAAGAGGTCCGGCTGCGCCTGGTTGCCGGGCCCCTCTTAAAGGCGGGCTATTGTTCCCATTGTTGAAATGATGAGCCGCAGATTGCGCCCCTCTCGGAAATAGCTTCGAGTTCGCTGCATAGACTTCTAGCGACAACTTGTTGTTTCAAGCAGGGAATTGTGGCAATAGGGTTTCATGATTGGATGGCTGACGAATTAGAGGAAGAACCGACAAGGGGTTTGGCTCCAAGGCGGTTAAGAATGTCGTATTTTTAGCCATCCCCACAAGCACCAAGCCTGACGCCAGCGCAGGTTTCGCGCCGAGCTGGCTCCAAGAGATACGATCTTGATGGAAGAAGAGCGTTGAAAAGTGTTCGAGAAATCTTAAAACGTCGACGGGTAGTAGTTGTAGACGCCTCAGCCACCCGAATCACATCATCTGGAAGGCCTGGAGAAACGCTGTGCCTCGGCACTCCGGAAAAATCCAGCTACGGACGAAATATCGCGCTGGGGGCCGTATCCCACCCGACCGCGTCATCGTTTCGCTCTCGCGTTGGAGGCAAGTTTGGCTGGAGGCGGGGGGGAGGGGGTCAGTTGGTTACATTTTGCATCCTCGACATGAGTTATGTAGCGGTGAGCGTTCTGCTAGCTTGGAGAAATATCTAGTGCAAAATTCAGGTCATGTTGTGCCCTTCTCTCGCTCAGTACGAGTATCTGTGGAAAGTTCTTCCTTTCCGCCGCCAGATCGACAGAACCTCACACTTCTCAATCCATACCTCCCTCTAATGTACTTCTCGATCTCCCGCTCTTCGACATGCTGCAACAATGGCGTATCAAAAGCGTTCGCTACCACTAGCGGGTTAAAAGATGCCGGAAAGGGAAGTTCATTCCATCCCCAATAAAGCGGAACAACAGCAACGACTGCGAGTAAGCTGGTGACAACCGCGCAGATTAGATATGGCGTGCTGATGGTGAATACGATGGACTTCTCTTGCTCTTTGAGTGAGACCCTCTGAGTCCAGTTTTGTATATTGGGAAGGCCTTCTTCTACCAAGGATGAGAGACCGAAAAGGACATTCATGTCAGTCACGTTGTTGGCGGCTGCAACAGCCGTTCGGAAGGCCATTTCGCGGAGACGATCGAGGGTAAACTTGAGGAACTGTTAGCTCGCAATCCACGGTTGATTAAGATGGGTGCTCAGCTGCTCATACCTGCGTAGGATCCCGGAAAGTCGAGGAACAGTTGACGGCATTGATATCTCCGTTTAGGAACCGCTTTCCAAGAAGAAGGCGTGGATCGTTGCCCGCTGTGATGAAACCGCCGCCATTACTGTAGATGGATATTTCTTGGTTGAATTGAGCCATATAAAAGTTGGGCCAGTGGGTCGTCGAACCCCATGGCGGGTCAACAGACATGTTGTGTAAAGCATCAAACATGTTCCATGAAGGGCTACGAATATTTAGCAAAGTAAGTGGACGACAAGGGCAGTAGGGGGACTCGCGTTTGAAATAAAAGAGTGTCGTTCTGCCAATGAGGATGCTGCAACTGGATGGTGTGGTTCCGCAATTCGACCGCGTATTCGACTACTGCATGATGTAGGGAGCACCGTGTGATTGATAGCTCTCCACCACAAACAGGTTGCGTCTTGAAGAGATTGACAACATCGAACCACCCGCGACCTTCCACGGCTTCAAAGGCAGGCCGATCTTTATCATCACCATCAGACCCATCGAATCCTTGAAGACTAGCTGATGTGTTGAAAGCTGGGACAGCATCTCCAATGCTGTTATCTTCGTCTTGGTACAATCTTCTGACGGTGCTATTTACAGAAGCATCCCAAGCAATTTTGGAGCTTGAGCAGCGTATGTCGAACCCATAGCCCTAAAGAATTTTAATAGAAGCAACACGTGGAAGAGCTCCAATCTCACCTTGACCTTACCAGTACAGAGGCATCTACAGGTGCTGCTGCTATGGTTGATATAGACCGGTGACCTCTCTACATACTGGTCGTACACAGCATCGTAACTCGCCGATGTAAACGTAAGGTTTGGATACAAGTATCCTGGAGGGATAATTTGTGCTACTTTCAACTCATAATCGTTAAAGTATTCTTTGACAAAGTTGCTGTTGACCACCGAAGCCCGTTGGAATAGTGGCCCACGGAGGGTAGACGCCAGGCACAGTATTGCGCTAATAGCAACCATATTTGGGCGCAGATGCAGCAAATTATCAACCGCACCCAAGAACGCTCGGGACTCGTAAATATCATACATGTTTCGAAGCGTTGTCCCTCGGCTTGTCGTCCTCCAGAAAGAGATGGTAGCCCCACCGGCAAGCGCGAATGCGGTCAGGCCGTCCATGAGGGTTGAGAGTACCGAAAGCCATACTTGTGGCTGGATATTGACGCTCTTGACTTGCCACTTGTTGACTGCAGTGGTGTTGCTGAGTACGAGTAGAACGACGGCGGCAACTGTCAGAAGGAAAACAGCGACTAGCGACAGGAATCCTGCCCAAGGGAAGTGCGCCATCTCAGAGGCGTGAATTGTGTAAAGGGTCACGTCCTCGTCAGGGTCTTTTGTAGGAGCTGCGAGGAGAGAATCCACGTCACCGCCATCATTCGCCGGCGGTAAAGTATCGTGGTCAGGTGGGGAACATTCATATTGCAATGTAGAGCGTCTAGATTCCATAGCCAGGGAGAAACTTCCTATTATCCACACAAATGAGGTCCTAAGCTTAGATTATCGATTTGATTCTGAGCATTAGGACCACACTGTGTTGAGGGATCCTGAATAGCGCCTCCAAGAACTGAGGATTTCCGACTTGAAGACGACTTCTGTAACACTGGTGAGCAAAGTACCGAAGAGAAAACAAAGACCCCGTACTATTTTCATTTAATAAGGCCTGATGAATCCTTCCATGATTAGCCGCTGCTGTGCCACCTGCTGCCTGTCTCGTCGCTCAGCCCCAAACTCCACTACCTGCACTAACCCTCAACGTCTTAGCTTAGCTTACCGAACAGTTTGCCCCGTACGCCCTGCGAGTTCCGTCGCGGTCCGAACGCCGACTCCCAGTCTCACTTGCAGGATTCTCTCATCCTCACCCGAAGGTTGAATAAAACATGCTAACGAGTTGATAGACCTTGTTGGTTTCACTGTCATCACGAAGACTGCTGGCCAATCAGGATCCCCTGCATTACACAACGTGGAGGGGTCTTGGTTTGAATCTCCTTCCGAGGCTTCACCAACCCCATCTTTGCCGAACTGCCTACTTGTGAGATGCGGTTCGTTGATTCTGTCGCCTTGGATTGTGCGTTGAGGAAGAGGGTATTGAGCTCCTTGTTGTGTCTATATCTGTGTCTTCATTGTCATATTTATCCCCTCAGCGACCTTTTTTTTTCCCCTCGTTGTCTTCAATGTCTCGGTTTGTCCTCTGGTGAATTGTTCCTTTCATTGATTATGTTGCCTGTGGGCGGTGGGTCAAGGAGGACTTGAGCATATCATTGCCATCGCCATGCCTTCACCATCATTGTGTCCTTCATCTATCCTCTACACTCCTTGCTGTCTCATTATTCTCTCTACACCCGCTGGGTGCCCAATACTGTAGAAAGATTCCTTCTATAGAGCTCTGGCCTGCACAGACTCCGACCTAACAACGGCACCCGCCATCGACGCAGATGCGGAAAACCCGGGTGGCAAAGTCGAACCCTTGAAGCAAGAAGATGTAGGGGAAGTATCGGAAGGAAGTATCGTTCTTAGCTTGAAAGCACTGAAGCATTCGTGCTACCTATCAAAATCTGATAGGTACATTGTTGATTCTAGGGATTTCATCTATCTTGCAAACAGCCTGAAAAGCAACCACAACTAAACCATAGCCGAACAACCCAACCCCCCAAATATATACTCTAACCACCCACCTCCCACCAACTCTTTCTCTAAAGCCCCTACCTCTTCAATGTCTTCTGCTTCTCCGCATCCCTCGCCCTCTCCCCAAGCACCAACATCCCCTTTCTCCTCCTCACTCCATCCATATACCTCTTCGCCACATTCTCTTTATCTGCCAACTCGCCCAAGTCCTCCAACTCATCCTCGGTAAACGGCACCCAAAACGGATCTTCATCTAGCATCTCAAAGCCTGTGAACCTAAGCTGCGGAGACGCTGACCCTGAACTTCTCTTCCGGATCTCGTCCGAAAAACCGAAGGATTCGGCGACGGGCAGGAGTGCGTTGATGGTGAAGGTTTGGTTGCCGGTTGTGCTGGCTGAGGAGGTGGAGGACAGGGTTTCGGAGAGAATGGTGCCGCGGCGTCGAGTTAGAACAGCGTAGACACGTCCGAGGACGTCGGTTGAGGCTTGTATTTCGCACGAATACATTGCGAGTAGCATTCTCGGGCTCCAGTCTAAGAAACCCTGGCGGATGGAGTCGCGGACGGTTTTGATGATTTCGCCTGTGAGACGACCTATTCGGTCTGGAGCGGTGGATTCTGAGGGGGGGATGGCGATGGTGATGTCTTCGAGGAAAACGGCAATGCCTTGGACGGGTTCGGCGCAGAGGGGGCCTTGCGCGGTGGCGAGTTGGAAGGTGTAGGCGATTTTGTCAATTAGGGATGAGGGCGCGAGGTCGCGGTCGTTTGGGGATGGTTTTGCAGTATTTGGGTGAGAGGACGCTTCGCGAAGCCTGCAAGTATTGTGAGCATTGAATTCATAGTATATAATCGAGGGAATGGAATGCCTTACGCCTTCCCGCAAATCCCACCCTGTGAAGCATCCACAAGAATATTAGGACCTACTCTCCTCGGGCCAAAGGCTGTGATCTTTTCAATCACTCCATCCCATAGTTCTTTTTGACCTTTCGCTTCATCGAATGCTTCTTTCAAGTGTTGCTTGAATTCCGTCAGGCTGAGCACATGACCAATCTCCAGTTGTTCGGCCTCTTCCATGCCATCTTCGGCAACGGTGCCCTCCGGAGGAGTCTCTGCGCCACTCTTCTGGCGCTCTTCTTCAGCATGACGTTCGGCATATAGACGCTTAATAGCTCCAGCATTCTTGCCCAAGAACTCTGTTACAGTAGCAGGTAGTGGCCTCACTCTCAAGCGCACCGAAACCTGTTTACTCGTGGTGACGCCAACCACGGTTCCTCGCGGTAAATTTGGATCTTTCGGTGGATTCATCTCCGCCGCCGCCACAATACTCTCCCTATACGGGACAATTGGAGCACCAGCCTGGATCTCGCATTTCGCGAACCGTTCCCGCAAGTCCTTCAGACATCTTTCCAGATGTAACTCGCCTGCCGTGAGGATGACATGCTCTCCACTCTGGAGGACTTCATATTCGGCGCATGGATCGCTTTGCACAAGTAGTTTTAAGCCTTTGATCATCTTGTCCAGATCGTACGGATTCTGTGGCTCTAGTGCAACGCGAACGATGGGCTGGGTGCCCATGGTGACACCAGCGAGGTTGACCGATCCGGGAAGTTGCGAACAGAGCGTTCCTGACTTGAGCACATGGCCTGCAAGGCCACCAATTCCGAAGACGACACCAGCGGGGACTGATGTCAGCGGTTCTAAGCCGCGACCCATCATCAGATATAGCGCTGTGACTTTGACTTTCTGCGGTTCAGGCGAGGCATGCGGTTTCGCGGGTGTGAACTTCGGACCAAGGACATAGACTTCATCGCCAACACTCAGAGTTCCAGAGTATATACGCGCGAAGCCGATAAGCTGTTCAGCGCCGTCTTTCGCCTCTTCCATTATTTCTGGAGTTTCTGTTCTAGATTCTCTCACATTAGTAGAACCAAGTGCGTCGGTGAGACCTTCGACATCCTGATTACCGTTCGCCAGTGCCTGTTGGCGCGCAATTTCCGCACGCTTCTTTCGTCCCAATTCCCTTGCTTCATCGGCACTCAGAGCACCACCTCGGCGCTTGTTTTGCGGGAGCTCGCTTTCAGGCACGGCAACCATTTTGCTGACATACGCGACCACCGGTGCGTCTTTGGACGTTTTGAAGTCGGTCATGGCAGATATTACCTCCGGGGAGACGAAGTCAGCCCCTGGAGAGTTATCTAGAATTTCGGGCATCCTATCGGCCTGGGCTTTAGGCGGAGCAGGAAGGTACTCAATTACAGAGACCAGGAGTGCAGTAGAGAGGGGAAGCCAGGCTGCGAAGAGCGTAGTCAGGAGAGTACGTGGGTCTCGCGAGCGGAGGATATGTGCTGGGAGGGTTATGGAGAGAGACTTGGTGATCTTTTCTACCATTACGGGATCTCTGCGTTGACATGAATGAGTATATTGCTAGTAGTATGTACAATACAAAGCAAGGAGAGACTGAAAAGGAAAGGAAAAGGAAATCCACGCACCCCTTCCCTTTGTTACCTCCTGTGGTAGCCTCATAAACGGCCCATATATTGTCGAGCACTAGCTGCACAAACATGGGCTTCAGATGGCGGCCCTTGAGATGCTTCGATGAAAGGACTCGTTTTGTTTTTGGGTCTAGGTAAAAGTCGCCCCACAATACCTTTTCGAGCACAGAGCGTTTAATACCTAGCTTCCGTTCATACAGTCCAGCGAACTGTTTTATAGTAAAGGCCCACCCGTCAATGGCGCTACTGAAGATTACGTTATTCCTTTCGGGGGCAAAATATATGTCTTCGTCGTCCTTCTCCTCATACTCAGCGGGAGTGTTCGAGGTGTCTATGCTGTCTCCGTTCTCAAGGACCGAGGATGAGCCGGCGCTAGCCTTTTCAGCTGCAACCGCATTCAGTTTTTCTTCCATTTTTTCTCGCCATCTGAGGTCGTCTTCCATTCGCTCTCCCTGGTAGAAGCTGCCCATGACCGCATTCACCTGCTGGAGCAGCTTGCCCAAGTGCGTATACGCTTCGGTCGGACTCATCTTCAGTTCTGTAATTAGCCTGTCCATTTTGTTGATCACGAGCAAAGGCTTGAGCTTCTCGATCCATGTCTGTCGGAGCACAGTGACAGTCTGGCTGCACACACCCTCGACAGCATCTACAAGGACAACAGCGCCGTCGCATAAGCGCGAGGCCGTGGAAACTTCGTAGCTGAAGTCAATATGTCCAGGGGAGTCAATCAAATTTATCAAGAACTCCTTTTGTTGGGGGTTAGCCTCGGGGGGAGACCTCCGAAGTAGCGAAAAGTAAAGCGAGATGGCGGAGGACTCCATTGTGATGCCTCGCAGCTGCTCATCCGGTCTCGAGTCAAGGTATCTTATCTTGCCGGCTAATTTTGGGGAGATGATGCCATTAGTAGCGATGAGGGCATCGGTGAGGGAGGTTTTGCCATGATCCTAGATGGGTTTAGCAGTGGGGCAGAGAGGGAGGAGTGGGGTGGGCAATGCGCACGACGTGTGCAAGAATGCAAATCTGGTGGGCGTGTCAGTCCGGATCTTCAGATGAAGGGAAGAAGGAGGTTTGAGGTACGTTTCTGATGTCTTCGGCCGCCTGCTGCAGGGAGACAAGCTTCTCCGGAGAGACGACCGGCATGTCGACTGCCTCTCTTTTCCTCTCTGTCTCTCTGTCTCGCGGAATGGCAGGACGTGGAAATTCCTGTGGGCAGTGTGCGGGCGGCTGACTCTGGCCAAAAGCGAGTAGGCGGTCGGTGGCCAAAGGGTATTGCCGCGCGCAGGGAGAGGAAGTTTCAACGGCGGATATTGTTTCAAAGTGCAGGGATCAAAAATAACAGAATGAAGGGGAGGCGATGTGGAATAGGGAATAGGCAGTTGGGGGGGGGTGAAGAAAGGTTGGTTGGTTGCGAAGGGGAGATTTTTTGGAGCCAGAAACGCCTCCGAAACCCCGCCAAAAACAGCGGGAGGGTGTGGCGCGGGCTCGGCGGCGGCAGCACAAGACGTCAGTCCTCGTGAGCCACTGGAAACCGCCCGGCGCTGCTGCTTGAGCTCCACCTCCAGGTCGCGTCAACCGTGGCTCGAGAATAATTTCGCGCCTTGTCCACGGCTCCTCCCATAAGTACCTTGTCCATTGTCCTCTGTCTGGGCCCTCATCCCTCACTGGCGGCGGTCCCTGCTCGATGCATTTCTGGCATCTCCCCTGTCTCGCCTGCTCAATTAGCACCTCCCTCATATAACACCACCGCCATATAACCCCCCGCAGTCACGGGCAGCTAGCACCAGCACATGCGTATATCACGCTGTTAGCCTCGCGTGCCTCTCAATTGCCTTTTGCATGTAGAACACTCGTCGCTCACCTCGACCATGGCGGAACACATCCCACAACCACCCTCCAAACCCTTCCCCATCCGCCCACTCGCCCCTAAAGGCATGAAGATCGAAACGCCACTCCTAGATCCGCGTGTAGAGACTCTCAAAACTAATCACGGCAATGTCGGGGTTCTGTCGCCCGTCAATCAGAACGGGAGCTTCGAATTCGATCGCGTTATAAAGTCCGGCATGGTGCTCAAGAGGACGCGCAAGACCAAGGCAAGCCTCCAAAATTAGAGCTCCTAGAGTGCTTACTGACGGTTTTGGCAGTCGTGGAAGCCTATCTACCTCGTCCTACGGCCAAACCTCCTCTCCATCTACAAAGACAAGGCCGAGACCAGGCTGCGGCACCAGATTACCCTCTCTGAAGAAATTACGGCGGTCGCGCGCCAGAAAGACTCCAAGAAAAAGATGGATCACGTGTTCGGCTTGTTTTCACCCTCTCGGAACTACCACCTCGGCGCGTCTAGCGAGCAAGATGCACAGGAATGGGTCGAGGCTATTCGGAGAGAGGCGCGCATCGACGAGGAAGAGGAGGAGATGATCCTCATGAGCCCGTCTGGAAACAAAAATACATTCATGGGCTTTGATCGGGCGAAACGCGAGCATCTTGGATCAAGCTCCTCTGAAGCTGAGCCTAGACCCTCCACTTCCATCGCCCCCGAGAACATGCACAGCGCGCGACGAACCTCGCACACCGTGAACTACTCCGGCAATGATATGGGCTCACTCTCAGACTTCTCCGATACAGGTGGAGCCTTGCATACCGCTCTCCAGAGCTCCTCCATCTCCCTCCCGCGAGATTCCCATCCACAGAACCGCAACGTTAGCCAAGGGAGCAACATCGGCGCAACACCTGACGACGAGCGCGTTATTTACCACGGCTGGCTCTACGTGCTGAAGTCCAAAGGTGGCGTTCGGCAATGGAAGAAGGTATGGGTCGTGCTACGTCCCAAGACCCTCGGCCTCTACAAAAACGAAGAAGAATACTCTGCGAACCTCATCATACCGTTCTCGAGCATAATTAACGCGGTTGATATCGACCCGGTGTCGAAAAGCAAGAAATACTGCATCCAAATCATCTCTGAAGAAAAGAACTTCCGCTTTTGTGCCGAGAGTGAGGACTCGTTGGCAAAGTGGCTTGGCGCGTTGAAAAGTCTGCTGGTGAAGAGGAAGGAAGCGGAGCAACCGAGAGTGATTGCCACAACACCAAATGCGCCCGGCGCCCAACAACATGCTCAGCAGGCTGCAGCCCCGAAACCGAGATCCACCAGTGGACAACAGCCTCTTCAAGGAGTGCCAACTACAGCTACAAATGGATCGCAACAACAGCATATCCAGCAACCTACAGCGTCGAAAACAAGATCCGCAAGCGAGCAGCGGCCTCTCCAAGGAACGACAGCGGCAACCACAAGCAGCGCACAACCACAAAACTCCCAAAATCAAAAGTGATTGATGTTACTACCCCTTTTATTGGTCTCTCTGACTAGATCATGAAACTGCCGATTTCTTCCTTCTGGCACAAATCGCAACCTACTCGCCATACCTCCACCCCCGACCCCTGTAAATACCCGGGGTAAATACCACACAACACAACATAGTTACCCCTTTTCCTTTGTTAGTCACGCAACCACACTTCTACTACCACATCGAGCTTGATACTACACCCCTATCTACCACAGTAGTCTATTTGCACCTCTCCTAGCGTCCACACGATTGACATGATTTATGATATCCATCCCACTCCACCGAAGTTGGCTTAGTCAACACCCCACTGCATTGAATGCTGGGCTTGGCTTGTTGATGGGGACGGGGCTATCTGCGGTTCCATGCGTTTGAAGTAATTGTAGTGTAGTGTAATACATAGTATAGTAATATTTTAATTGAGTGGAGTCGATTGGATGTTGGATGGAAAAACAGAAAAGAATGACAGAAGTCGTGAATTGGATTAGATTGGGTTGGCTCAGGGGGAGTGGAGCGGAATGGAGCGAAGTGGACTCGAGGTGTATCGCTTATGCGGTAGTTTGAATTGAAGAATTTCGAGCCATTCATTTCACCCAGACTGCCCGCACGTACATGCTAATTATCTTATTTAGATCAGACCTGCGTGATGGCATTCGCAGACGTATTCTCCTCCCTCTCTTCCTAATCCACCTGAACCCAACTACGGCTTACTATTACACGCATCCGCCATGCTACCCTCACTCGTCAATCCAACACCAGCTAGCTAACTCTATATCTCCATTTTCATATCCCCCTGCCCTTCAATCGTAATAATACCCCCTCCCCTGCATCCCCGTTCTTGTCCTTGCCCGTGTTCCACTCCCACCATGCCCCTTCTTAACCCACTCATACTCCTTCCCCCCCGCCCTACTATATCTACCCTCACCATATCTACCCCCTTCATACGCCTCAGTCCTCCCCCTCCTCTTCCTTCTCTCCCGCAGATTCCTCGTATGCTGAAATAAAACCTCACACTCACCACCCCCCATCTCGCGCAATAGAATATAGTAATCCGGATCCTTAGGGTCGTATTCCCAGGGGATTTTGTAGGTAGCTAGGGTGGCGGTGTCGAGATAGCCTTTGTGGATTTTGGGGAAGGTGGGGGCGGTAGGATCGAGGAAGGGAGCGGAGGTTTGGTTTGTTTGGGTTTGTGTTTGTGTCTGGGTGGAGGGGTAGAAGGGTGCAGGAGGGGGTGGGGGTGGAGGACGGGGAGGGAGAGAGTATTGGCCGTAGCTTCGGCGTCGATTGGATCGGATTTGAATTTCAGGTGCTAGTTTATTGGAGATAGGGGGTGGAGCCGGAGGAGGAGCGTTGTACATCTGCTCCCTTTGCGTCCACCATCGTGTATCAGTTTTCGTTCTCGATTCCGAGAACGGATTCGCATTTGAATCCGCGTAGATCCAATCCTCTTCATTTCCATATGTCCCCTGCCCAGCTCCAGCTTTATTCGGGTTATCTTGAACGCCGCCGAGGGAGCGGATGTAGCGTTGTAATACAATATCGTTGTGTGTATACGGCGGCGCGAACTCCGCTTCATCGGCCAACGACTTATAATCCAGAGTCGAACTCGACGGCGACGTAAGTCTAGCCGCGGCGTTTTTCCTCTGCGCGACTGTAATCCCGCGCGCGCTCGTCCGCGTATCTTGCTTTCCTGTGAAAAGTCTCGCATAGCTAGCGATATTGTCACGGATCTCATCGCCATTATATGCGATCAAAAGGATACTGCCCATTGTGACGGCAGTCAGCGGAATCGCAATTTCCCAAAACAGCGATTGCTTGCTGGTCATGTCGCGGATATCCGAAGTATTCATTCCGAGATAGGATGTTACGAATGATAGGGGCAGGAAGATGATTGTGACAACCGTGAAGACAAGAATCGCTTTTCCGTGGTCTTCTTCGTTGATTTCTGCCGATTGCTTGGTGCTTTCAGAGAGGGGACCGCATTTTTCTATCATCTCGCTGAAATCGGCTTTAGCGTCTAATAGCGATTCTAGACACGACTGGAGTACGAGCCGTTCGTGCGGGAACATAGCGCCGCGGGAGGGGATGTCATTGGGATAGCTTGTGGGATTCAGGACCGCAGCATACGACTCTATGAGTTTGGTTTGCCAAGCATTGATACTCGAGAGGGCGGAGAGTTCTTCCTGAAGGAGCTTTATGCTGCGGAGGAGGCGTTTGGAGGGGCGGTGGTTGACTGTAAATTGGAGCGTGGAGAGGTATTCATAGTAGAGGTCTGCGACTGCCATGCTGTTGTCTACGGGCTTGACAAGTAGTCTTCTCATGAGCCACGAACACAGATACTCTGGGCCTAGAGAAAGACGCTTTAGGTAGTCAAATGTGCCTTTAGAATGGGCCATGAGACAAAGATCTTTCCTTGCTGCTGCTATACTGGTTTTCACGCCATCGCAAAAGCGACCTAGGACTTGCAAACCCTCCGTGGAAAACGGCAGCATATACTCCATATCGTCAAAGTTTGTGAGTTTATTCTCGTAAACTTCTTCTGTGTAATACACCGCTCGTTCGACAGCGAAGAAAAATTGAACGACCCTTTGAAGCGTCTTATGAAGCTCAGGTGGGAAACTGTAAATATCTGACATTTTCCCGTCGGTGTCTGTGACACCTTGAGCCAGCTCGCGTGTTTCTCTAAGAAGCGTGCGCGCTTCGTCGTTGGCTTGTTCGAATATCGCGAGAAAGCCGGCGTTTACTTCTTCGACGAGAATTTGTCCCGAATTACGTATCCAACCTTGCAACTCGGAGTCGGCTTCTTTCTCGCTGGTGTTATGCGGCCCTGGGTTTGCCCATTTTCCAGAAATGGCTGGCCCTGCTAGGTGAACTCGTAAGTGCTCCAGAGCGCCGTTCGGGTCGTCGTAAGCACGATTACGTCGACATCTTCTACATGCTTTGATGGTCTGGTTGAGAGCATCGTTCCCGGGCAGTGGAGTGTATTTGCCTTTTTGAAAAGTGTTGTGGCACGTACGGATAAACCATTTACGATCACCGAATTCTGGAGAGCGCCATTCGGGGTCGGTGTATTCAGCTGCGTCACGTTCGCTGGACGGGCGGCGCTGTTGCACCTGGCCGGTGATTTTCGCAACGTTTGCCATAGCGCCCCAGACTTTTCGCAGCATTGTGCTCTTGTCTACGTCCCATACAAATAGCTTCAGAATTGAATTAACCAGGTCGGTCAGCTCTGCGGCAGAGGAGGTGATCTTGGCACACTGGTCATCGACAATGGTCTGATGTCTCGTCCGAGTTGACGGGCCCTTCCCCAGGTTCGCTACGTTTTGTAAAAGGGAGGTGAAGCGATCCTGTAGTTGCACCATTGTCTCTTCCGGAATGGAAGAGTAATACTTGGTCGAGGTAAACGAACGTTCCACAATGTGTATGGCGTCATATTCAGACATGGTTTCTGACATTACTGCCTTTTCGACCCTCTCGAGGCATTCCATGGAGTGACGTACCTCCGGTGGAATAAAGTCAAATTGCTGCCTTGTTTGCTCCTTTGCGTTGGATGCTATGTTAGTGCTCATGTTTGCCGGGGGGGATTTGAAGTCGGGCTTGCCATCTTCCTTCATTGAAATATGTGACCAGAAGAAGAATGGCGGGATCGCACTTTTCGACACCACAGCACCGAGAGATGATTCAGGCTTTCCTTCCTTCCATTTCAGATCCAGCTCTTTCTCTTTCTCCTCATCCAAAGTCGAAAGGTCGATGAAAATGGCATTCTGGTTTTGTATTATGTCAAGCCACTTTCCAGGTGTGACCTTCTCATCCCCTTTCTCCTTGTTCCACAACAACTTCAGGCTTTCAGATCTCTGGCGCCATGCAGTAGACCTGAGTTCCCGAAGTCTTTGCTCCATCTCGAAGTACGTCCTACACTCGTCAAGAGAGTATATAAGAACACGACCGGTCCAGTCCGTTAGTCGGATACTAGTAATATCGCTCCGTTTAGTGTCTCTTGACTTCCCATTCTGTGAGATGCTGAACGCTTTAACGTCTTCTTCCACAACCGTGATAGACTTGACGAATTCGCTAGACAAGGGTTTGTGTCCACAAGTGACGACGGCATGCGAGCCAATATTCATCATCCAAAGTAACGGTACATGAATAATGCTGTTGGTAGGTCCATTCCCAAACTTATTGAAAGCTTGCTCCATGTCTCTTTCTCGAAGTGGCTCGTAGGGGTAGTAAGACTGCATGAGACTCCGAGGAGGGTGAAGACGGTCCGTCTTTCCTAGCGTGGTTTTCGGGGGGACTTGGATGTCGAAGTACGGAACGCATGAGAAGATTACGGATTGGGAATCATCTCGTTCGCTTTCGTCGCCTCGTATTACAGTCCCGGGTTCGATGAACATGCCGTCTAGGAATGCCTTTAGCTTTTCTTTCTCAACTCTCTCTAGGGTCTTGGCTGTGAGTTGTTGCAAGCGACGGGATAGACCTTGGATGTTCACACATGTGTTCTAGTAAAATCTCAGATTGAAAACCTCCGAAGAAAGCCTAAGTTAAACGAAGGAAGGGAATTCGAGGTGAAAGAACCACACACCTTGAACTGAGCGAAATCCAAAAGATCGTCGTGAAGATGATACCAACGGACAGAAACACTCGACGAAATCGATGCATTCTCTGGCCCAGGAAGCACGTGAATCTCGATCGTCATTCTGGACTCTGCCATAACCGAACGGGCCTTTAGAATCTTGAGGCTCTCTAGCTTCATCTCGCGGAGGCCGCGGGGTTTCTTCGTGCCCTCGTCAAGCTTTGGGTTTAGTTGCGGGTGGCGCCATTTAGTGTTCCACGAGAACGAGAGGATGTTTCCATCGCGGTCTTTGGGTGGAATAATGGTCCGAGGTGGAGGTGGAGGGGTAGGAACAGGTTCGGACTCTTCTTCGGATTCTGTGAGTGTTGCATCGTCGTCATCGTCATTGCCATCGCCATCATCACCGTCATTTTCTTCTTCATATCTATATCCTACTTCTTCTTCATCTTCGTTTTCAATCCGAACCACCTCTCGGACTACTGGAGATGGTCTTCGTAGAGATCTGTCCCTAGACCTTCGATCCAAACTCGCCCTCGATCTTGACTTCGATCTTGACCTCGATCTTGATCGGCCCCGCCGCTCAGCCTCCCGACGTCTTACTATTAATCCTGGCGGTTTCCTATCCTTCTGAATAATAATTTCATCGGAACGTGGACTACTGAAAGAATGAGGTCGCGAACTCGACCGTTTCCAAAAAGACAGCGTGACGACAAATTTCGGTTTAACCACAGAGTCCCAAACAATAGGCATAATTACCTCTCCGAGGCTAGTCTCAATGTCAAACTTCTCTTCCTCGACTTCTTTCTTCATGGTTTCGTCATCAGTCCGTGCATAGGCTTGCTGCACCAACGATTTGAACGACTTGTGATGAAATTTAGCTAGCTATTCAGAATGTGGCTAAAATTCATTAAGGGGAGACTCACATCCCAAGTTCTGCAGTTCTCGAAAGGAAACAGAAACTGCTTTCCGGCATGATCTCTAAAGACCAGGGCCTTGTCCTCGTCTCCATCGTTACCACGGTTCTCGGGGAACGTGGGAATGCGATGACGACCAAATCGTTTTGGAGACGCGGACGCTTCCATTGCAGGTGACGAGTGATTCTAACGTAAAGCTCGGCACGGGCAGCATTGGACGCGAGGTTGTGTAAGAAGACATAATAATGGGTTTGACGCGTGAAGAGCTCGGGATTTGATATTTGGCCCCCACATCATCTTTCTTTTCAGCCTCAGACTAGCGCTGCAGATCATCTTAATTTATTGGCCAGTACGAGGAGCAGCGCACGTGTGATAGATCTTTGCTCACCTGGGAACCCAAGCAGATTGAGGATATGATAAAGAATGGTATCATCTTCTGATGTTAAGGGTCGGTCTAGCTCTGCACTGCCAGCTCCAGCTCCGGCAATTCGACCGTACTATGATGTAAAGAAAGCGCCGCTCAGCCTTTTGCTTTCACAGAAACTCCCACCTCATTTTCTAAAGAAAAAGTAACCAAAACCCCAGGTTTGAACGAAACCCAACATCCACAAAAAAACCCCATGATCAATCTCCCAAGCCCAATCAAAGCTCAACCCCCAAAACCCTACAACCACATCCCTCTCAACCCAGCACAAACCTCAAATGCCACACCCGCGCCCCGATTACACCTCCCAACCGGCTGTTTCTGCCCGGGCACCGGGACATAATACACGCTCTCCTTACACGTCTCTCCCGGCTTACATTCCATCTTTCCGCACCCGTAATCATTCGTTCCCGCAACTACCTGAAGTCCAGCTTCATGTCCAGGACAGTGACTCGCGTCATCCCCTTCCACGCAATCGATAAGGCTGATGTCGTACCAGACGGCATCGTCACTGAGACTGTACTCGAATTGCGTGATTTGGTCTGCGTGGAGTGGGTTCTTGGAGATTTTGAGCGAAACGCCGCAATGGAGGCAGGGGGCTCGCAGGGGTTCGCGGTAGATGGTGTTAGGAAGGAGGGGGGTGGAAGAAGGGGCCGATGAGGCCGAGTCTTGGGACCAGATGTACAATGGGTAGGAGCAGGAATTGAGGATTGTGGCGTTTCCTGGAGTCGGTGCAAGGGCGGTGAAAGTGCTGCTAGGTGTGTAGGCTGGGTGGCCGTCGGTTTGGGGACGGGGATGGGGGAGGGCGCCGGTGAGGAGAGGGAGGAGAGGGAGGAGGGATAGGAGGGCGTGCATGGTTTTGGGTATCTTATTGATGCGTGAAAAGGGCATATATTTGAAATCGTGCGCGGTCGTTGTCGATGTAAAGATAATAAACGTTAAATCGTAGAGTCGTAGATCGTAGATTCGTTCGTGCCTCCTCCTATGTTAGCTAGTAGCCTCTTGTTATATTTGTTAGAGAAAATTGGATTCTCAGAATCGCAAATGGACGTTCTTGGAGAAGAAAAGGGTAAATTACAAAAAACCCTCCTTCCAAACGGTCCTTCTTGTACTCCCCGCCGAGAACCCATTGTCTCTTAAAGTCTATTCCCTTTTCTTTCTGGTGGCGCTTTGTCTGAATGTTGTGATAAGGATTCCGTAGGCCTTCTAAGACTTACTTTGTCCTGTTAAGGTACCAACACGTTCGCACGTCATCCCATTGTGCAGTTTTACTGGTTAATTCTGACCACCTGGCGAAATTTTACTTTCCCCAAAGATATTTGTGGCGTAGAAAGAGCCTCTTTAAAAAACAAAAGAAAGGAAAATGAAAAGAGGGAAGTTTGTTGGCTCCAGTATCGCTGATAGAATGACGGCGAGAGACAGATTTGTGAGTTTTAATTGGTCGAAAGTTGAAACTTCCGGCTACCCTTGTCTCTGCCGCTTCGAGGGAATTCTAGAAGTGCGATGAGGTCTGCATTTGGCGATGGAAACATCGATGCGGACGCTGATACGCGCGCTTGCGATTTCTTTCCGGCGAAATGTAAGCCGTCCGCCTAGCCTCAGCTGGGGGAAATAGTTGAGGTGGCATTTGAAGTGGACATGGCAATTGACTGTTAGTTGCGAGATACTCTGGGAAAGATCATATAGATAGATTCTTTGGAAATATGCTACAGAGAACACCGACATATAAAGAGGATAATAGGTGTAAGGTATAGACAAACCGAAATACCTCGATCATGCTCCCTACTCCGTCGCCTTTACCCATGCGAAACTTTCCATTCCCTTCCGAAGATGTTCTAAACCCTAGTGTTTTACATAATGCTAAATAGTTGGCACGGCGATGCGAAATTGAAATAGGCAAAGAGAACACCTGGGGCAAAACAACTAGTATGAATAGCTAAAATTTAGAAAGCGCAACGTTAAGAACTACTCATACTCATATACTGCGGGACCGAGAGGAATGGTAGGATTCGGATATGTTCCACTCTGTGCGTAGCACGAGTACATAGGACTACGAATATTTGTTAGTAACACGACATTAAAGGAATAGAGAAGCTTGACTTACTCTTCATACCCAGTCCAGCCCACACACTTCCAGCAATTGAAAAGTCCTGTCGGATCATATATCTTCTTCACCGCCAGCAGCTTATTGTAGTTACTTCCAAAGAAAGTCTGCTGCCAGTTCTCTTCGGTCCAATCCCCCTCATTCATATAACACCCACCATCTGGCGTGATCGCCTTGAACGGCTGTATCGACGCCGAAATGGTGTTTTGGATTTGGGTTCGAACGTTGAGAGGGGTGTTGGATGTCCAGATTCCTCCCATGATGACTTCCCACATGGAATCTCTCCACGCCGGATTTACTCCAGTCTTGGCATTGTCTGGCTGGTTGAGAGGACCCGTCGCGTAAAGTTGAGCAGATCCACCACCTTTATTCGTAACTGATATTTGCATGGCAGATAAGACGGCGTTGACAACGCTAGAGATCTTTTCTTCAGTCGTGAAAAGCTTCTTGGGAACGAAACGGCCGGATTCAGCGAGACCGAGACCAACAGGGCCATTGCGCGCGATAGAGGGTGATTCTGAGAATTTGTGCCACTCGGAAAATTTGGGGAAGGTGTGGTATGTGTTGTCATGGATCGTGAGGTTAGGGTATGATGTGAGGAAGTCGTGCCATTGAGCTGTGATCGCTTTTATGGCTTCGGTGTCACTGCTAGGTAGAATTTGCAGTGAGACCATGTGATCAGGGAGAAGGAAATTGTAGCCAGCGATACCGTGTTTGGCAAAGAGGGTTTGGTTTCGAGCGAGTGCTGTTATGATATCGCGATGTACCTTTGATTCCGTGATGTCTGTCGGAGGAGTCCAGTTGGCTTGGAAGCTGTATACGTTCAGAGGAATCGCAGGATGGAGCTGGAACTTGTAGGCAGTCAGAACGGCGTAGGTTCCTCCACCACCGCCTCGCATAGCCCAGAAAAGATCGGGATCTGTGCATTCATTGATGGTGCGGACCTTGCCATCGGCAGTTACGACATCAAACTCAATAGCCTGATCGACCATCAGTCCCCACGTCGGTCCTAAAGGTCCGTGGCCGCCGCCTTGTCCGAAACCTCCTGCGATACCGACGGAGCTGACTGCGCCAACTGTGACGAGCATGTTCAATGGCTCAAAGAACTCCCAGGCTTCTTGAGCCTGGATACCAGCACCGACTTGACCTACGTTGGTGTACTGGGTCTTGCAGCCCTTGGGTTGAAAAGTCTTGTAGTACTTCGCGTCTTTCATGTTGTGTGTCCAGATAGCGAGAGAGTTTGCCGCATTGCTACGTCCGAAGTAATCATGACCAGTATTCTTGATAGATACTCGAATTCCGTGCTCCCGAGTGAAATTAAGAGCCTTGCTAATATCGTCTGCAGTGTGGGCTTCAACATAATACGACGAAAGGCGACCGAGCTGGCATTGCCCGGAGACAGGAGAAGAAGGAGCGAAAGAGTTGAGGATGCAATTCGACGGCCCGCAAGTTTCCCAGTCGAGAAATTCCATAGAGCCGTATTGTGCGGTTCGGGAAATACCGTCCATATAGTGAGTCGCCACCTTCTTGCACTCCTCACTGGACATGCCGGAGTAACAAGGGGCAGCCCAAGGGACAGTAATTTTGAGGTTACCGCCGATGCTGTGGTTGAAGGCACCCCACTGACTCGCGGAGGGCCAACAGGGTTTTCCTGGGATGCAGGTATAGTTGGAGATGGGGGTCATGTCGTCGGTAGGGGAGATAGGAGAGTGGTGGGTGCCGGATATGCAAGCAGAATAGAAAGTAAAGGATCCGAGGATAGCGGTGCCGCACAGGAGAGAAATCAAGAGCCATGTCGAGGGCAGGCGCCGAGCACTCTGCATGCCGTCCTGCTTGGAGAAGGGTCGCCATCGTTCAATCCTCCTTCTGATGTCTGTTGCCATGCTCTTTCCTTCTAGGTCACTGTCGAGAAGCGCATACTTCTCGTCCAGCAGCGGCTCCCTCTCCATGGAGCTCATCATTCCGCTATGGCTCAAGGCCAAGCAGGATGAGTCTTGCGGGATTGCACGATATACGGCCAATGCCCCTCAAAAGCGTACCTCCAAGCTCTTTCTATCTTATAAGATGGGGGACCAGTAAGGAAATGCACCGGGGCATACAGAGGAAGAAATTTCGACAACTCCAGTCACACAAAACAAGCAACAGCCAGAAATGATGGGAGTAGAGTACAGCAACCTCACAATTAAACAGGCTGCGGCAAGGAAATCAGTCGCACTCAAAGCTCACCTCGATTCGATGATATATATACATCATCGGGGCCTTGAATTCTTAAATACGGCTCTCTAGCCCCGAACTGCCATCCATATTTGGCAAATGGCTTACCTTCTCAGCCCCCAGCCCTCGAACCAGCGTGCGCCAATCACAGCTAGCAGGTCGCCGAAGAAAAAAGCGACTCCGCTCGACAAGTCCCACATGCTGAAATCATTTCAATCTCACGCGCAAAGGCAAAAAAAGGCGTTAGGCAGAAACCGCGCGTGGAGCTGAAGGATATTTGGTGGTGGAGGATGGTGGAGGAGGGGAACAATATGGTGTTGGGAGCATGCCCCTATCCCAAAGCCCTGGTTGCGCGTGCAGGGCAGCGATCGTGCAGCGTTTTGCCTGCCCGCAGCATGCCTTCTGGTTCCGCCCCCCGCTCGTTCGGGAACGGGGCGCTTATCGTTGGCTGTGCCTGACAGCGCCGCTATCGTGCCGACGAACCAGCATCCAGTTCCTCACCTGAAAACATGCGAAACTAGGTCCTTTTATCGTGCGTCAGAGGGACACGGAGATCGTGTGATTCCCGCCCCACATGCCTCCTCGATCAACTTTTTGCGCTCCGCCTCCACGAGGGATTCTGAGGGTGGCCTCACGAATTGCCTAGGCGCATATCTTGTTGGATTCGAACTCAATTGTGTCATCATTGGCCGAGAAAAGCCGATCACAGTTCGCTGGAGTGGCAAACCTAGCCTCTAAATACCTATTCCAGCCCCGTGTAGGACAGACAACTGCCATGGCGGGGAAGTGCTTACTCTGAATGTTTCTGGGCCTGATTCTGGCTTCTGCGAATCAATTCACCAGTGCTAAAGAGAATGCCTGAATGAATTCGCCCCAATCGTTCACCGCAACCACTCTAAGTCCTCACAGCCCTTCCCAGCGCCTACTCAAACCTCATGTTCATGGCCCTTCACCCTTGGCATTAGACCCAACTTTACGCCCGCAGAGTCTGCGACCAGTTCAACCCACCTGATCAGCAAACTCTCCAGGCACCCATCACCGAAGCTATCCGTTGGAAGGCAGACTCATAATCCTCCATACTCGATCCAATTCTTCTAACAGCCCGCAAATGTGTAAGCCTCGGGAGCATCCACGTTATGTAGAGAGAGGTACAGGCACGAATGGATAGTAGCTTGGCCTAGTTACAAATGCCCTTCCGCCTTCCAGAGCAAATCCTGAGCCATAATCCAGTCTACAATATTGTGGTCTGACAGATACAATCCGTACGTGGTTTCGCAGGATATCTAACCGAAATCGCGATGTTAGTTGCACTTCTCACTGATAGGCTTTAGATGCTCTCCGTACAGTCGCACAGCCTATTTTCCCCCTCGTTCGTGGTTCACCGCGTCGCACTGCCAGGTCTCACTGCGGAGAAGAAAGGTTTAGTACGGATCCGTGTATTTCAATCGGTTCGCTGGATTAGGCAATTGGCATATCCTTCTCGCTAGGTTCCAGCTCCCGCCCTCCCAAGCCACGAAGCTCTGCACACATGATACGTACTGGGAATGGCTTGTTTCTTTGTCTTCAATCCTCATTACAGCATCAACGCACGTAATTGCTTCTAGCGACCGGCAGCACCGGTAAAGAGGACGAGCTTAACCAAAGCCTCTCGCAGCCTTCTCATGAAGGCTTACCTTGTTTTGGATGTGGAATATTGGGGGTGTTCGACTAACTGGGAGTATAAGTCAAGTGCAACGCCTGGCTTCCCGATTCAGGACAGTGCACGATGCCTGCAAAGTGGTACGGTTTTGACAATGATAAGGGTGGGTGAGTGAAGTGGTTTGAAAACAAAAAAAAATCAACTACGAGAGGAGTACCTGAGACTCGGACTCGAGACTCATGTGACGGTCGGGCTCACGGATAAGGCACAAGAAGACGCTGGTTTAAGACCAGTGGAAACCATTTACTAAACGATGCCGACGATGCACTCCAGTTTGTTGAACCGTGCTAATTGCACACCCGAGTCTGCTCTACAAACTCCTACTCTTTTAACCAAGAATAGGAAGGTATTTTCCTCATCAGAAAGCCCCAATATAGGTTTAAATTAATTCTACTGGATAAGCGACCTATTACCCGACGGGACTAGCCATGTGATAGTGTATCATCGGGCTTTGAGGAAGCGGTAACGGTAGGCGACACACGTGGTCTTTAACCCGGGCCAGTTCGAGAAAATAAACGTTCTCGTCAAGGCACTGATCCAATGGATCCCGCCAGGTGATGTAATCGGACCGGCCGATCCCGAATGCCACTGGATTATCACAACGCCTGTAAAAACAACAAATGCGTTGGTGTGGTGCGGAGATCCAGAGCAACCTCGACGACGGTAACGATCGCATAGTGTTCGAGGGCATTGATCTTCAAATCTTGAAATTCTTCTTTTAGGAACAGTCCTAAATCAGAACCTTTTGGTTAGTGTACATCCAGCTTCAAGTGGCTCCTGGATAGTTTAAACGCCGCCTCTACGCCACTAATCTGCAATGCATAATCTTCCTGGGAAGATCCGCTATTAAGCCCTCCCTGCAACGTGCTGGCTATTGCTATCAACAAAAATTTTGCTTGCCTAACCAAAAAGTGCTGGTAGACTGTCGTCCTCGAATATGAGTTCCCGGAGGTGAGCGATGTCAAACTAGAGTAAGTACACCGCTGCCAACACATCTTAGAAACACCTGTGGATCTCGTACGCTAATCCGTCGCGCCTTCGTAGGTATTGTTCTCCAGTTCTTCACCACTGCACTCCTAGCTGGTATCCTGCTCGCAGAATGCCATCTAGTACGCGATATGTGGTCTTCTAAGCATAGCCTGTATCCTGAGGTGTTGGCGTATCTGGAATTGCAAACCCTTCTTCTCGAAGCATGGGAATACTTACATATAGAGGAGTTAGATAAGCTCGTTGATTTGAGGCTTGATAGAATTGTCTTTCAATCCTCAGTAGGACAAAGGCTCGGAAGACGGAACTAGATGTTAGACCATCCTTTCGGCTTGAAAATAGGTACCTATGATGAATTAATGCCCTATCATGAACATAGGAGAGTTCTTTACTAATTTGAGGAGCATTGATTCAAGTCCGAGAAGGGTCAGCACCGTCATGGGAAGTTCCACGAGGAGCCTATCTCGGACTAACTGAACCATGTCCCCCAGTGCGCTCCCAGTGTCTTTGTTACACCCAAGGCCGAACTCCAAAATGGCATTCATCTAGGCCGACACTCTTGGATTCACCCCAGCAGTATATGAGGAGGTCACGGTGTAAAAGTCGCTCCCTCTGCGAATCCTATACTTGCGTTCATAAAAATCATCAAGCCTATCCAAACCATAACGCAGCCAAATGACACTTTCGAGCAGAATGCAAATTCGAGGGACTAGGTGTTTGGGAGATCGGGTAGTACCTGAAAATGGAGCAGACTCTCGGATGGGCTCTGCATCGTTATCAAGCTCCAGGGAGTGGCACCTAGTGAGAAGACATCACAGCTTTCTTTCCACAGAGCTGAGCCACTGTCTGGTTGGCGAGGGGAGAATGAAATTCCTGTTTTCTAAATTGAGTAAGTTACTTTCAGCATTTTCGACAAACGCTCACTGGACTTAAGGATGCTTGAAATCCATGGATACCAATGTTGTACATTTCTGCCTTTATCAAATCAACGCTAGGTTCGAAATCACACAGTAGCGCAGTAGGGAAAGCATAGAACAGGTCGCCTTTTCCTAGGGAGATGATGGGTTCCCAATCTAGGTCAGAGTTGTTGTGGACAGGATCAGAACGCAAGACTAATCGCAGAAAATAAATTATATTCGACCAACGCGCGTTTGTTTAAGAGCAGGTTCACCATTGGCAGGCTGTATGCCTTGATTGATTCTGACGGGATGATTCTCTCTGTGATCTAGGATATTTTGGGATGTCTGTCGCCTAGGTCCTCAAGATTAGGGGTTGGGTTCTTCGTTGGACGATTCAAACCTGTTCTAGTATCCAATTCTTCTATGGACTTCTACGATTTCAGATTGATTCCATAATGAAAAAGCGATAAGGTAGCACTTAGATGAAAGAGAATATAGTAAATGAATGCCCCGGGAAGTAATAATTTGGTCGTCTAACACCTTGCGAACAACCTCAAATGCGCTCTACTAGCCAAGCTACAACAAGAACTTAGGCAGTATGTCATTTGCAGAGCCCTGTGAAGATCGAATCTCTTTGCAAACCCCGGCTTTCCTCGCTAAGTTTCCTTTAGCTAGATTGGGAAGAAGGTCGTGGGGGCGTGGGGTAAAGGAGTGCACTTAATCTTGACCATTACTACAAGCTATTCTCTAAAGTTTAATTGTTCTGCGTTGAGTTTACTCTAAGCCTACCTATTTCTTTTGATCACATGAAGGCGAAGGTTGCAATATATGGAGGCCACAAGTTAACCTGGCAGGGTTTATTCGAAAAGCCAGCATGGCTGCCAACGAACTACAGAGGACGAGAATCAACATCAGAGCGGCCTTGCATATGTCCTGGCCTGTCATATCACGTCGGAGAGAAAGTTGTTGGCAGATTGATGAGGGCAATGCATGATTCAACGAGCAATTGATTGGGCCAATCAGCAGGATAGTTATTCACGTGACATATCCAGGGGGAAGGCAGCCGAATGATGGAGCCTTCCCAACATCAAAATTCCATTTAGACTCCTCCAACAGCACCTCAAGCCATGTCACCACCCACGATAGAACCTCCATGTAGACACCATCGCAACTGTACTTTTCACAAGCAGTGGGGCACATCACCATCATCAAGGCCCTCATTCGGGGCAGGCGCCTTGTCCAAAAATAGCATCACCACACACACCGCAGGCATCCAGGCTTTTCCCCCAAACAAAAGATTATCGTTATTCCATAAGCTTCCTGCCCCACCTTGTATTAATTCCCCTATCCAAATTCTTCCAGCAGAGCTGCTACTCTCAATTGCTGTCTACCTGACACCAATCGATCAAGCCAGCCTTGCGCTGACATGCCGTTCACTTGGACTGGGACTTGGGCCTCCAGCATGGAAGTTGACTAGCAAGGCTGGTGAAGCTAGCTGGTACAAGCATGCGGATATGCTAGATCTATTGCAAAGGGATCTCCACAGCGAACAATGGTGGCGCTGTAAACAGTGCGAGATGTTTCATTCACGCAAGAAGAAGGCCGAGAACGAGGCTCTCAGAGGCTTTTTGGGACGACACTTGAGATTAAGCGGCATTATGGGTGCTAGCATGAGGAACGAGGGGGGAAGCTTGCAAATAGGGCTGCAAGACTATCCCGTTTACATTCTCGACTTTAGTCTACTAAAAGCAGTTATGGATCGACATTTCCTCGGTGCAGCACATGGTGTGTGTCTGAACACACTGAAATGCCAAGGAACGCGAACCAGCCTCCTTTCAAAGGCCTCGGAAATTGTTCTAAAGTATGATTTCGCACCTAAGATAGTCTTGGATAAGCTGCTGCTACAATCAACCTACACCTTCCGGCCTCAACCAACTATGTTCCTTCAGAAAGTGAAGGTCGATAAACCATCAGTACAGGACTTCCTCGACCAGCTTCAATTCCAGATATGCAGTCACGACATGGCCAGCGACATTTTTCAAAACTCTAAGCCGGAGATTGTGAATCCGTTCGCGGAAACAGTCCGGAAATGCCCGTACTGCCCGACCCAGTCCCAAGTCGGCTACAATTTACATGAGGAACTCATTATCCGTGTATGGCAGAATTTTGGCCCAGGAAGAAGTCCCAAGGATTCGGAATGGCTGCACATGTTAAAGTCTGGGAAGGAGGCGAGGAAATATGGCCGGGAGAAGGCGGATATTCGGACAGCGTACGAGAAGATTTTTTGTTCCACCAAGGACGAATTTGAGCTCCAGTTGGAGAGGTCAGACGGACAGGGGAATTGGTATGGTCCGGGGTTTATGAAGCCCGTGTATAAGACGTTGCCAGCCAAAGTAGCGGACTATTTGTAGTTGAGATCAGATATTGTAGATCTGCCTAGCTCGGTCAACTCTTGAGCAGCCCTGGTTCAAATTCATGAGAACGTACAGCTTGGAGGAATTGGGGGATTTTTCGTTCCAGCGACATTCTGGAATGGGGGTTGTAGGAGCATGAGCTCGCTAGAATGCTTCAAACCCGTTCCACCACAGGTAACCAAAGACGGCGAGGACACTGGCAAACGCGAATGCAAAGTTCATTTCAACTACGCTCCATACCCAGAGCGCACCGATGGGCGGTGCCGTCTTCATGACATGAAAGTAGCCATTGACGTTGCCGGAATAGACCATATAGCAACCAGCAATAACGGAGGTAGTCAAGAAGAAGACGTTTCTTAGAATAGGGAATCGCTTCGAAGTGTCGACATGGAGAAGATAGACCAGAGCAAAAAAGACGGGGAGCGCTTTCCCGGCACGCTGGAAGATTTCGGGCCATATGACTTCCTCCCGGTACTGCGAGTACACAACCACATCGAACGTCAAGTGTAGTGTCGCTAGGGATATTGAATAGAGCACAGCATTCCCGAGCGGACCTATGGGGTCTCCATCGTTGAACGGTCGCTCACCCGCTGGGGTGTTGTCATTATCCAGATTCCATCTCGCGGGTTTGCCCTTGTTGAGTTCCCTCTGTCGCTCTTCGGCAAGGTCAAAAAGTGTTTTCCCCTTTGGGCCAGAGCGATCGGGATGTTGGAGGAGGTATTCGATGCCAGCTTCATCCATCTCAGTGGTGGGCTGAAGGGCGGCGCCGGTACTGTGGCCGCTGGTTTTGGCATCGGTTTTGGCAGCTGCGCGCCGTTCCTTACGATTGCCTGCGGCCATATTTACAGCAGAAATGATGGTCGAGTGTTGTTGGGCGGAGATGGCGAGTTTCGGTGGAGTGGTTGCGCTTTCCAAGTTTGCGGAGCGGCTCTGCGGAAAGGAAAGAGCGAACCGCGCCTAAGCTTCCTTCCCCGGTTCCGATCCTTTCACTCCACCTCAACCGCACCCCGTCCCGCATGCATATATTACCGCCGGTTCCTCTGTCATGGTAGCCAGTGGTCCTCCAAGCTGCCTATGACAATGAATTGGCTCGCCTGGGCCTCTGTGCCCGTTATCGTCTTTAGCTTTTGGGTGTACACGTCCACGCTCAGCAGCTCATTTCCCACCTTGCGAGGGAAGCGCATTGTCCTCCTCATAGCTCATCCTGACGATGAGGCCATGTTCTTTGCGCCCACCTTGCTGGGATTGACGCGTCCAGAGCTCGGGAATCACGTCAAAATCCTGTGCCTAAGCAGCGGTACGTTTTGTCCAATCCTTCTGCGACCACCTTCGGCCCAAGGGCTAATTTGTGCTACTTCACAGGCAATGCTGACGGGCTGGGCGAAATCAGGAAGCAGGAGCTGGTGAAGAGCGGCCTTCAGCTGGGTTTGCGCGGGGAAGATGACATCCTCGTTATCGAAGACAAGCAAGGCTCCTGCCCAGACTGGCCGCGAGTGCCTATTAACGTGCCCGTAGAAACTTCCCGGATTCAATGACGGCTACGTGGCAACCTCGGCTGATATCAAACTTGCTCACCTCGGCATTCGCCCCGAAAATGGCCTCGATATCCTCCAAGGACCCCCCGCAAGCAACCATCGACGCAATTATTACCTTCGATGCTCACGGCATCTCCTCTCACCCGAACCACAAATCACTCTTCAACGGAGCACATGTGTTCCTCAAATCGCTCATGCATAGCCACAGCGGATGGGATTGTCCCATTAAACTCTACACCCTCACAACCACCAACATCTTTCGCAAATACTTGAGTTTGCTAGATTCGCCGTTCACCATCGCCGGCGCCGTGGCAAAGAGGAAAGAGATGGGAGGCTTCCCGACCCCATTGATGTATATCAGTGGCCCGGTAGGTTACAGGACTGCCCAGAAAGCTATGACCACAGCACATGAGAGTCAAATGCGCTGGTTCCGCTGGGGGTGGATAACTTTTTCGAGATACATGATACTCAATGATCTGAAAAAGGAGAAGACGTTGTAAGTTCGGCTGCTCCCGAAAGCTCTCATTCCCATCATTCCAGTGCATGCTATGAGATTTGCGGCGGCGTCGCCGAAGAAACGATACACAACCTGCAAGTTACTGTACCCACGCTCAGGGTGTCCATAATATATTTGATGACGTTCACTGGAATGCGAATGGAGCCCGCCGAGGCCCATTCCAAATTCAGCCTGGCCCCTAGGCGCCATGACAAGCAAAGCTGAAGGTTGGTGTGACATTGACGCATGTTCTGCATGCAGCATTGACATTTTCAGATTGAGAGTGGATGCTATCCCGGACTCTCATGCTGCGTGTACAACCCTCCCCTTCACGACTTGATCCCTTGCAGTCTGCTCAAACTTCCCTCTCACGCAAATATTTAAAAGGCAGGATCCGGGCCCTGTAACCGGCCACGACTTCCTCTTCATCATGAACCCTTCTCCACTCCTTCGTCTGCCTGTCGAATTACACTGGGATATCATCGATCTCCTCGATATCCAAGACCGAGCTCGCCTAGCATGTGCGAGCCAATACTTTTCGTCAATCATCAAGCCACCAACACATCAAGACTTCCTCGCAGCGGAAACCAGCCCGTGGGCCACCTCCAGAGATCTCTTCACCTGCAAAGGCTGCGTTCGATTTCGACATCTCCTTCAATTCACGGACGATATGAGGAAGGGCAAGCGAGGGCGCAACGGCGTGGGAGCCAATACAAGATTTTGCATAGATTGCGGGGTTGATCAGCATTGGTTTCCGTTGGGGGCGGAGGTTACGATCATGGGAGAAACCTACGTAATCTGCAGAGACTGCAGGAAGTTCACCGATCAGGTTGGCTCGAAGGGGCTTTGCAACCCTTGCTCACCGATATCAAGATCTGTCCGAAAGAAAAGACCAAAACCTAACACGGGAAACAACCAGTATGACAGCGAAGATGATTGGGCTTATTCGACACGATCTTGCGCGGGAGGCAAACACTCAGAGGAGATGTATGGCCTGTGGCCCGACATTTGAGCACAGCTCGGTTTCCTTTCCTTGTTTCACCTTGCAAACGGCTTCACGAGGTCAACGACTTTGATCAATGATACCAAGAGATGACCTAGTTGTCTTTTGGCAATAGTCATTTTCACGCGAATTATTTTCCCCTCTTGTATGGCTTTAAAGCTTACAAACTGTCTTCTTCCACGTTTTTCTTCTCGCTGTCGCTATTGCACGTTTGCCAGCCTCCGTCGTTCTGTCGTACACCACGTCATGCCTACAATGCACTTCCGCATTCACATTTTGTTAATCGCTAACCATGTACCTTCAAGACAAGCCCATTTTCACTAACTCTACTCAATTTTATGACCCATATAAATACTTCCTCATTGCCCGTAAACGTACTCTCAAGGTCTGGTACCTGGACGGGTTTTACGCCACTTAGAAAGCGTCTACTCTGCTTTTAACGCCATATTGTCCATTTAGAGTCCCATCCCCACTCCACAGTCTGTCATTATGGTTACTCAACTAAGAAAGAGCAAAGAAAAGGAGGAGGCAAAGATCCACCATCCAGGCCCGCAACGCCTACCAGCATTACTCCAACGCCTATCTTCAATCATGCCTTCTATTCCACTGCGCAGATCGACACCAAAGCAGCGGCCGAAGAGTGCACCTAACCTAGCCTGGCTCAATCCAAGTCGCGATTCACGGCCCGAAGATAAGCGACCTCTGCTACCCCCCAAGTTGAACATTCCTACATTGTCTGATCAGCAGTGTCCATATCATCCTACATTCTACACGTCCTTCCCTTCAATCGAAAGCCCCCGCTGCAGTAGCCTCCTCTGTCGCCTATGCCCACCCAACACCGTTCGTTCCGCAGCAGGCAGCTCTACAGGTAGCAGGAGGAATAATGCTACTAGCATCCGACCCTGTAATTCCAGCTGTGGGAGTCCATGCAGACACAGCGCGAATCCATCACGACCCAAAACACCTTGCGACCCATATCCCCATAGCCCTCTCACGGGAGTCCACAAAGCTGGTCTTTCCCATGTATCCGTCGGAGAAGAACCTGAGCTGACAAAGACAACAGAGTTGCCCATGGGTAGCCTTCAAACATTACCCAAAATCCCTTCCCTAAAATCGCTGCTTTCCTTCTCCCCTTTATCGCCCGTATTCCGTCCACCTACTCGCCACGGCCCTATACTCGAATCAGAGCGTGATCTCACATCTGATAGCTTCAACAATCACATCACTCCTTCTACTTTACTTCTTCCACGCAAAAAAGAGACACCTAGCCCAAAACTCCACTACATTCATGGTCTCCCACACGCGCACGACTATCCTTACGTACATAAACACGAGGTCAAACATCATTCAGCTGCAGGAGGTGTGCGACCACATACAGCAGTTGGAACCATTGGAGTAGAGAAAAAGAGGCCGGAATCTGGAGGCTCGGATTATGCGGAAACCGTCTTTTATCCGAGGATTAGGGGCTCAACTCCGGTACCAATCAGCCCACATAGGACAGCACAGCATAATAATCATCAGTGTTCGATACAGTATCAACATCATCAACAGATGCAGACTCAGACGCGTTTGAGATCTGGTGGTCATGTTATGCTTCATTCGGCGCATGGAAATCAGCTTACGCACATCGTGAATGCGACCAATGCGCCGCATAGTCTGGATATTTTCATTGCTAACCTACCATCCACATCCCCGCCCGTTCCCGCGACGGCGACGGCGACCGTAGGCTTAGACAGCCGACCTCCTTCACTCAGTCTAGAGGTAAACCCAACCCACATATACAGCACGTGTATTCGCAGAGCAACTCCGAGGGCCAGAGAAGTACGTGCGCAACACCAAGGGGAACATGCCCTCGATTCAGTGACTGCGGACAGCGCGAGTCCCAGCACAGAAACCTCCAGCACGACCACGCTTCAAATCCCATGCGTCGGCGGACGAAGGCTAGAACTGCGGGGAGGAAGAAGGGATGATTGCGTTCCCCGGCTTAGAGGCGGCGCTGAATCGCCTTATGGGAAAGCGAGAAGAGCGAGGATTGTGAGTGCGCGTTGGAGTTTTGGTTGCAGGAGAGGTTGCAGGGGAGATATAGATAGGAGAGATGCTGATATCGAGACATATGATCTGAGTCGTCGTCTTGGTTCACCACTTCGGCCGGCCGAGGTTAGGGTTTTGCAGGAAAGAACTGGATGGAGGAAAGATGAGATGAGGGCGAAAGGGTGTAGTCTGCCTATGCTAGCTCCTACATCCACCACGACCTCCGCGCCCGTCTGTGGACTTCGTGGGGGTGCTGGCTCTCCTTCCTCTTTACCTTCAACCTCCACATCTAAATTCTCATCTAAATCATCCCGCCCCCATCCCCTCTCCTTCCTCTCCTCTCTCTTCACTTTCCGCAAATCACTCGAAAATAGCACACCCCCGCCAGGACTACCAAAGCCGCTGAAAAACGAAGACCCCCTCCCACCAACACTGCTCTGGTTTGCGGGGGGGAGGAAGAGAGGACTGACGGTTGCAGGTTGGAAACGACAGAGGCCGAGGAAGAGGATGGGGGGGTTGTTGGGGATGGCAGTTTTTGGCTATAGGGCGGGTATGGCTTATGAGGGTGGTAGAAGGGGAGAGGGAGTGGGTGAGCGGGGAGAGGGAGAGGGGACGGACGGGGAAACGGGAGCAAAGGGGATAGGTGGTGAGAGAGGGAGGGATGAGGGTGGAGAAGGAACAAGGGATTTAGAGGGGTCTGACGGTGCCGTTGCTGGGGAGGATAGTGCTATTGAGGAGGGTGGTAGGGAAGGCGAGACTAGAAATGCTACTGGTGGAGAAGAAGCATCAGGGAAGAGAAGTGTAGAGGGTAGTGATGTTGAAAATATGGAAGAAGCTGAGAATGGAGCAGCAAAGAACGAGACCGCTGAGAATACCGAAGGCGTCGGTGGAAAGGAGAGCACTGACGAGGCTGAAAAGAATGCGGAAGACCGAAAGATCGAGGATGAGGCTGCTGAGAATACCGAAGGTGGAGGTGGTGGCAGCGAGCATGGTGATGCTTCCTCTGGAGAGAATGTGGAAGTTCAGGAAGCAGGAAATGCTGAAGGACTTGTGGACAATACTGCCGCTTCAGGCGAAAAAACCACAGAGGCGACTACTGGAGAAATTGGCAGTGAGCACACACCCAACGATGACGGAGAGGACACTAGCGGGAAGTGATTTCGAGATGATTTTGAGGTTGTTATTTGGCTAGAGCTATTTGTGAGGTTTCTTGATGAGAACTAACCCTCATTAGGTCTGTCTTGGGTCTTCTGACGCCAGTGTAGTGTCCATAGAAAGAGGAAATGAAACCTGGCCTATTAATTATTAACAAGAACCTAATTGTTAACCTTAAACGCGCTGGAGGATCTAATATAATGAAGCAGAAGGAGATTAGCCTCACTCCCCTGTAGCCATAACCTTTAATTGACGAAAGTGGAGTTAGACACATACCAAACTGACAGTCCCCTGCCTGCTATTTCCTCTCTCACGATTGAAGTAAAAGCGGTGCACCATCCTTGGGCTTCGCCTCCAAAAACTCCCCTGTAAACCAATAATGATCAACCAAGGACGCGGCGTCCTTCCGCTCCTTAGGTTCAAACTTCAACATCAGTGACAGCAAATCCGCCAAGCTGACGGCTTCCTCACGAGCAATATTCACACCTTTAATGCCCTCTCTCGCTACATTCATCGTCCTTCCGTCTTCTTCAAAACACGCAGTTCCTTGTCTGTCCCATTCCACATTTTCTGGTAATGTACCGTGGTATTCGTCTTTGATGTACCATTCACATGCGGAAAATAGCTCATCGTCTTCAACGGGGTCTTCGGGCCACGGCGGTGATACTCGTAGCCCTTTTGCAGCATCAGCGTCGTCTCGCGGCCTGGGCTCATCGTATTCGTCGAAGTACAGCCGATTCCAGGACGGGGGAAGTGGACCTAGTAATTCGATCATTTGGTTAATGCACTCCTCAGCATGACCTCCAGATCCAATATTCAGCAAACTATAACCCCCACGCATTTCATACACACCGCATGCAAGCGCCCAAACATCCGACGCCATGCCAGCAGAGAACTTCTCGAACCAAAGCTCAGGCGCTTTATAGGAGGCCGGGATACCGATGTCTTTAGGGGGGTGGCTGGTTTTAAAGGCTTCGCCAAAATCGAAGATCCGGATGCGCGAGGTTAGGTACTGGGGATCGAGATGGAGCATGCTCATCCGTTTGACTTGGTATTTCGGGAAGTGGGAGGAGGGTTGGGGGCCAGAGCTGTGCTGCGGATTGTGGATGATAGGGGATTGCGTTTTGGCGTATAGTTCCTCAACACTCCAGGAATGGATGGGGCCGAGTTCTAACGCAATGTTGCCGAGTGTGAGATCTACAACATTCATTAATGGAATTAAGGGGGCTAAAGTAGTGCAACGGTTTCAGGGGGAACGTCTTACCGCCATGGCAAACACCTATTGAATGTAAATGAGCAAGCGCCTGGGCCACTTGCCGACCAACAGATCGCACAACATGCCCCCGTAATCGCTTTCCTTCGTCAATAATTTGCGCCATAGAGGGCCCTAAAGCTTCGTACACTAAACAAGCATGATTTCCATTCGGCCCATCGAAAGAAAAAACTTCAAGCAGGAGCCCGATATGACAGTCACTAGCATGTGTCTTCTGGTCCTGCAATTGGAGATAGCCAAGATGTAGATCGCCCTGGAACGAGCTCCCGTCTGACATATCTGCTTCTGTTGCTTTGTATTTTACGGAGTGTGCTGAACACACAAATTTCAAGGCAACATATCGATGAAATTGATTGTCGCGTGCGAGCCAGACCGTGGAGAAACCTCCGAAACCAAGCTTGTGGACGATTGTGTATCGGCCGTCCTGGTATTGTTCGCCAAGGTGGACGGGGTGGTATCCTCCAGGTTTGTAGTTATGGATGTCTTCTACTTCCCGGCTGAAGGAGTCTGTGTGAAATATTGTTTCCCCTCTTCCATGGTCTTCTTCGTTGGCGGTCGAGGTATCGGTAGCTTCGCTGTTCTTCTGTTCTCCACGCTCTGAGTCACCCAGATGTCCGTCTGAATAGGGTAAGGCGTTCGAATTATGACCGAGTCCTGAAGATAGCTTTTCAAAGCTTCCTGAAGCTCTCCCGTGTTCAGACTGACGGAAAAGAGCAGTGAGTGTTTCTCCGGCTGGCCCAGTTCTGAAATGCCGTTACTAAGAATTTACAGTCTAGGTACTAATCCATATGTCTTACGTAGGCGGTGGCATTGCTTGTAATGTTCTGAAAGTCGATTTTTTTCCAGAAAGGTTTCAGGGATGCGTGAGATGAGTGTAGCAGTCCGTTTCTTGCGACTGGCGAAGTTCGTTCTAATTGCTAGATCGTAATCCGGGTGAAAGGGAAGAAAAACTATGATAGATTCAACGGGCACTGGCTGATGTCTTCAAGGACTTGGGCGCTGCTATTTCGCGCTGCCTCTAGAGCAAGTCCTGGCTGGCATCTGCAGCCTTGCTCACCGCTGATCAAATAACCGTAGTGAAGCAACACACCGAAGGGGATGGGGGTTTTCTAAGCCAGGTATCTTCAGTGAGTAATGGACCACTCACGAATAAATTTGCGCAGATAAATTGATCGAGCTAGGGGCAGTTTGATATGGCGGGTGCTTCAATACATCGGGGCGGTGCGGCTACGCTATGCCAAGACGCCATGTCCCAAATAGGACATCCGTGAAGGCCCCACCTTTAGGGTCTAACTTCCTCAATGTTTAAATGATCATACTTCCTGGGTACTGCCTTATCTAAGGTGTTGAGCATACCCCTCCCGAGACAGTAGCAATGGCGAGCTCACCAAACACTTATCCCATTTCCTATGTCCAAGGTTACACACCACCTAAGTACAGAAGAAAACAAGGCGCCGAGGCCAAGGCTGAACAAAATGCATTGGAGCGTTTGATATGGGAAACAGCAGATGAGTGCAAAAACATTGGCAAGGTTGAATGCTGGTGAGATATGATAGTTATACCTCCAACGTAGTCAAAGCTGAGAAGCGGACAGCCATGGCGAACACACATCTACCTTCGACCGATCGACCGGAATAAGGACTAAATGCTCCCCACACTTCACCGTTCGCTTCTATGAAGTTGGGCAGACGCGATATTACGGTGCACACATCAATTTCTCGCCATACACCGGGGTTGGGTCCAAGCAGGACTATTGGAACAACCTTCAACGGATGTCAGTTACTTGGGGAAAAGATGGCAAAGGAAAATGCTACCCTGGATGGCGGTTCGGCGTGAGGGTGAATCATCCACCAGGAGTGTCGTCTACTTCTCTCTCGTCTACTTCTCTCTCCACCGGGACGGCTCAAGCACCCTGGAGTTCCTCGCTTCCTCCGCTTCCTCCGTTTTATTCCCAAGCATCTCCAAGTTCTACTACTCCTAATCTAGGGAGCTTTCAAATCCCTTCCGACCTAAATAACCTCTTGAGCCCTGATGCCCTTCCGATCTCTACAAATCCCTCCCAATCGCTCTACGTACCCCCTCCTGGTTCTGGTTCGACGGATGTCTTTGCATCGTACCAGCACCCTGCTTTCAGCTCCATCATGAGCGGGCCAGACATGTTCAGTGTTCCAAATGCCTCCGATCCTTCCGGAATGTCCGATTTTTCGCGCCTTTCCAATCCTACAAGTATCTTAAGTTCTCTTGGTATCTCCAGTCGTGATTATGCCGTCCCCAGTCCTCCAGAGTTTTATAGTCATCCCGGCATCTCCAGTCCTCCAGGATCTTACAGTCATCCTAACATCTCCAGTCCTCCAGGATCTTACAGTCATCCTAACATCTCCAGTCCTCCAGGATCTTACAGCCATCCCGACATTTCCAGTCCTCCAGGATCTTACAGTCATCCCGACATTCCCAGTCCTCCAGGATTCTACAGTCATCCCGACATCTCCAGTCCTCCAGGGTTTTACAGTCATCCCGGCATCTCTAACCCCCCCGATATTTCCAGTCCTCCAGGGTTTTACAGTCATCCTAACATCACCAGCCCTCCCGATATTTCCAGGCCTCCAGATACATCCCATTGGTATCAGTAATGCACCCCTCGCACTCGACTCAACGCAGCTCCCGGACAAGCCTAACGAACAAATGCACAATATATAGCTACGCGCTGAGGGTGAATCTAGGATACTGGACGATGGTGGTATCTAGGCTGGGTGACCAGTTACGCTTTATTCCTATTTTTATTTCCGTATGCTTGAATCACATTAGTATTAGGTACCTTGAACAACTTGGAAGAATTTAACGAATGAATAGACATACTTTCGAGTGATTTTTTGAGTCCAGCCGGCCGTGTTGTTCAACAGACTTGAATTCAAAACATTTATGTATGTTTAATAGCCCTCGGGGTATCATGTGTGGTGGATCACTGCCTTCATTTTCACCTCATGTCTCTTCACTATACCCTTCATAATGGTTTCGCAGCTTTCCTTGATTCCTTAAGCCCAGTCTTCGGATCTTGGAACTCCTTCCATGAAATCGGATACATCTGATTCCCTGCCTCGCTCGTCGCCATGACGACGCCGAATTCGTCGGAAGCGGTTGAAAGGTAGTAATTCGACTGGTCGCCTAATGAGACCTATTCTTTGTCAGCATGTCACCCAACAACGCCACCCTCCTCGTAGAAATTAGAAAACAACAAGAAAGAACAAAGCCCGTAGGAAGAAGGGGACTACTCACAACCTGCCCCCTCACCAAATCGCCAACCCTAAACACCTCCTCGATCCTAACTCTGTCCTTCTCAGTCGCTCTAACATCTTCCCTTCTTATTAGTCCTTGAAAGCCCTCCCTACACACAGTATCCGCGACAACGAGAATCTCAACAGTTGCAAATCGCTGCCCCAACCGCGTTACTTTCGCTAGAACCACGCTCTCAACCTCAGGGAGGATATTGGAGCCGCCGCCACTGTTGGTGCCAAGAATACCGAGTGTATTTTCATTGACAGTCGTGCTAGAAGAGGGGCGCGAGATGGAAACGAGGGGTAGCGGTTTCGTGGGCGTCGTGGCATTACTTGGGGTGCGGTAGCGGGAATTAGAGACTACAGGCCCGGCTATTGAAGCGTAGATTTGGGAGTTGTGGATGTGTGTCCCGGGGCCGGGAGCGTATTTTGTTGCAGGACCAAGGAGTTGGCCTGGCAGGGCGAGGGAAGGGAGAGACATAGTGGGTGGCGTAGCGGGAGGTTGGCGGTTTTGCGAGGGTTTGAAGGGGATTTTTTTTTCTTCAATTCTGCGTTTTTCTAAAGGGAATGGAGGCGTAAAATTGGTGAGTTCGAGGCGATTTTGTAGCTACGTGATGTGGGGTTATAGGGTTGATTGTGCAGGCTTTGAACTTTTCAGGATGCAAACGACTTCAGTTACGTAAACTTGCCCCGTTTTCTACTTGCCTATTTAGGCAAGTAGCATTCTAAAGGCATCGAACATCTGCAGCAGGGTCTAGCAACCCCTACACGTGCATTCTGCAACTACAAGATCTCTTTCTCGCCTCATCCCTTTATCCCACACTACCAAGCCGCCAATTCTCTGCGCCTCCAAAGACCGCACTTCGCAAGAATGTAAGAAGTCTCGTAAGCCCACCGATAAAATCTCTACTGGCAACTTCAGCAGCAATGCTGCCCTGGGTCAATCTCTGTACCAAAAATCCCTTTACTTATAACAGAGGTAGCTTGAAATCACATCACTCCATCCAATAGTTCGGAGATAAGGGGTGTCTCCCCTAACTGTCAAAGCTACATAATAGTCAGCCTTGTAGTCCAATGTCCACGACGGTGAGGAAGGCCTACTATTTCCTTTGCAGTTGGAGTCTACGTAGAACACGCAGCCGTACCCTGACTGCACGCGCAGCGAGCTGATGATATCGTTCCAGCCGTTGCCGAGGCCGTAGCAGTGATTCACTGGATTTTCATTAACATTGGGGATGGTGGAAAAGCTCGGAAAAAGGTAAGGCCTACAGTCGGAAGACAGAGCCTCGTGACGGCCGGAAAAGTTGTCATCTGCGTTTGGTTAGGTACTCTCTTTACAGTCTTGAGTAGAGTGGATTATATGTACGTACCGGCCCAAACATCTACAATCATACTCTCGCGCTTCATCAAGTTCACATCCCTTTTGGAGACGCCGGTTGCCGTTTCATTGGATGAAAGTTGGGGAATGACAGGTAACTCCATGACTCCGAGATCGATGTTGGAAGAGGCGGTATTGCGCGTCTCGACGGCAAGGCTGGAGACGGTAGCCATGAGGGCGGCAGTGGTGAAGGTGGTGAAGAACTTCATGTTGGGTGAGTGGAGAATAGAGACCGAAAGTTAATCGATGGGATTGTGGATTGCTGGATGGAAGTGGGGATGAGAAGCTGGAGGGGAGCGGGAGACATTCTTATATAGACCCCCCTCGCTCTTGACAAGGACGATGTCTCGTACTCGGATGTGAACATATTCCTCTTCTAGGTTACGAATAATATTGCCCCAACATCGGGTAGTCCGTGAAGGCAACTTCGTCAAGGCCCAAGATCAGTGTACTCTTCCTTCAACTCATGATACGAAGTGTCATCGTCGCACAGTTGCTGGAAACGTAGTAGACCTTCTGCCTACCGATATTGCCAATAACTCATGATCAAATTGGCTCCTAGGCCAAGCGAAGTGAGTAAGAACCGCAGTAAGGGGGTTCTTGGGGGGCGCTGTTGGCATCGCGAGGCATTTCCTGACGGAAGTTGTCTTCCAAAGCAAAGGTGCCTCTAGAATACCGTTCAAGCCCAACTCGCAAGCGGCACAAGACTTCCGATAATAGCTTTATCTACGAAGACATTCTCTTAACTTAGAACTTTAGTTCGCCCTTGGGCTCTTTGTTTTTCATTGTGGCATTCATGGTCAGTCGCTTGGACATGACGAGGAAAAGGAAACTGAAGAGGATTCGCACATGGCCATAGTGCAGTAGAGAGCGCTCGAGCTTAGATGAGAACCAGACCATTTGTGCATAGCGTAGTATCAAACTGTGACCTACGCATATTGTTCTTGAGAAATAGAGTGGAAGGATTACGGACAGTGATTACTCAGTTAAGTGAGATGACAGATACTGTTCCTCGGGGATTGACGACCCGGTGTTATTGTAAGCTGAAAGCTTATTAAATTAAAAAATGGGGTTGGAAACATGAGCCTTCCGTACCCATGTTCTCAGCCTCATTTCGTTCATGAACCACCAACAAGTCTCGACGTGCATCATGCGCGTCTGACTTCTAAAGTTACAGCATGGTCTCAATAACTCTTCATGAGCCCTCGCCTGCGGGTCAAATGGTCGTACATAACTCCTTCGGGTGCTATTCCGAGAGGAATGTTCGTAGTAAGCGCCGAAATATATTGCAGGCGGCATTTTAGTTCTGCATGTCGGTCGGGTTACCCTATTGTTAAAAAGGGCCGAAAATTTGCTGGGAATGGACAGCTGAGTTTACAGTAAGAATATTTAGACATAAATCAAATGCTCCTAAAATAGTTAGCATATCGTATTAGTACTGTAAGTACGCGAGTTCCAGTTCGTTTAACGAGAAAGGTGACATCGATATCTCTTCAATCGGACCCCACGTCTTGTCTAGGGTAAAAGCTTTGGATGTATATTGTGAGAGGAAGTGGGACGTGTAATTATGTTGTTGTATGAGAGCGTTGCTGATGTTAGCCTTACCCAACTCAACAAAACAGTGATAGAAAAATTGCAGGATTCTGCCATACTCCAACCAACTCACCGCTTCCATGTCGTGTCATCCCTTTGACCCAGTCATTGTAAGCAATCCTTCCAATCTAGATGGCATACTACCAGCTCACGGCGCCTAGCACTCAACACCAACCGAATGCCTGTAGGGAGACTACGGCCAAAAGCAGAGTCTATATGTTAAACTTCTTACTGAAATCGGGGATAAGACTAACAGAATGCAGATTTATGTCCCAAATTGCCTCTGCCATATTCTAAGTGAAGTGATAAGATGTAGTAGAGTCTTGGAGAGCTAACGTTGAAATAGAGTGAGGCTTCCGGAAAATGATGCGGAGGGCCAGGGCTCATTCGTATTCGGCATTTGGTATTTTGCAGGAACATCACAGTGCGGGGTCGCAACCTCTTAAGATTCAAATTTTCAGAAGCGGAAATTGACCAGGAAATGTCTCGGGAAGATAGCCGAAGCATGTGCTGGTCTTTAGCTCGATATGTTAAGGTCGAAGGTCTGGAGTTGGAAGAACAGTTTGACAGCAGGTATGTCCTTTATCTACCAAGTCTAACTCAACTTTAGCCCGCGCCAATAGAGAACTGCAGTGATTAGCTCAAGCTGTATTAGATCGGCAAAACCAAAGACTGCTGGTTCTACTCCTACGTCCGGATAGTTTGAGAATCACATGAATTTAGAGTGTCTCCGGAATCTCTCCGGGATGGTAAAAAGTTAACACTATAGCTGTGTAGTTATTTGCAGAGGCGGTTTAAGAGCAGCCGTAGTATAATATCCATTAGAAATTCGTCTTCCCAGTGTTGTCTTCGCGTAGTAGAAGAATTTGTTGACTTGTATGAGAGGCTAGCAGGACCCACCCTGCACGTGATTCCCAAATTAAGCGTGTCCACTTAGGTGGGTATTAGTACAAGAAACACCGTTCATACCATAAGAAATAGGGTCCCTGAAAATACGAATTCAATGTCAGGCCAAGGAACAATGTGGTACGAAATACAACGAACAACCCCTGCAACTTGCAAGATAGACATACCGGGCAAACCATATGTTCGTTCATCAAGGGCTCCCATTGGCTAAATTCCGTACATTCCAAGTCTCTGTATTAACTTATGCGCGCCTCAGACTAAAACATACGCCCGATGGAGCTACGCCGCATCCTTCTTATCTTCGAAGCCCCCCCTTTGTCGTCGTTCAACTCTCTACGAAAATTACTCGAAGGCCAAACTTCGCCGCGCATTAGGATTCTATAATCCGTTCCAAGTACGCAAGCACGTTTTCCTCCATGAGTAGGTAAGGACAAGAGTTCCATCCAGAGAACGCCACATAACAGGAATACAGCACCCAGACGCCGCCCACCGAGTCGCAATCTGCTCAGATGCAGGAGCAGGTTCCAACGGAACAGGAAGCAGATGCTCTTCTAATGAGTTGTACGAAGGGAGTGGAGCCACAATAGCTTTTCTGTAATGACCGTGTCGGGGCCACCACTGTCTAATATCTAATACGCACCTATTCTCACGAAAGAAAAGGGGGTTCTGGAACTGATGTCTAAGCGTCCTCGAGATGATACAGAGCTTTTGGCATATTTCAAGAAGCGCAAACACAGGGAAAAGACTCTTCAGCCAAATATCTCAAAGCCTAAAGCCTCAAAGAAGAAAACGGTAGGAGGTAATTTAGATGAAGGAGTTACTTCCTGAATGCGACCCTCAGACAGTTCCCACAATCCTTCAATTAAGTAGTCATACTGGAACTCGGAGTTTGATTTTAGGCAAACTAATTCCTCCCCGGGCTGTAGCGCTCAACTTTTCAGAAACGGTGCAAATCCGAAATTAATCTAAAGTTGTGCCGCATCCTTCTAACCTCTTCTACATACGCTCATGTGATAGTTAGCAACGCATATGTTATGAACTAGCGTTATTTATTATGCAAGCTTTGTCCCATACATACTGTCTGTAAGATGCGTCTTATCTCGAATTGTCGCATTCAGGTTCTCTCTCTACTAACTTGTTATCTTTTACATCCTTACCCTAAAATCTATTTAAAATTAGCCGACACCCCTTCCCTCAGTCATCTAGTCGTTCCAAGATTTAACTTTTTCCAAGCACCGCATTCTATCAACTGTAATTGACCTCCCGCTGAAACTATTGATGTCGACTCGGAAGTGGTGATTAATTTTACCGATGACATGCATCAAGTAGAAGGCTTCTTGGGTCATGCCCCCCCGGGCACAAAATAGTGTAAAGCTTTTTGGGAGCACCAGAGGCATGAGGAACTGGATTGATTGCTAAAAAAAAAAAAAAAAAAAAAAGTGTATCTAAGGGTCTATATATGCAAGGAGTGAGCCAGGCAGTAGTAGCTCCTGAATACGAGCATATGGTGGAGCTCTCCAAACTCTACCACCTGCTCAATACATGAAACCACTGTCTCCTAGTATAGTTAAGTGCTACCTGCTAAGCAACTTGCCGCGTAGCCCACTCCTTTGTATATAGACTCTTAGGTTCATTTTTTGGGTAATCAGCTCACTTCCTCATGGATTAGTGCTTCCAATAGCTTTATACCTTGCGTTAAACAGTTAGGATTAGAATTGACGCCAACGGGAGGCACGGTAGCTAAGTCACCATTCAACGAGACTAACGTGTCTGGTTTATTTGTGGCAGGCAATAGCTGTTCTCCTTCGAAGGTAGTGTGGAATGGCTTGTACACAGGAAATCTAGCGGGGACTGGTGTATTTGGTCAGATCCTTGAAGATCGATGGGTCAACGCGAAGTTCATACATTCACAGATCCCGAACACCCTTTGTGTCTAAATACATGATATATATAGAACCCTAGCAAGAAAGAATCTGTCTACGCACAGTTAGGGGTAAAAGCCCGAGTTGGTCATACTTCCCCTTTAGCTAAAGTAGCTAAGGAGTTCTACATCTGTCTTCACTTATTGGTAATGGCTACGTACGCAGGCATAGTGAATGCGACCACTCCACTGTCCAACTTCTTATATCCCTCGTAATTTTCCAGCCAATCGACCATTGTGCCAATCACACCGTCCCATTTCTCCTCATCCTCAGCCGTCCACCCAGTTGCTGGGTAACCAAGAAAGCTCCAAACGGCGGATGCCCACAGGCAAAGATCCTTGACTTCCAAAACCGCATACTTTCGCTCTAACTTGATAGTCTCCGGCTTGAAACCCGCGCTTTCCAGAACAGCGCGAAGATTTTTGTCGTTAAAGCCTCCCGCTTAATGGCAGGCGGGATCTCGGCGCTTTCTGGTCTCACGGCACGGTGTGCTGCGGAGACAACTTGAACCGGCAGAGGCTTATCCCAAATACTTAGAACGGTTAGGTCACCATCCTTGATGGTGCGGCGGATGTGTTTGGCAGCCACAGAAGCACCTTCCATGACCATGATGCCAAGGTTGGTGATCGAGTGAGCGAATGTACCATCAGGGAAGGCTAGTGCTTCAGAAGGCATAACCTCCGCCTTCACCAGCCATCCTTTCTCCGCTGACGTCTTCGCGAGCTGTTCTGTTACCTGGGGAACCATATCTGTCGCAAAGATGGTGATGTCTTTAACGCCGGTCCCCATGATAGCTTCGGTCATTGGACCCGTACCACACGCATTGTCGTGGATGACAGAGCCCGGCAGAATCGGTGGAATGAACTCTAGCAGTCGCTTCGCAACCTGCTCTCAGTTATTGCCTGCAAGCTGAGTAAAAAAAGGCCAGCTTCGGGGGAAGGCATTGCTTGGGTACGAACTATGACATCGTGGTTGCCGTGGCTTGATTTTTGGTGGTTGGCTCAAAGGTTGAGAGGCGCGGGAGAGGTGTGGAGAAGCGTCTAAATACAATTTCGTTAACTGATTGTGTGTCAGATCACGTTCTCATTTCTTGTGTTACAGTAAGTTATAGGCAATTGCGCTGTTAAGTACTTCACGCCTTGGGAGTAGCATTCTTCTCGGATACATACCTAGATATCAGTCGGTGAGAACATGGCTTGTATCTTCGAAAGCACCCACAGATCAGATCCCGTCGCTCCGATACCCTGGAGGAGATCTTAGAAGCTTCCAAACCTGTAATATCAGACCACGTGCCTTAGATCTGGCTCTGCTCTGGCTCATGTGCGCGAGACGGTTAAATTCCAATTTCTAATGCTATGCCCGGAGAGTTTTGTGTCACCAGCCTTGTGGGAGTGGACAGACTAAATACAATCTGCTTTGTTCTTCATTGAAACTGAGACTTTGCTGCACCAATAAGTCGGTCTAGGCTTGTATGAAATCCTGTTGGATGCCTTCCCACTCCGTGCCACCCAGCGTGGCCAACAGTACGTAGTACGTTACGTTTAAGCTTTTTTCTGCCAGTAACTTCTTAATTTAGTAGTACTTTTATACATAAGCAGTAAATTAATTAGCAAGTATGTAACATAATAGTAACTTCTTAAAAATTTTATACTTTTATACTTTTTATAAAAAGTTTTATTAGTCTAGGTTAAAATTATTCTAGAAAAAGCTTTTTAGCCTAAATAAAGTCCTCTAGAGTAGTTAATTTACTTTTTATAGCCTTATTACATAACTAGTTCTTTTAAAGCTGTAGAGCTTTAATTATATAACCTGCTAAGCAGTTTCTATTAATTATAACTATTCTTTTACTTTTAAAGAAGGCTCTCTTACAGTCACAGCTTATTAAGGGTATATAGAGGAAATTAAGAGTGATTTTAAAAAGTGTAGGGTAGAAGTAACAACTAACTTTAAGCTACTAAGTAAAAAGTAATTAAAATAGTAAAGATCCTTCTTTAGCTATAAAAAGGTCTTTAATGTAGCTATTATAGTATTATTAAAGCTCTATTATTTTCTGCTGTTTTTTATATAACCTTAAGCCTATAAGAAAGCTTATGTTAATAAAAAAAGTTTACTTATAGCCCTTATTATAATACTTACTACTAAGGAGCTTGCGCTAGTAAGGTTGTAGATCCTTCTTCTCCTTATTGCCCTTTGTCTGTCACGATTGTGCACGAGTAAGGTTATAGAGCTTCACAGAGGTCTAGTTTAATTACTATGTAAGGTATTATAGTAGGTATAAGACGTTGTGTAAGGAACAGGAAGGTTTAGAAAAAAATTAGTAATTAAATACTTAGCTTAAAAGTCTAAGCGCTTTAAGTATAAATTAAGCCTATTTTAAGTTTAGTTAGTGTTAAAGTAGTTTATACTTAAGTTTATGTCTATGTTATGTTATATTTATGTTAGACATGCACTAATAATACTTTAGTACATGTCTAATATAGTTATGTCTAGGATCTAGAGAGGATACTATAATAGTACCCCCTCTTTTATTAGAAAAAGAATTCTTTACATTAGTAGTTCTAGCATTAGGTTGTCTTTATTAGGGTATAAGTTTAGTTTAGATAGGTATTAGGCATAAAATTAGGTTACTATAAAGTTCTTTTATAAGGCTTTTATAGGTTTCTATAACAGTTTATTGTATCTAGTCTATTTTATAAGGTATTTATAAATATGTTTTTTTTATTAAACTAGATTTATTTAACATCTTTTATAACATATTCTAGTTTATTATTTATAATAATAGGTTTAAGTAGCAGGTTTAGCTATCTAGGTAAATAGTTAGATTTAAAGGCTACTTAGCGCAGCAACAATACGTGGAACACAGGGTGTATCTTTATACTGTTAGGTAGGATTAATTAGTAAGTGTGTAATAAGACTATATAGGCTACTATAAAAGGGCTAAAGTTCTTTTAATTAAGTTTCTTTAATTATTAGTTTATTTAGATATTTCTAGTGTCTAGCTAGACCTTCTTGCTAGCTACATATGTAGGGGTAAAAGTTTAGAATTAGTTTATATACTTTTATTAAAGAGCTTAAGCCTATGTAAGCTTTTTATAAACATATTTAAATATATTTTAGATTTTATTAATAAGTCTATTTATATTTATTACTTATATAAATTAATAAGTTAGTTAGAGAGTATTTAAAAGTAGTTTAAATTCTATTTAAGAGTAGTATCTATAGTTTACTAAGAATAAAAATACTTATGTTAATTTAGATGTTATGTTATTAGCTTTAAACTATACTATAGCTAACTATTTTACTTAGTTATCTTACTAGTAGTTTATATACACTTATAAAACTTATTTTATTATAGTGTTTATGTTTTTAGTCTAGCTATTAGTCTTTAAGTAAAAAGCTATAAATAGATAAGAAATAATTTAGAGCTATTTATAAAGTTTATTCTAAAAGGCTAAGACAAACTACGTACCTCTGTCTAATATAATTATGTTAGGTAAGCTATAGTAAACTTATACATATTAGTAGAATAACTAGGCTATATTAAGGGCAGTTATAAAGAAACATAGTATTAAGTGTTAATACTTAGTTAAGTAATTAACAACTACTATAATATTTATATACTCTTTAAATAAAGGTAAGTTTATAATAAAATTAATTAATATATCTTTTTAAGCTTATTTAAAGATTAAGAGCAGTTTAAGCAGGCTATTATACTTTTTTTAGAAAGCCTTTACTTTACAGTAAGTATAGCAACATAATACATATTAGCGTACAGTATAGAACATGCAGGGCTAGTAGTACTCTCTCTGTAGTAGGTTAAGAGTCTTTC